AGCCGCACTTGGGATTTGACTTGGCCACATCACCAACCTCGCACGGCAGCTTATCAGTCGACCGGCTTCACGGGTCTTGACCGACGTCATGAGAGGCTGCCTTTCAAGAAGTAAGTTAGTAACCACTGAGGATCACCAATGTAATCTTCTTGGCAACGTTGCCACCTCCACCTAGTGTTCTTGAGACGAAATGTTGGAAAACGGGAGGGCAAGAAACTGCCATCCAAAACCGTCTCCGTTGTCTTCCCATCCAATTCCCCTCTGAGAATTCCCCTAAACCCCGCGACTTTGGGGGTCATCCAATGTCATCTAACATCATTTGTTTATGGACTCGTCTGAAGTGAGTGCGAGGGCGGTAGTAGCGAGCCTCTTCTGGCGCGGGTGTTTCATCCCAATCATCATCAACCCGCCTACGAATGGCTGCTCGAACAACCGGAAAGTGGGAGAGATTTGCTTTCTCTAGAAGCAAGTTCACGGCATCGCGGCTATGATTTCTCCAACCAAAACGATTCAGGTTCGGAATAGGCGTCGTCACTGGCACGGTTTGACTTTTCATTGGAGCTATAGAGGTGACGAACCATCACGAAAAAGACTGGACGACGAACGAGCCGGCGGCTTTTGCTGCCTGCCGCCAACGTCTTTCGGTATTTGCCCCGGGTATTCAACAACAAGCGTTGGACGTAGAGAGCCGCTTCGTCATGCAATATAGCGTGCCCGACTCGTTGCACTCGACATACGTCGCCTTGGCAAGTGCTGGGCATGCAAATTGAAAAGTTTAGACGATAGTTTGCCCACCGTTGGGTCATCCAAAGGGTCCGGTCCGCATGGTCGCCAATGCTACGAGATGATATGCTGAGTGACTGGGTGAGTCTTTTCCCTCGACCGGACGATGGTCCCTTTTTTTCGGCAGGCCTCTCCGCCCACTTGCTTGGCTATCTGAAATCTTTTCTGGTTCAGACGATGGAGCATATAGAGTGCTGTCAGGTGAGATGCGAAAACGAAGATGGGCAACTGAGTCACGATATTTGTGTGCTGCGCGGGGGAGAATTGGGGACTGGGGGACTGCTTAATCAGTCTTGCTTTGCCTTGCCGCCTGGATGGCCGGCAGGCGTACGTGCCGTTCATGGAATACAGACGGGCCGACAATGGATCGACGCCGCGGCACCAGATTTCCTCTTCCACCGGTAATGCCGCATTCTCGCTTTTTCCAACCACCGCGTCAACGTCTTTGCCGCGTACTTCACACGGGCCCAAGCGAACTGCTTGAGGAGGCTCTGTTTGATCTTGGTTGTGTGTGACTTGGGTCGCGTTGAGCATATTCGGGATACATGATTCGTGACCGAAGTCGATCATACGTGAAAGGCTATATTCAGAACATTATCAACGTAGTTCAGCCCCGTCAAGCAGCTCTTCCTCCGCGTGTCCGGCCTGGTTATCTAGTGTGGTCGGCGTAACCACTTATAGATATACTCTAGCCCAGTCTTTTTGATGAATTGCTCAATCAACGTAGTGTCCAAATAAGAAGAAACCCATTCAGAAGCCAACATCTAAATGGCCCACAACCCACCCCGCACAATATCTTGGTCAATGCTTGAGAAGAAGAGGTGCCGGTTGAACATGTTGACCAAAGCTGGGTTTTTCCGCCCCCAATAGGGCCACCAACCCACCCGGGCCTGTCCGCCCTTTTGCCTAGACCTCTTCCAGAGAGAAAGCACGAGTCGAGGTACTATCCATGACGACGATGATTAGAATATTGTCGTCTCGAATTGATTGCGAAGGTCTGAAGAGGAAAAATTCATAAGCCGTCGCGTTGAGTGCCCAGCCCAGTAGAGACTGTTCTCCGGTTCACGTAATTGAGGCTAACCACTGGAAGTCGCACATGAATTGTGACTATTTACGAATGGAGAAGAAGGGCCGATGAAGCTAGAGCCATATGTGTGTTGGCAGAGAAAACGGGTATGGTATTCGCGCGGCCTTGAGCCGAGATTCTAAAATAGGCGTCATCGTATCAACGCAAATTAAATGATTAAGAAACACCTGTGCTTAAGAGCGTAATTCCAATTCTACAGTAAATCAATACATTTATTTTACGCAGACACGTATGTCTGATAGCTCCGGGTATGGTTGTCAGCAATCCAGATGTCCGCCCGGCTGATCCACCTAGCGGCCCACCGCACATGTGGATCACGATAGCTTCACCAAACACCAAAAAACATACAACACCAGGTATTCGCTGGTCGTCACCGACCCAACTACTAATCCGGCCCTCATTGGCTTATCTATGGGAGAGCGGACGGGATCCCGAGTTTTCCAATGGGTATGGTCGTATATGATGGTTTAGCGATGTCAAGTTGATCTTGAATGGAGAAATTAAAGCGACTGTTGCCCACCAGGTCACGTCGGGGCTCTAACATCTTGCACAACGACTTCAGAATGATCAAGACTATATGCTGCCTCAAAGCTGTCTATTCCACCATATTTCTCGGTAGTCGAGCAGCTTGAGCTACTCTGGTGAATGGGCGGCAGTTGCTCTAGCCCACAGGATTTCAGCCCTAAGAATATCAGAGGCCTTCAGACAAAGTCCGCTTCCCCATAGACGCACTTGAAAGCACATTACGTACATATAAAACGTGAAAACCCCCGATTGGCTTTATTTCCTACGGTGGGAAATTCTCTTGAAACAGAACTTGGGCGGCCCGGTCCATACGGTCCTCACGGCAACCCGAGGATATCGGACTTGAAGACCCGACAGTGGACTACACGGAGCTATCGCCCCAAAACCTCGTTCGATAAAACATGAGATCCTCCACACAAGCACAAAAAGAGCCTCAAGGCGTTGTGGGGAGTCTATTGTTCGTCGATCCGATTTGACGAGGTTTCGCCCGTCCCCGTAACGCCCGATGATACACTTCCCACATACCGTCCGGTAGATCATCTCCTCTCTCTCTCGCACCCGTCGTCACTACTACCCCCCAGAGATAATCCACCAGTCATCACAACGACTTGAGATGGTCTTTAAGGATATGCTACATCTGAAGAATCGGATTCCTCGTCACCCATTGCCTCAGTAGGAGTCTCAATGTAGGGGGGAGGTAGAAGGCCCCACGTCAGGCCGTCCCTTATCAATACTGCAGGTGTAAAGACAAAAAGGATATCAAAGATGTTCGGTATGTGGTGCCTATGGCGAGGCCGCCGCTGCTTGTCGCAGGAGGTAGCATTCGGATTATTCTTTTGGGTCGGTTCCTAACCGATTGGTCGTGCCTGGGAACCTAGGGACACTTGGTGATAAGGATTTCAACTACCGCCAATTGAGCTCTCGCAGTCGCTTCGAAGGAAGGATTGGGAAAACGAGGTGGAGTCGTTCACAGTCCCGCCCTTGATCGTTAGTATTACGCTTGGCTGGCTACTAGAGAGGAAGAGGCATGGCTAAAGTTGCTGTCTCAGTCTACTGCCGACTCTCACTCCATTCTGGCTTGGAGTGTTATCCTTTGCACATCGAAGTGAAGCAGACCGGAAATACTCAAGAGACCAGGAGGTGAGCTTTGGCTCCGACTCCATGTGGTTGTCGTTACTTTCATTGCCAGAGTGAGCTTGTCCATTGCATCCTAAGACAAGAGCTGATCGGTATCTATGCAAGCGATTTGATGAGTATCGGGCCTTTAAAGACATCAGGGATAGAATATTCCGTAATCAAGTTGCTCTTTGCATTTTAGATATTACACGTCTACTCCATAATGACACTTGCACGAGAGAACGTATCAGTGCGATCACTAGTCTTTGACCACGAACTCCCGACTGGGCAGCCTAGGATATAGAATTTCCCCAGCTTTCTTCGATTGATTAAAGTTCTATCAGAAGTTCTTATCCCTTCCCTTCCTTACTCAAAAGGATTTCAGCTCGTATCAACCCAAAGCTCTCACTGTATGTTTGATACTGGTTCACGCGAACATCTCATCGATCACACGCGGACAACGTACGCCGAATAGGCTGACAGACATTCTCATCGTGTTAATACGGACGGTGCTGAAATAGGGCAACCTTCATTTCTACTGCAAGCACTTTCATCTTGTCGATACATTTCACTTCATGGCTCGGTCGATCGGTCGTGGTGTTGGCCGAGCCGGCGTGCCGGGTGACGTTGCCCGGCTTTAGTGGCCTAGATTGAGAAATCGTTTCCGACCACGAGTCTATGGGGATCATAACCGTTGTATACTTGAACTGATACTCGGAAACGTCGATTGAGGATTAAATATGCAACACTCTATATCGAGAGTTTAGCAAAGTTCCATGTTTTGGCTCTGGCGGAACCTAGCTCTCATCGGCTTTGCGCTCACTCTCATCTGGCTTTCGGCCTGTATATATATACCACCAAATGTTACTCGGACGTTGTTGAGCTTTGAGAAGTGTTTGAATCTCAATGGTCCCATTCCAGCATTGGTCTCAAGTAGACTATGAGCGGCCGAGCCCACGAAATGTGGTGAGAAAGTCGCCTTCATTCTCACACCTCACCTCACCATATTTGAATGGGTACGGCAATAAAGACGGCTCGATCTACACGGCCGGATTATTCCAATAGAGGTAGAAAACTCAGAAGCATATCTGTCAGCGTCCCGTGACTCCCTCGTAGGTTATCGGAGAAGCATGGACGTGAATGGTGGTAAATTGCGATCAATTAATTTGACTTCCTAAAGGCTGTAATCTAGACCCACGAGAACAACGACAGGGGCGTTTTTTGGTCCATTGTGAAAAAGCATAGACTCCACGATCCAGATAATTCATTAGCCAAGTTGAAGATTGGTAGATCTTCTCTTGAGTGTACTTTTCGGCTTTACGGCTCTTAATTTCGGTCAACGGAATTTCCAGCATCGCCGACTTTGACTCCCAAACACCGTAATACTTAGTCATTGGTGTCTCCTTCAATTTTGATGCCATGTTTGCCTCATAATCGACTCGAGCTGCATCAACACGTCGCACCTCTCACGGTCCATTCTAATCAAGCCATGAATTTCGGATTCATCGCTCTGCTGTCTGCAGTAGTTGCTGTGGCTGACGATGAGAATACAAGATGGTGTAATCACGGAACAAGTGACCCTGCGCTCACTTGTGATGGCGTGAGTAACTCAATCGAAACGTTCTCTGGCAGATGATACGTGACTAATTCTACGATAGGGACAATTCGTCTACTGCGTGAGTATCCATAGCTCGTACCGAAGACTGGTGCTGACTTCCTCGAACAGTGTGACCAAATTCTCAATACCTTGGCCGAGCCGGATCGCAAGCAAGGCTTCCCAGTCAAGCGCTCTTGCGGCAAGCAAGGCATAACATGTACGGTCAAAAATAATGCGGGTGCTGGTCTCATCGGTGTAAGTCCCCTTCTGCTAATGATGGATGCTGTACCCCAAGACTGAAGCTAACCATGGAACAGCACGCTGCTTGCGTAAGAACGTTCACCAGCCACGGTCATGTTCATGCTAACCAACATTCCAGTGCTAAACGGCGATGTTGTAACGATTTAACGCTACAAGGGAAACACCATCTTCATTCGAGTTGCCCGCTCAATACGATTCAAGTAGAAAGGCGGCGGTCTTGGGGAGGCGGACGACTGTGTCACACTCGTCTGGAGTCGTTTATATGAGAAAGCATTTCCCTGACTGTATTGATCTCAACTCGTGAGATCATATAAGTGCTTGTAGGCTCTGTGTCTGGAAACTCTAACAGCTATGCCTTCTGCATTCCGCGACTAATTGACGAGAAGAAGCATCATCGGCCTTGCCCCGCGACGGTGCATCCGCTCGTATCAGCCGTTGGCTCCTAAAGAGACATACGCACATGCGAAGCAGTCAGCCGATCAAGCAATGCATGTTCGGCCATATCTCTCTCATGTGAAGTGGCCAGCCTCGACCGATTGAGCACGCTACGCTGCTACGGTTTCACATTCAATGTCCCAAGTCAGGTTCACTCCGCGATGAGCGCGATGCGGACCTCTATACTGTTCTGCCAGCTTTAACTGTGCCTGGCCATAAAGGCTGTGATGTAGTTGAAGGTGCCGATGGGCCCAATAAACACACCCCTGCTTCTGAGTGCACATCGATATCAGTCCCAAGCATACAATGGCACTGCCGGCTCCGAAGAGCCTACTTGGCTGCTATCGGTTAATAGCCTCGACTGTAGGAATTCTTGTTAGTCCAACATGCCTTGGCACAATGAATCTCGGAGGGGCGATGAATGATTCCCTTGGCGAATGCACGAAGCAAAGCGCGCGGGTTCGAAATACTTGACTTTTTCTACGGGAAAGGAGGCAATTTGCTTGACACATGAGCACTAATTCGTATACTTCGCGTCACGGTGCCACGAACAAAAAATAAACACAGCTTCAAGTGCGTCAAGCCTTAAGGCGAAGAGTCTAAGAAGTGGTTGAGCGAGTGGCTAACCAACACCGTCCGGCGACACGAGTTCGTTCTGGCGCCCAAGTACACAAGCAACTTAACATCACGGCCTGAACCATATCGGCAATAATCCAATTTTGGGGGGGGTGGGGTGGCACCAAAAGCCTGCACCTCTCTATCGAGGCGAGCCTCGAGGAGACCCAAATCACGTACGTCGACCCCCTTTACCTCCACTTCTGGGATGTGACCGCCGATATCCCTGAGGTTATGCCCGCTGAAGCAGCTCTTCGCCTCGGGCAAAGTTTTGTACTTGAGAATTTCCGATACTCCCTCCTGAATCGTGATCGAGTGTAACGACTACGCTCGGCATCGCGGCTTGAGGCAGTTGTCAGTGTATCAGGGCAGGCGGTCTGCGGCTGACCGGGATTTTGAGAGGGACATTATCCCAACATGTCAATAAGATGTCATGGACTTGGCACCGTTGGGCACGCTCGGTCACGGGCTGTTCGAGCCCAGGGACCAGAGCAAAAGAAGTCGGCCGAGAAACGCACTCGACGAGTAACGGGCGCGAGGTGTTGGGGTCGGAGAAGCTCGAGAAGATTGCGAATAGAAATGGAGTTGCTATCACTTCAGTTGCTCTAGCATACATCTTGCACAAGGCACACCATAAGTTTCCTGCCATTGGCGGTCCAAGACTCGATTACATTAAGGGAAACGTCGAGACCCCAAGTCTACAGCTGAGGGAAGAGGATCTGGGCGACATCAAAACTGCATACCCTTTCGACATTGGTCTCTCGCACGATGTCTTGAGCGGGAATATCAACTGCGGCGCGAGGAGACCGCAGGATATTCGGACTGCGAATGTTCGCAGGATCTTTGACTATATCAAAGACATCAACCCGATCTTGCCGAGACTTCCGTGATAAATGATTGGTAATTCATAGCGTTTTCGAACGAAGACAAATAAGTCTGACCTTAGAGTCGTCATCGAGGGTCTGGTAAAGCCCGCATACTCCATAGACTTGGTACTTTGGAAAACACATACTTCGCGTGAAGAACATCGGGGATGGCCTGAAGTAAAGGCAGTCCCTCGAAGTTCTCAAAGATCCGGTGGCAAGCCGGTCTTCAATAAAGACCACCTTGGAGAGAAGAGTTTGGAGGAACAACGCGAGCTTTCAATGTAATGCTAAATAGCTACAAAGTAGGGGTGGATAAGATGGTTCGAAAGTCAAAAATTCGCACGAGGCTTTGATCGAAGGCTACGACAAGGGCAATTGGGCGATGGCTGACATTTTGTAGTACGTGGATAGCTTCATAGGCCTCGAGATATATGCTCAGAGATTCTTCCTAACGCCCTGGGCCTTGAAAGCAGCAGAAATCTCCCCGTATGCCACGTAAATGGCATAGATGGGGATGAAGACCCACAGCATATTGAAGAAGACAAGGTACACCCAAAGGTACATGAAGTTGCTCGTGTCCAAGTAGATGTTGCCGGTCAACCATTCGGGGCAGAAGGTCATGAATCCTAAATCATGTTAGTTGGGCCACTCGTTCTTGGATGTTAGACGTCGGATACGAACTCACCCCCATAAAGTTCCGCCGTTGCGATGACAATCATCCAAATGTTGACCTTGGGGTCACGCTTAGCGATGCTGTAGCAAATCCATACGGCCAGCGGTCCGGCGCCGAACACCGTCAGAAGCTCCAGCGAAATCACACCCTGCCCAACAAGTCAGCCAACGTCTCGTCTCTGGAACAGCCTCCTTCGGCAACATACCAAGTCCGCACCGGCCCATCTCTTATCAGCCCGCGCGTAAACCATCCATAGCTGCGCAAAGGGATTGTTTCCGCCCGCTTGGGCGCCATAGATGCGATCCGAGTGACCGAGGAAGTTGGCCGGGGTCGGGTGAAAACCGCTGAGGTCGGCGTCTGGCACGTCGGCGAGAGGGATGTAAGAGAATAAGCAGTGATAGAGGAAGCTTCCCTCGAGGAAGAAGTGGATCAAGGCATCAAAGGCGTGCCAGATGAACAGCACGCGATAGCTCGTCGATGTGGCGGGGTGGAGGACTCGACGGGACACGGCGATAGCTACAGACAAGAGGACGACGGTTGCGGCCAGGGAAATGAGGGTAGTCTGGTCGAACAGATCTGGTGGCAGGCTTGAAGATGTTTTGGACATGGTAGGCAGAAGCGCGTCGTGCAATTGACTGTTCGTTGTTGATAGTTGTAGAAGAAATTGTGTCACGCCAGTGATCGGTTGTCACCTCCATCAGTCTTGCGACATTTGGGTCAAGGATCCGTGCACCGGAGTGCCAGGCCCGGGGTGGGGAAGATGTTAGCTCGGGTGGAGACAATTCGGGAATTATGCAAGGGTAGAGGTTGCATCGATTGAACATCATCATGATATCAGACGGGCTGTGGTACTGGGATATCAAATTTCTCGTGTGAATGGATGGCAACGCTGATGAGAAAGGTATGTTTTTGACGATTAAAGACGACTACATCATTGTGTGGAGTGTATCACGCAAAATGTGGCCTCGATTTGATCTTAGCAATGCAGTGGCATTAAAGTTATTCTAGGTAGAGGATCCATGATCAATTCCCAGGTGTTCCTGCCTCATTGCATGTCCCGATCCGTTCCAAACGCCTGCCCATTGAAAATCTCCCTGGTGTTTGGGTATCGTGGGAGTAATTTAGTGCTTGGCCTGCTCCTTGTAGCCCTCGCCCTTGAAGTCGTGCTTCGACTCGTCGATCTTGTCGCCAACGGCATCCTTGGCGGCGGAGGCACTGTGAAATATTAGTCCGAGACCATGATAAAGATAGAAGTGAGAAAATCCTTACCGGTTACCGATGGAGACGTTGTCGTCCTTGGCGACCTGCTTGTTGGTCTCCTTGGAGGCGGTGGCACCGGCCTGCTGGACAGACTCGGAAACGTAGTTGGCGGCGTTCTTGATGGTCTCCATTGTGAAGTAGGTTGGGTTGTTTGGTTGGTGGTGTTGTTTGTTTGTGATGAAGGTTGATTGATTGTGAGTGTGATGGAGAGAAGAGAAAGACGGGTAGAGGTGGTGGGAAGAAGAGGTTTATATAACAAGTTGGCAGCAGTCTCGAGGCACCCTCTCGTCTGAGGGAAGGCAACTACTGCCTCTTTGCGGTGTGGTGCCTTTCTGCCTTGCGGAAGTTGCCCCGCTGACAGGTTGAGTTCGATCATTCGAATACCCGTCGGTAAGGAAGGAAGGCACCTCACGGATGGGAAACGACGACACCTCAAGGAAGGAAGTACCTCCAGCTCCAGCACAACATGGGAAGGTACCTACGTGCCTACCTACCTACCTCGCGGGCTGCCCCTCCGTCTGTCTGCCTCTGGCTCCTCTGCCCCTCCCCCTCGTTTGATCCCTTGTCAAGTTCCCGAATGCAATAGTTTGGGCCGTGCCTATCGGGCTTGTCTCTCGCTGCGCGTGTCTTGCCCCTCCTCCGGGCTTGCCCACTCATGGCTAGAGCGCAGTTTCACCCCATCTGGCAAAGACGCTCAGGGTCTATCATGTGAACTGAAGAAATGTCGTCATAGACTGTGACATTCTTCGCAGTTACTCCAGTTAGTGGGAGCTGAGGATGGATCGTATGGCCAATGCCCAGAAGCCAGAGGGAGATCTCTATCGAAAATGACCAAGAGGTGGCCCAGGTGGCTCCATGCGGACCTTCCATGTCTGTTTGGGTGCAGTCGCACCAGCCACAGATGGAGAGAGCTACCTACAGCTCTTGCAACCTGCAGGAGCTTTGGTCAAGCTGCCTACCGTGCACTCCTAGAGTGACGTCAACAGGACGTAGACGCACTAACGTCATACCCAGGTGGGTAGGCACGGAACTCGTAGTGTCCCCGCATAGACCTGGACGGTGGACCTATTGTGTACGGGCCTGAGGCTGGGCTTCCACTTCCAGCATCCCACTATTCGTACCTTGCGGTACTCTAATTTTTTGCGGTCCCATGCCACAGAAGGACCCCACCTGCATCTCCAGGTGCACGATACGATGCGACTTGCATTGTCGTTGGCCCATCCGCGTTTGCAGCGAAGACAACCATTGCCACATGCAAAGAGAACATGTCCATTCTCGCGTCAGTCGCGTAATGCTGGCCACCAAAATACGTCAGTTTGTCGATTGCGAGCAGTGGCCAGCCAACCAGCCTCCACGTCCTGTCTTCAAAGAGGATGGCATTTTTGCAAATCTCGATCATGCCGTCTACTTTCCCCACCCTCTCCAGGACATCATCTCCCATTATCTCCCATTATTGGAAAACACCTCCACACTCTCCTGGTCTCACCCAAGGAAGCCAAGCAGGCTCGCAGCCACAGTGGATCACACGATGGGCGCATAGAAGGCAAGCAGTAAAAGCAGATTCGACGGGACGGGAGCTTTGAACAAGCATCAACCACATGAACTCAGCTTCAACGGGTGAGCACAGATCAAGGAGCCTACTGGACAGCGCCAACCACCGTGTTGCTGATTCGCTGTGTTGCAATAGAGCTCCATGCGAAGTGACGACACCGCCAGGTAGCTTTGTGCTTTGGGTCTAGCAAGCCACCCAAGGACCGTTCTGGACCGCCCAAAGCGTTCGAGAATCCAGACAACATCGCAGCTGCCAAACCGCAGAGTCCGCGTCTGCCCCTCTGCCTTCTGGAGTATGGAGTCTGGATGCGGCAAGATGCGGGTTTCAATTTGCACTTGCGCAGCCCGGCGAATTCCCGCAACCTACGAAACAGTTGACTGTTTCCCGATTCGCCCCTCCACAGCAAGCACGCCTGTATGTCATCGAGATCCCTGATGAACGAGCCACTGGGAACAATCACAATACGATGCGGAAGAAGCCCCGTCTCCTTCCCTTCCCTTTGCTGCGTAAGTCTTGCCTCCTGCTCCATACCTTATTATTGGTACACTATGTGACTCTCAGCTTCATGCTCGGACGTTCTTCTCCGGTCGAAGGCGGCTGATTGTCCTGCAGGATGGGGGATTCTCCACGCTGCGTCTCATGTGATGCTGATGCCATAATTGCGGCATGGCCCAGCTTTACCCCTTGGACGGACGAATACGATGCGAGAAAAAGACCGATGCATTTCCCAACAGAGCAAGTACTTTCTCACAGGAGAGCGCCAGGCGCATCTGCTCGTACCATCTCACCTAGCCATCAATTCGGTTGACAGAATTCGTGCACAACAACATGCGGAATTTTTGCTGGGCCGCGTTGCACATCGTATCCACTCTCGTTCAGATCTTCGCCTACGTACGTAGTACACCAGCTTTTGATCTCGTGCCCCTCGTCGCGACGTTTGCCTCCTCCCGATTTGCTTATACCGTGTCTCCATTGTCCGACTTCCCGAATCCGAAAACATCCCACGAAAACTACGTCACAGCAACGACATCGCCAAAAAAGCACATCAGTATTGCTCTCGCCGTGCATCTTGCTTCTGAAGGAGTCAAGCCGCCACCGCGGACCTTGAGGAACCCGATTGCTACCCCTCTTCTGCCCCTCGGCTGGGCACGTCTCATTCTTAGACACTCACGACACTGCTACCTACATATCCGCATTCCACTCAATAAGGTAAGGCCGTGTTATGTCAATCAGCGGGGCCTAGCGTCGTCTGGACATGAGCCTCGGAGTAACCTGTAGCCCCGCCGCCGTTCTAGAGCTACGTCGTCAAGCTTTTGTTGGGCTGGTGACCCAATTCTAAGCTCCTCGTGTAAGCTTGTTGTCAGTGCTTGTTGACACTTTTTTTTCCGGGGGTGCGATGCCTCAGTCCTAGCTTGCCCGTCCCTTGGACATCTCTACGCCTTGAGCTTGTCAGCTCTAGCCTGAACCCGAGACTCAAACGGAGCCGCGGCTCATTGTCCTAAGTTAGGCCCCTCATACGAAGTGTCTTTCAATAGCTTCTCGCCGCGTGTCTTTCTGGTCAATGCAGCCGTCGGTGCCCCTGGCTTTACCCCTCCATGCCATTCCATGGGCACGCGGGCTGTTGCATTTGGGAAATGCGCCCGATCGACTTATCCGTGCAGAAGACACAAGGAGAAGCGGCACCAAAATATGGAACGATGCGTCGATCGTGGACGCTAACGCGCGCCTGGCGTGGCCCCCGCCTACCCAGCCTTTCTCCGTGCAGCGATTCTCTCAGCCCCTGATGATCGATGCTACAGTTGGTCATCGACCGCATCGGCGGGTAAGTTCTTTCGGCGACGGGGGCGCGGGGCATCTCGAATCTCGACCTCAGGTCTCTGATTCCAGGGGCAGACCGCTCGGTGGCCGTGCCCTTGACTGAGGGGTAAGTTTGTTGTTATTCTGCCTTTGTTGGCTTAGCACGGGAGAATGTACTTGGAACGAGCTGCGCTTGCACAGAATGGCTGTAGCACGTCAAGCATGTGTAGCTTTGAAGACTGGGCAAGCACGCACCGAGGAGGAATATGCTCAAAAATAGTAGTCGCTCGCCCAAGAAGAGGTAGTCCTTCTTTCCCATCTCAACTTCGCAATTCCTCGTCCTCTGTTCTTTCTATCTCACATATCTCATCTCCCACTTCTTAACACATCAATGAAAAGGTTACTGTTGGGAGGGCACCGCAAGAGGACGAACAAAGTGGATTACATCCGATATAGCAAGTCTGCCATGTTCACCGACGACACGCCCCAGGATTCGATCTTCTCAGAGTCTGAAGATGCCAAATGAGATCTTCAAACTCATGGCTGCTAACGAAAACCCAGAAATCTAGATTGACAGATGGCAACGAATGAACGAAATCCCCATTCGCTTCTTCCTCTCACACAGGACCGCGACAGTCCAGTGGAATCACACAACCGCCCAGTCCAAACGGTGTTCGTGCCTAACACCAGCAACCTGAAATTGTTTCGAAATGGATGATGGATATCGGCCTCAGACCAGTGGATCCAAATACACCTCCAGGTGCAATAACAGATCTGGCATACGGGGGCCCCGAAATGACATGGTCCAACCCAGCAGACGGCAGATCACCGCCTTCATCGAGGTTACACCGCAGGCGTAGATTCACTGGGGCCATGCGTGAATTGAGGGGACTCTGGATCCCGCTCATCGGCTGATACTATGTGGAAAATTGATGGACCCGAAGGGCCTAGCGGTTAAGAGGATTACGATTGCACCTTCAACCTGAAGAGAGAGGATAGTAATGTTGCTGCTCGAATAGTTTCGGGCAGCGTTGGATGGTCTCTTGAGTGAGAGGGTGTGAAGTTGTCCAGTTTTAACCCTGCTGTCTTGATGTCTTCACCAAACTTAAGGAATCCCAAGGCTTCGCCGTACGTAAGCTGTACGCCTCTGTTAATGCGAGATATTTGCCGGTGCTGGGTTGCAACATCCTGTGCAGCATTTCCATGTGCCATGGAACGCCTCTCGCATGTTTACATGCTTGCACACACAACACCACGTAGCTCAACTTGATTAAAGTTTTATACTTAATGCCCTAGAACCTACTTAGGCATCTACCTGTGTGTATTATCGGCATATCTGTGACGATCACGAATGATATATGAGGTGCCTCTCCAATCCAAGGTGAATTCCGCCTTCACACACGTGAGAGTGAGACAATATCGGGCAGAAATCGGGCATCACGAAGCACACCATCACATCGACCTGCTCAGATCACCTCGCCGCGTGCCGGCGAGCTTGCGATACAGGGTAGACCGCATCCAGAGAAATGCTCCATGTTTTCTTCCAATCGTGACATCAAAAAATACCACGAGGTGCTACCTGAAGCCGAATTGTCTCCAAGGTAGCATGCCCTCAGTCCAAACACGTACGACGATACCCGCCTTCAGCAACATGGTGTCGACGCCGTGAACATGCCTTACTGTAGACGCAGCTTCAATGGCGGCGTCAACCGGCTGACAATCTCGGCATGCACATCCTTCAACCCCTGTAAGACAATTACGTCCTCCGCGTGCATACCCCCCTCTCCTTCTCCTTCTTCCGCCGCTATCTCAGCCGGGAAAGGCTTCCAAGGCCGCTCGTCGGCCTTGCACTTATCCCACCCGGCAATCCGTCCGTCAGCGGCAACCATAGCCGGCGGCGGCACGACGCCCTTGTGCAGATACGCCCTCATCTTCTGTATCGCGCAGATCGAAGTCGCGGCCAGGGTGCAGTGCCCCTCGGCCTCGAGCTCAAAGACGCCGGCGCCGACGAATTTCCGGGACGCGGCGACGGCTTGGACCAGCGGCGTGACGGGGTCGTGGGTGTTTCCGACAAAGAGGATCGGGAAGGAGGTGTTGACGGGGTCTGGGGATTCGAGGTTCGCATCCCAGTCTGCGGAGGGGAACTTGGCTTCGATGTCCCAGCCTTCGCAGTGCATCATGAGAGGGAGGAACTTTGAGGCCGGGGAAAGTCAGCTGACAGCCACTAGCTACCCTTCCTATGACTGAGGTGGACTTACGACGTCGGCGAAAGAGGTGACCTTGGATACTTTGCCAAAGACTTGTTCCAGAGTCTCGTTACGCTGGTAGAAAAAGCCCGTTAGCACATGTCCTTCCTGACCTTGAAGTTTCATATTTGCCCTCACCGTGTACCTCCGGTCACTGCATCCAATCGCCTTGGGGCTCTCCTCTGGATAAATAACCAGCTTGAGGTCCACGTCGCAGGTGAAGCCGAAATCAGGCGCAACCACCACGTCGGAGAGGTCATCGCCCACATGCAGACGGTTCAGCAGCACGGCCAACAGGGGAAAGACCTTGGTGGGAGAGTAGAGCGAGGTGAAGAGCAGTTTCCGTATGTCGGCCTCCAGCAGCACGATGGGCATGTGTCCCGTGCGGGAGACGACGATGAGCGGATCAGCCCGAAGCTTAGCCATTGTCTGCTCGTATCGCTGCTTGACTTGCTCTGGGCCGCCGTCGCCTAGGCGGTAGAGGGCACATGCGTCCCTGGCGAGGTGGCAGTAGTAGAAGAATCTTTCCAGGACTGCGTCGGCGTCTCGCATGGCTGAGATCCATGTCTAACACTTCTTTTTAGCATCCAAGTGACTTGAACAACGTTGATATGCGACGGATACAACTCACGGGTAAATCATACTCCTTGGCATCAACGACACCATCCAGAATAAGTCGTCCAACCGCATCAGCTGTGTAATACCAATAAGGTCAGCCCTTAAGATCTTACACGAAGAACGTTGAGTTGCCACTTACGATACATGGCCGCAAAGGTTTGTCCTAGGAACGTGCCGTAGCTGAACCCCCAGTAGACGAGTTTCCCCTTTGTCGAAGGAGGAGCAGCTTCGCTGGGCGACAACATGCCGGCACCGAGCGGCGTGGTTTCGAACCCGTTGTCCTCAAGCCAGGCATCGTGTGCGGCGACGATGCTCTTCATATCTGCCGCTACATTCGGTGTGGCCATGTATTCGAAACCGCCCTCCTCGACATCCTTTTGGGAACACAGCTTGGACAACGCCCTAGCACGCTGTGCAATCTGATCCAAGGCGCCGGACGTGGAATTCGGCAGACCAATATCATGAGCCATCGCCAGCCAGGTCAGTCTGTGCATATAAGCAAGGTTGTTGGCCGCCGCCGAGGGTTGCTCGCCGGGCTTGGTGTCGACGAAGCAGTCAGCTCGTGGAGTCGTGGCGCCGATGCCGCGGGGATCGAAGCCGATGATGTCGACGCTGCCTCCGGCGGCGGCCTGGATAGTGGGGCCGAACGGTGGGAAGGTGAAAGTGGTGCCTGGCCCGCCGGGTCCGCCGGGGTTGAGGAGAAGCGGGGACTCGGAGAAACGCCCCGTCTCTAGGCCGTGGCCGAGAGCGGGGAGGAGAACCATGGCGACATGGACCTTGGGGTTATCGGCAGACTGAGTCAAGGGCCGTTGGTAGTCCATCGGCACGGTCAATCGGGCGCACATGTAGCCACGGCCGAGGGGGAACATGCCGGGGAGCGCGCATCGCACCCAGAGGAGCTTCTCGCTCGCGGGTATGTCATCCCAGTCGGTGAAGACCGGAAAAGGGCCTTGTTCTGAATGAAGGATTACATTGCGGCCATAGAACCATTCACTGAGTTTCCACGACCAGAGCACGAATAGAACGACTGCGAGGATAAGAGGCCTCCTCCAAGATTCTGTCTGCCGTGAGTGAACGGGCCGATAGAACGTGTTTGACTCAGCGAAGCTTTTCGCCGACATGATCAAGAAAACGAAGGTGGCAAAGAGGTGTCGAGCAAGAGTCAGACGATAAATGGACCGGTGGTGCTATAGCTATGGATGGGCAAGGTAAGGTAGGATGAGAGAGGCGGGAAGATGCCCTGACGACTACGTCGGTGATGAGTTGACGTGTGGCTCGCACTGATGCCTGCCAGCAGCAGGATTCTGTATGCAGTACGGATACTCCGTAGGCGACATACTGTAAGACGCGGCTACTGCACCATCAGCGCGGCACGCCGCACGACAGTTTGGCGCTGGCCAGTCACAAGCTTGGATCGGCGAATCATCCTTTTCCATCAACCTCTTGGCGAGGCGACCCGATAATCTCAGCAACTCGTCGAGACTTGTCGAGTAATTGAGGTGCAGTAAATGCAATGCATGCACGAGGGAATTTTCCCCTGATTATCTTCAAGTGAAGTCTCGGTGACTGCATGGTGAGCGTATGAACTTGGTTGAAGAAGGGACGGGCACTAGTCCGGACGTCGAGAGACGTTTGAGGCGAAATTTGCGGTGCCAAGAACTTCCCCGAAGCAGCGTCTGAACCGGCTGTTGTAATATTCCGTCCACAATATAGGATACCCGTGGACCTGCGGCAGCGCTAACAGAGACAGCTCGTGGATGGTGGAAACGCGGAGGCGAGTCAAGAACATGGTATTGGTGAATTGGTCCAGGGCTCCAGGACAATCAAAAGGTGGCCTCCTCTTCCTCCCGCGTCTTCCAGACCGGCTAGACCAACTGGCGCGTCTGAGGGTTGGCCTTGGCGTGTACGATAAGCGACGAGCAAGTGCCAGGGAGATATCCCGCGATGTTTCGCTGTTTTGGGTGCGTTTGGGGACGGAGCCCACAGCACAGCTTGGGTTCGACCATCCGCTCAGCCCAGCCACCAAACAAAAAGGAGACCCAGAGGGCGGCGGGTAATATGTCCATCTTGGAAAACCCTTGCGGTAATTACCCCGTACATCGTACAGGCGAGTTCCTGAGACAATGACATTTGATGCTGCTTAGAAGGGCCTTTAGAAGAGTCCCTTTTTTAGAAGCCCGCCACAACGTTCGCAATAGGTTCCGAGTTGCTGGCTGGCCTAGATAGTCCGAACGCATGAACGGAGCACCGATAGAAACCAGTTCGTCTAAGAGTTCAATCAGATAGTGGTTGAGGTTCGCGAACGTCTCAGATCATCCGCGAGAGCTATTTTCGGATTGTCTAGAGGATATGCGACGAATGAGACAAATGCGCGCGGCCTTGATTTATTGCTGGTCTCTCGTAGGAGATCACCGCGGTTGCTGGTGCTGTCACAATCGCTCGAGTTGCATTCTAGTGCCGTTGGACCGGCTTGGCCGACTGTGAGCACCGAGGTTTTGCGTCCAAGGGGCTTGGATGACAGAAAGCTTGAGGCAGTGACGGTGCATCCGTCTGAAGAGGTAAGCGTGTTTTGGTGTGTAAGGCCTTGCGCGACCGGGGCGGGCGACGAATATCGGCAAAGACGAGGAGTGTAACCCTTGGGAACATCCGCCGTTGTGATTCCTGACCAACGGGCCCGGGGTCCATGTAGAACGGGGGAGTTCGTTCTCGCTGGAGCGACAAACCCATGCCATCATGGCTCCTCTTCCTCTGTCGGCACTTGGAAGAGGCAACATTTGTCGACGACCTACGTTGCAGGTGAATGGGATCGCAGGGTGCATGGACGCCTTCAGGGGGTAGACTACGACTCTGGACGAGAGCCAAGATGGAGTAGTCAAGTAAGCTTGTGTTGACCAGGTCTCGATTCTCGAAACAAACAATTCCGGTGCAGAATGCGTGGCCATTGCCATCTAGGCCAGGCTGCCCGGAGTTTTGGCCCCCAGACTCAAGAGATTTAGAGTCAGTCTGTTCGTAAAGGGTGGACGAAATGACAACACTTGGACGCAGCCAAGAGCGACGATGGATGGTCTTGGTAAACTCTTGTCTTTCGAGCATCGGCTTGCGGACCCAATGGCGAAGAGACTCTTGCTCCCCAGAAAGTGAAGCTGCAACATTGGGAATGGGGCCGCTGGAGAGTTGCTTATGCGGAAGGACTCGCGCTGCCCAAGACGTGCCACAAGTGGTTGACAGGCTGGTTTCCAAGACTTTAGACTCCCAAGACCAGCCATTCCGCGCCGTCTCTTCCGGACGAAGCTTCATTCTTCCTTCCCTCCACACTCGAAGCCGGACCACATGGCGGAAAGGAGATGACAGTTGATCACAGACGGCGCACTAAAGATGGCGACAGCTGCCGCGCAGTAGCCTTTCGGCTGGTTAACCTAATGCCAAGTCAAAGATTAGCTGCATCGAATCAAGAATGAATGGCTGTCACACTTTTTCCAGGCTGATGAGAAATCCAGCCGAATATACGGAGTATGAACCTTCCATACCTTAGCTTCTGTGAGGTACGGACGTTGGATGCAGATTTGATGTAAGGTACAGAGCAAAAAGGGTACGCACGGGATGCGCTTGGTGAGAAAACCTGAGGTGAGCGATGCGGGTAGACATGACAGGCAGTAGCCGGTCAGCAGAGTTTAGGCGTTTGGCAAGGCAGGAAGAAAAAACCTGTCAGAGTCTCTATTTGCAGCCTGGAAACCTCGCCCTGTCCTTGAGGCGAGCGCGAACTCTTTCCTTCCACACCCAACAAAGTCTTTGCAACGGTCCTACCATACAAACAATGAGGCAACACACAGCAATTCTTGATTACGGGCAACGACACCGATTCGACTTCCAGCTCATTGACTTTGCAGAGTCTGAATGCCTTCAGGCTCTCCCCCGGTTCGTTTGCCTTCTTCTCGCCGGAAACCAAGCGGGTCAGGCACGTGCATGTTCGCTTCGAACTGGGCACATCCTGCAGGCCTCAACCCACCGGCCTGCATTGAAGACTCGCGAACATGGTGTGTCATGGGGCAAGCCGCAAACCGCACATACGGAGTACATATTACACAAGAACCGCAAAACTGACTCTTTCCCGTTCGAGGTTAGGGAAGATAGGGGCTTTGGTCTGATGTCCCCGGCTCACAATGCTAATTTTGGCTACAAAACGGAGCCCAAGCAAACAACAATGTACAGACGGCCACCATCAGCGGAATCCTTACGACGGCGACTATCACGCAACTCCGAAGTCTCAGACACGGGCAGAAGTATGGGAGAGTGTCGCACCAGACCAGAAAATCCACTGGACACTCCAACGGTACTGCACTCACAGTCGATCGACCTCAGACTCCCCATGCTCGGTCGAACTCGTCTGTCCTCTCTGCATTGCATCCCAGTCTCCATCCATCCACCCGGCCCAAGACTCTGTCACGGAATGCAGTTGGACCCTTTTTTCGCTTTGTACCGTCCCACGGGGTTCTTGGGGCTCCTCCTGACACTTGACAATTGGCAAACCATCGGGGCACGACTGTCATGCGTTTGCCCCTCTGCCCACCACTAGACGTCTTTCCATCATCCGCAACCTGGAGTTGAGGAAACATCCGCCAGGGACACCATCCCGGCAAAGGGCGGGCCGAACGGCGCTGCGCACGACTCGCTGGAGAAAACAACCCGATTCACTCTTGCCTCGTTGTTTAGCGGCTCTGCGTCCTCAGTATGTGTGTCTCTTACCTGTGCGGCGTGCCGCGGACCAAGAGGTTACACGGCCGGGACGTGGCTGATTGCCCTTGGCCACTTGGCGGGCTTGGAGACTCCATCCGCCGCGGCACCCGACAACGCCAATACCGGGGAGATCTCTTGTGCTTCTTGGCCGTTGCATCGATGCTCGATAGTCTGCCCTGCTGAGAGGGGCAGCAAGTCCAAAAGATGGTACCAGACGGAAGACGACACCGGCCATACGGCGACCCGCCAAGTGCCAAGAGAACAATCCGCCCCTTGGCACAACCATGAAGGTATGCTTAGATGCTACGCGGAATTCTGAACCTCTGAATTGTTCCTTTCGAAATCCACCAACACCAAGTATCGTCCAGGCTGCTGCTCACCCGCCACCTTCGTCCCATCCACCCAAGCAGAAATCAACGGAGGGACGCAGAGAAATGGGCAGTATCGTTGCTGTGCACGTCCCAACTACCATCGCAGGAGTGCTTGGCAAAGTCTCATGAGCGACTGACCCACTCTGCAAATACTGCGTCCCTCGACCATCTGCCAGAGAGTCGAGTCGGATCTGTCTACGCGTCCCGGGGGGTCACCCATGCCCTCCCATGCCCTGGCAACATCAGAGCGTGGATCTCTGGGCCAAAATTGGCATCCTACCTGACATATCTCGGCCATCGCATAGAGGCACGGCGACGATGCCAAGACCTCCTAGTCAGGTCTCTCCGTCAAGCTTGGTCTCGAATCGCCCTCCTCTTGCACACTCGACCGCGGCTGGCCTCCCAGATGGATATCCCAAACCGACCTGCCCAATTGGCTCGCTGCCTGTCTCTGGTGTCACCTGCGTTTCATGCCTCGACTGCGTCGGTGACTGCTTGGACCTCACGCTGAACAATATCCAGTCCCGCTGGGCGGATTGTCTACAATGTACCATCGCTAGCCTACTCGTCCCTCGGCCATCCCTTGGCGCTATTCGGAGCTTTCCAGCTGGGCAATCCCACCTCGACCACGACGACCACCCCCTGCCTGCGCCTCCGTATCGACTCGATCAAGAGCCTACCCCAGACGGTAGCCCCCTCTGCTAATGTCTGAGGGCCCAGGACCAACTTGAGGCTTTCGACGGGACTCTATCTCTTGGCATCTTGGCGGCTGTGTCTCAAGCATGTGGCTAGTCTCCAGTCTCAACTCATCCATCTTGGCTCGTGGGGAAATATATGAAAGCTAAATTCTCGTGCAGTTTTTCAGATCTTTTCTTCTATTTCTTCTCTAGCTGTGCTCGACTGGTATCCTGTCTCTTCTCGGTTTTCTTCTCTCTCTTATTCAAGACTTTAAAAAGCTATCTTCAATTCTTCCGCTGGTCGTGTCCTTATTATACAACTCTACGCCTATTAGTTAGTGTCACCGTTCCTCAGCCCACCTTCGCCTCTTCTTCCAAGAGCCGTTCTACCCGAATCACACCAAGAAATACCGACTACCCGAACAGATCGACAAGATGGTCAACCGCTACATCTTCGCCGTTGCCGGCCTGGCCGCTCAGCTCAACGCTCTGCCCTTGAACATCAACTTGGGCGCTTATTCACCTGCCTTGGTGGTGGGTGATGGTGAAATTTCATTTGGCGGTAGAAACGACGTCTCCCAGTTGATGAACGTACTGGAGGGCGCCGCAGTTAATGCTGCTCAAGGTGCTGCGAATGCTCCGGCCGCCGCCCCAGCCGCTCCCGCGGCACCTGCCACCCCGGCAGCCCCTCAGCAGCCTGCTCAGCAAGCCGCTGCTTCAGTCGGAGGTGCTACGCCGGTGACTGCTTCGTCCGCGGACAACCAGATCAACGAGGTTAGTGGAATCTTCTAGCTTTCGGGCGGCTCATGTCTGTGTGTACGGGACACACACGGACGCTAGTACTATCAGACCAATATCAGCTAACATATTACCTCTCCAACCAGGCCCAGGCCATCGCAGCCCTCCAAGGAATGGGCAAAGAGATCGCTCCCCGTGTACAGCTCACCAAGGCCCGTCCCGCCGAGAAGCGAGATCTCTCCGGTTTCGATCGCGCTCTGAAGTACGCTGAGGCTGCTCTCGTTAAGGGACCCAAGGTTCAGCTTGGCACTGGCAAGGAGGGCTCTGGTGTCGGCATGATCATCGACAACAACCAGCAAGCAGCAGCTCGCCCTGGAACCGGAGGCGCCGCTGAGGCCGCACCCGCTACCCCCGCTGCACCCCGCCCTGCCGGCGCTATTGTTGCTCAGCAGAAGGTCAAGGCCCGCTCCGATGAGGCCCAGCAGCCCCCTCGCCGCCGTGCCAAGGTCACCACCATGTACGTTCGCTCCGGCGTTCCTGCTGGTAAGTAACAAATAAGCCTTGGAACACTCGAGGCACACGCGGCTAATCACTACGGAATAGGCGTCGAGATGACCCCTGAGAAGCTCGTTGCCCGCGATCCTTCCGTCCCCGTTTCCCAAGTCGTCCCCGCCACCAACAACAACGTCGTCAAGCGCGCAGTTGAGGAGCTTAACGCACGAGGCGTCAGCGGCGGTGCCATTGACACCGTCAACCTGAACGTCAGCGGTGAGGGCGTCACCATGACTTTTGTCGAGACTCAGGCCGACGATGTGGAGGACGAGCAGTAGATTGCTCTTCTCGCGTGTGTGTTTCTGGAAACCCAAAAAGAGTTTATTCAACCAAACCCCCCAAAATTGAGAACGTTGCCACGATTTGTTTCTTCTCCTCCTTAACTCATTCAAAAATTTACGATTCCCGGCCTCAGCCCTAATCCCTCGTCGAGATCCTTCCGCTGCTCTCCACTCACCTGAGTACTCAGCTCACTATACACAAACGGCTCACGCGTACAAAATGGGTCTCGGCTTGCCTTCGCTTTTTACGGGCCTCAAAAACTCTTTGTCTTTTATTTTACGCCATGATATCAAACATTTTGGGAAAGGTGGTGTGGGTGTTCGTTTTAGACAAATTATTAGCATTCGGCGTGTACAATTTTCTATGATAGTTGGAAAACGCCTGGTTATTTCTCCTTATTGGCTGTGGCGGGCAGCGGCGCGGCGTATCGAGTGGTTGTGTATCTGAACCTTTTTCTCTTGTTCTTCTCTATCTCAAAAAATACCTCTTTGCCATCTACCCAAACATTGCCCAGCGATTATTGATAGCTCCGACTTCTGCTTGCCATGCTTTCCTTGAGAGTTCCTTTTTTTTTTTTTTTTTTTTTTTTAAGTGCATGTAGCATACCTTGGTAGAAACGACCGGAAATCAAAAATGCCTGTTTCGTCTCAAGCGAAAAATCGACCATATGCCGACTCTGCGTGGCGGTTCCTGCATGAAAAAACATGTAGGCATCATGTGGAACCTGCAGCTCAAAGGGCAAAAAAAGCCGCCTATTGACCGCCTGTGGACGTATGGCGATCAGTTCCGAGTTGTTGTGGTTGTGAGACGTTCCAATGTGCTGCCGGCGAACATGGGACCAGCGGGACGTCGCAGCATCTGTCACAAGTCCCCTCACCCTGGTAGATACTAATAGAGCCGCATACAACCCATCGGCGGTATCCATGCTGAAATCGCCTAGTGGAAAAAGACCCAATGGGAGAATTGTAGCGTTTCCTTTGTCAGCGCACGACTCAGGGACCATCCTGGTTCTGCGGGAGGTGGGAGGATTCAGGAAGCCAAGGGAAGCCAGGCCCATGACCAAGGGCATCCGCGGGTACGACCGAGCGGGCAATAGATGCGCTGCGAAAGCCCGCGAGGCGGCCTATCCGTGAGTAGTGTAAGGCCTCTCAGTAAGGTGCCCTGCCCTGGGAGTCGTAGGGCCAGCGAGGTTGGGCGGGTGACGCCGGTCGGTGTTTTAGCTTGCCGCGTTCGTTTTGTCGGGTTTGGCGTGGATTGCCCTGGGTTGAGGTTTTTCTTTCGTGTCTTTGGGGCAAGAAACACCTTGACGCCCGCAGAGATGACTCTGTCTGCCCATCGTCTGGGCATTGTCATCTGCCTCGTGCGCACAGTCTGCTCGTTGGGCTGTTTTCCATTGTGGACTTGATGGGATGGAGGAATTCCGTTTAACGAGAAAGCAAGTTGTAAATGGCGAGCACAACAACGATACCTGAAGCCCGTCTTGAAGTCAGATGGATCGTCAGATTGCTACTAAGACGGATGTGTTGCTATGATTTCTCGGAGCCCATCCTCTTTTCCTCGCAACTCACATCGTACCAAGGCTAGGCTGAAAGACGCAGGGCCAAGCTCAAAGGCAAAGCTTAGTTGCGTTCGTGAACCTAGTCGATCTTCGTTCTCGGAGGCCAAGTGGCCACCCTCCCAAAGACGGGACGTTCTCACCTCTGGAAGACTCAAAAAGAGGTTTCCTCAGGGACGTGAACCATCTCCGGGGCTTGGCGTTTGGATTTATAGTCCTCCGTAAGGCAGGATGTAGTTGCTGTATGTGTGCTTCCTTCCTGGGCTGGCCACGCGGCAAGTGACAAAAGATTTGAAAGTGCCCATCCTCGTCGTCTACGTGTGACCACGTGAGCTCTTGATGGTGACAGCTTACAGACTGACAGTCGCTCGGAAAGCTGCTATCCGGAGCCAAGCCTTTTGGACTCTGCGTGTCGTGGAACCTTTCTGGACTTTTTGTCTTCGGTCATTGATCCCCTGCACGAACGGATCTACCTCTCCCATTCTTTGTATTCCTTTTGCTTTTGGCGCGTATTCCAGCCCAGCTTGCCGCTGATACTGTTAACCCAGTCTTCGCTACGCCGGCCCTGAGCCTGGACGCTGGCAAAGGGATAACGGCTGGCGCTGATCGTCACGTAGTCTCCGGGGAATAGCTCCACGCGCTCGCGGCCGTCGAAGCTGGCCCACGAATTGGTCCTTGCATCGTATGGAACGCCCACACGAAGAACAATGGTATCGGGTAGGATGATGGGACGGAACGAGAGCGTGTGCGCGCAGATGGCAGTGACGAGCATGACGGGGTTCTCCGGGTGGCAGAGTGAGCCGCCGGCCGCCAGGTTGTACGCGGTGGAGCCCGTTGGGGTCGAAACGCAAATGCCGTCTGCCAAGACGGAGGTGAAGTGTTCGTCGTCACCGAAGATTTCAGTGTACGACATTGCTATTGGGGTCGCAGGATCAGTCATCTAGAGTTTTCTCGGCAGGGAAGCATAGTCGAGGACCTACTTGGATTTGGACCACGATCGACGACGATCTCGTTCAATATCTCAAAAGTTCCGTCTGGTTTGTGGGTGTGCTCATCTTCCCTCTCCTCGCCCACTAGCTCTTCGACGAGGTCAAGCTTTCGCCCATCGTCGTCTTGGCTCGAGCTGCTCTCTTCACCGTCCACCAGTTGTTTCCTCGTCTGGCTCCTCATGATGGTTCCCTCAAACCGCAAGCGCAAGCTGACTGTAACACCCTTATTGAAGGCATTTTCGAGGATGCTTTGGTAGTCCTCGAAATCGAATTTCGTCAGGAAACCCAAACTGCCGAGGGAGAAGCTCAACACTGGCGGGACAATGCGCTGGAATAGCCAGCTGGCGTAGAGTACGGTACCGTCGCCTCCCAATGAAATGACAAAGTCGAACATGTGCGGCCGATTCCGACACATGTCTTCATTCCAGTACCGGAGACGCTTTGATATGCCGTCCTCACTTGTCCCAGCTTTCGATGCTCCTGACTCGGCAACGTCTTTCTTGAGCTCTTCAACTATCCCCGTCGCATTGAACTTCTTGTTGTCCTTAAACTTTTCTTCCACGTAGACTGTATACACAACGTCCCGCTCATGTGACAGAAGCCATTTGGTCAGTTCTCGTGTGCGCGCGATCAGGTCCGCATCGTGGATCTTGGTCAAGAGAAAAATCGTCTTTACGCGGAATCTGATACGCATACTGCTGAGCCGTCTACTGAGCTCTCGAACTCCCCAGGCCATTTCACTAAGCTGTTTCTTGGTGAGTAGTCGGCTATGTAGCTCGTCGTCGTCATCAGAATGGGTCAGATCGATTTGCGAAGCAGACTTGATAATCTCGGATCGCCAGGACTTTTCGTCGGCCTGGCCAACGTCACTGCCTTCGGGGCTATCGGCAGCCAGAATCGACGCTCTTTGCTTTGCGAGCCGTCCCTTGGGCTCAACAGTTTTCGACATTCCTGATTCCCCAGATACATCACAAGCACCGACCTGCCGATGAGAATTCTCATAAGTGGGATGACCGTGGTGGTAGTTGTCCGTGGTGGCTTTCGAGGCGCTTGATACCGAATTCGATCGAGAACCATGGTTGCTGGCGGAGGCTACCGCGTTTCGAGCTTTTCTCTGGCTTTCGAGGAACTGGTGTACGATACACTCGGTTCTCCGGCTAGGGTGTCGCGGCAAAGGCCTGGAAGACTCGGACGTGACTAGAGAGCTTTTGCGCCGGTAAGGGTTTCCAGGATCAAAAGTGACCTATCACAGTCTTAATACAAGGCATGCTATTTGGTATGATGCTTTCAAATCCACATACCTCGACGGCCTTTTGGTAGTCATCGTCACTTCCGCTTGAATGCGCATCCTCCTCCTTCTCAAAACCAACGCGCTTCTCCGTTTCGTCGTTGGTAGTCACGGCACCCATTTCCCGCAGCAAGAGCGTCGCGATAACGAAGAAGGCGAAACAAGTTGGGAAAGTCGCGACGATGGCGGGGTAGCTTAATCGCGGTTGGTATTTGTGGACGACTTCGATGCGTTCTCACAGCATTAACAGCGGATTGAAAAAGGAAGCAGTTTTGAGAGCGTTGGAAAGCAGGCGCAATCGTCGGCAAACTGGAAGTTTATTTCGACTGCGTTCGCAAAGAGCAAGTTATCAAGTGGCTGTCTCTCTCTTCTTTGCGTCGCACAGTGCCCATGTGCAGTGGCAATGAGGCAATTGGACATGCAGGAAGTGTTCGCGATTGCAACCCCGAGGCACGTTCCCCGAAAGTATGAATGAATAGAAACTAGGATCCAGGTTGCTGCCGATGCCGAGGCTCAGACGATGAATGAATAAAGGTTTTGTTCTAAAGAGCGTGACTCGGAGAAATGGTGGACAGAAATCTATCAAAGGAAACTAAAATAGAAAAGGTTGCAGAGTAAGAGCTGCCCACCTCAGCTTCAACGGATGGAAGCTTCTTCAACCAGCGGGGCCAAGGTGTTAGTGATGATTGCAGCATTGCCCGTAGCCATTAGGGTGCTGGTTCGCCCGGAGTGGGCCGAGCTGACCAACATGAAAGACAGGTTCCTCACTGCGGGCAGGATTAGTGAAGTGGGGGGCCTATTTGCCCGTGGCTTGTGCTGCCGAAGAACCGGGGCGGTAGGGGGACAAGTCGCTGACGTCGTTGCTGTTTTAGGCGGTGGGACTCGCAGAACCTGACTGAATCACAGGCTGGATAAGTAAACGCACCAAGAATTTTATACTTCTGCACTTGCCAGCTTTGCAGTTCTTCGGCACTGTACCTCTGCGACGGAATGTAATACAACAGGGAATCAAGAAAGAGGCAGGTGCCAGGTAGCCAAAGGGGTCAGAGCCTAATACCAACCGAGTTGACCTTGCGGACGTCCGCATGACCATCTATCTACTCTTGGGGGAAAGCCTGCGCAGTAAGGATCTGAAGCTAGACACTCATTGGGTTGCTGACTGTTGATTAACATCGGGTGATGCTGCTCGCGCACTATCTAACATGAGACGATCACTCCATCGCCATGGCCGCCTCGAATGAGTTCATTTCCCCATGCAATGCAGTGTAAGCGACGAGCATCGCCAGGCACATGTCACTCTTCCCCTTCCTGTTCGATCGAGGAATGCCATACTTGTACCCAGTCGTGCCAGTGTACCTACGGTATTTACTGGAAAGACCGGACGATAAGGGGGATGACCTAATATCCTACCAGATAAGACATGCGATAATCGATAAGTGATAAGAACCTGGAAGCTGAGGTGGAGCTGGGTCGTACATCGAGGCACACCCCGCCAAACCACCAAGAACCAGCTGTCCAACCAATCACAAGCTGCAGCGCAAACAGCACCTGCATCTTCACCGCGACCACGTCAGAATGCTTTCGCGCTGAACACCCAAAATTGAGCCCGCAACACGATCCGACACGTTATCGACGCGAGGTGTTCCCTCTTCGTTCCATGGTCTCCTCGGATGATGCACACTCGACTGCTCTCTGTCTACTAGCAAACTCTTAGAGCATGATACACCCATCGACGCACCTCCACTTCCTCACAGGATGAACTCTCTGTGGCCCTCGCGGCCTGCCAACGATGGCGCCGCTGCCGAAAAGGAACCTCCACCGACCGGCGATGTTGCAGATGCCGTGGTAGCGAATGCTGTCGTCGCAGACGTTGGTCCCGATACGAGCAACCCACCTCCTCCGCCTCCACCACGACCGTCCTTGCAGAGAAACTCATCTGCACCCTCTCCAGCTCCGTTGCCAGTTCCGATACCCCCGGCCCCAATGCCTCCTGCGCCCGAACCTCAGCAGCCTACCGACTCGCTATCATTGTTGCAGCTTCGTAAAATCGTTGCCGAGTTCAGTCGCGGCGAGCCTGTCGCCTACGATTTCGTCTATAATGATATGGGTGTCCACGACGAGGAGGTTGACGAATGGTTTGTTTATCAGTTTTGGCAATGGGTACGATTGAACGCCGCTCAGAGAGCTTTCGAATGGCAGTGGCAGCACGATTACGATATACAGACAACTTGGGAAGAGACGGACCACCAGACAAAGGCCAAGTTCACGCTAGATGCCCTAGATGGTCTTCAGGTCAAGGACCCGACACAACGTTCTGCGCATATCGGCAAAGTTTTGTACCTGGTGCTAGGTCGATGGGGCGATACTTCGACGCCTGACACTGTGGGTGACAGGAGGTCGGCCGCCAGCGCGACACAATTAGAGGCCATCAGATCAAGCATCAGCTTTCTGACATCTTTGGCCGGCATTCACACTGTTTGGTCGGCTCTGCAAAGTTGCTTTGATGTGTTTTGGTAAGTACCCCGGGCAATTTGTGTTACGATGTAAGCTAACTCAAGCAGGTCGGATGATGCTCGTCTCGTCCAGCCGGGTGGCGCCCAAGAGGCCCAGGATGAACTTATCAATCTTATGACCATTATGTATGTCATTATTCAGGAGGCTCTGAGCTTCCCTAAGGAACTGGGGGCCACCAGATCCGAGCTTCGTAAGTCACATGCACTCAACCTATCTCGAAAAGACCCGACTGACTGCTGTTAGTTTCTCTCAAACCCGGACTGGTTGATTTTATGTCGCTCGCAACCTCAAAGCTGCGTTGGGACGATGGGAATTTAATGCCATCTAGCCAGGTACGAAGATTGATGCCGTGCGCAAACCTTACTAATAATTATAGATCTTTCTGCTTTTCTGGAAAACTGTTCTGCTCGTTTTCGGCGGTACAAAAGAGGTAGACGAAGCCAAAAAGGCAACAAACGAATCGCCCAATGCGAAGTCCAAAGACTTCATCACGGCATCACCTCTAGACTACCATGTGTTCCGACAAGAGCTCACATCCAAGTATCCGGCCTATGTCCCTCCGCGGACACTCATCCCCCTGGAGCCTGAGAACACAACCCTTCTTCCACCCATACCAAATCAGCCCACGAGGACCAGTGCAGCCAATGGGATTTTTCCGGGGCCGCCCACCTCACAGAGCGGCGGCGCTTCTATCTTGCATCAACCTGTGCACATTGCGACGCCGGCTCCGTCACCGCCGCCGTCTCCTGGTGTTGGGGGCAAGGGCGGCAAAAAGCAAAACTACCAGACGAACCAGAATTTCCCATTTATGTACCCACCTCTAGATGCCACAAGCAACAGCGCTGGTGGTAAAGGTGGAGCTGGCTTGCAGGAACAGCTTGTCGGTCGCAGGTGGGAGGGCAGTGATATTCCTGCGTCCATCTTGGAGGCAGGCGAATTGTTTGCAAAGAGGGTTCGCATGACCCGTGCTACGCGACAGCTGTGGGAAGAGCGTGAAAGCTTCCTCAGATTCGAGAGAGGGTGGGAAGCAGATGGCGACGACAGCGATGTTGATAATCTCGACCTTGAGGGGCTGACCCTCGAAGAGAAGCAGGAGATTGCTGCGTTCAAGGCGGAGACCAAAGCTGAGGAGCGCAGAGAAGCGCAACTTTCGATGCGAGAGCCCGAAATCGACTGCGGCCCTTCGGCAGATAAAGTAAACGATGAGATCAAGCGGCGTCTACTTGCTGTCGAAAGCTTCTACGTGAGTGTTTTTGGCACTTTGAGCTGAGTTTGACTGACACTTTGGCAGAAGGAATCCCTTCCTCATCTACAGTCGCTTGTAATCGTCCTACTGAGGCCGATACTAATGAACGTTACCGCCGTTTTGTCGCAACCTCCGCAAGGTCAACAGCACCCAAGTATGGCCGGCAGAGGTGCCAATGGCGGTATGAACGGCGGCGCTGGACCTAATAGACAACAGCAGCCCCAAGACCCCTCTTCAGCTGGAGGCGGCCCTCCAGAGCTCCCTGAGATGTCGCCGGAGGAGGTCGATGCCGCGCGATCCCGGGAAATCACTACAAAGGCTATTACTGGCATTCTCCTGCTTCTGTTGAAGTGGCTCAGAGTCTCTCGTGAGTATGCTTGTTCTAGCCCGAGGCATAAACTGACCAGGCTGCAGACGTTCTGAAATCCGAATACATGACGCAACTTTTGCTGGATTCTAACTACCTCCCGCTGGTGCTCAAGTTGTTCGCCCATCAGGATGTTCAACAGGTTGTCGACAGCAAAACGGACCGACTGGAGAACAGGTGTGTGATGTTACCAACCTTTACGCGACGCAAACTGACATAATCAGCTTCTTCCACTTCTGCAATCTGCGGTCGAAATTCAAGGAAAAGTCGCCTGCACAGGCAGAGCCCGACGAGGAGGAGAGCGAGGACGAAGCGGCGCCACCGCCCATAAAGAGAAGGCGGTCACCGCCTCGCGTCGCGACCGCCGCAACCCGCGATGGCGACGACACCAGCAAGCTTGAAGGACAAGCCGCGATGCGCCCTGAAGTTGATGAGCTCGGATATCCTATCGGCGACCTGCCAGCGGAGCCCATCACTGATTTTTCGAGAAGAAACTTCTTCTCTTTGATCAACTACCTCCGAATCATGCAAAAGATTTGTAAGCACAAAGCTCACCGGAACCTTCTTCTGGTGCAGTACAAGTCTGCCAACATTCTCCGCAAGTCCCTCAAGATTCCCCAGCCAGAACTCCGACTGTACACCTTGAAGCTGTTCAAAAACCAAGTACCCTACTGCGGCCGTAAGTGGCGGCAGAGCAACATGCGCGTCATCACGGCAGTGTACTTACACTGTCGACCTGAACTGCGTGACGAGTGGTTGGCCGGTAGCGACGTTGATGCCGAAGTGGACTCGGCGCTGCCACTGGAGCAGGCACTGCGCAGTCTGACGCACTGGTCCAATGTGCGGCGATACCCGGACAAGATTGCTGCCGAGCTGCGGGCCGCCCTACGCGAGGAGCAAGACTTTTTTACAAGGGAGCTGGAGAAGCTGGACATGAATTGGGCTGATGTCGGGGCCGATGACGGCGCAAACAGTGAGTGGGAGCACGATGCGGCCGGCTGGCCATGAAATCACCCTGAGCGTCAAAATTACGAGGTATGCTGACACTTGGCGAGTGTCTGGAATAGGTTATTAAAAGCTAAAAGTCGGTGCCGGGCGACCCCTTGTGGGAGACAGATTTACCCAGGCACCGAATACCTCACTCACAGAGGTTTAAACGCAGTTTATGACGTGTACGAACGTAGTCACGATCAAAAGACAACAGTATTGGTCAAACAAGATCACTATGTGCATGATTGGTTCAATGTGTGTGTCATCAATTGATTCGTAACTAGAATGCTAACAAAAAGCCGTCGTCTCGAAAGCGACGGCAAAACTCCACAACTTCCTGGGTATCTTTGCCAACTTAGACCATCTTCAATTCTTGTTTCAGCTCATTATGTGGTCTCGTTCCAATTCCTGTCTCACTCATATCTAGACTCTGTCGTATACACCATCGTTGTAGTGCCGAGGGGGCGGCTGCGTGGTGCCAGTCTCATGTCCATACTCATAGCCGTTGACACCGCCAGTCGCCGTCGTGGTGTTGCCGTAGGCGCCTTCGTACTTGGGGTACCCGGCATCCTGGGCAACGGCGGTGGTTTCGGTGGCGTAGCTGGGGCGGACCTGGTCGGGGCTGGTGTGCATGGGCAGAGCGTTATCGTTGGTCGCGGTGTCGGCGCGGCCGCGGCGGCGAAAGCTGCTGAAGAAGCCGGGCTTGGCGCCCGAGCCCGAGGTGTAGTTGTTCTTGGGGCTAGGGCCGAAGCGCTTCTCCTTGCGGTGGTGGCGTGCGAGGGCAACCTCGACGAGGATGGAGAAGATGAAGAAGAAGCTGTGTTCACATGTTAGCTGCGTCCCTTCAAGGCCAGGGTAGTAGTATACTTACATTGCGACAATGGAGACTGCGAAGCAGGCAGTCTGCAGCTTACAAGCCGTGCGCAGACTGGGGAGATGAGTCCAGCCGTCGCTTCCCGTGTTGGTCGGCTCGCCGTCGGCGGGGCCGTCGCCAAAGGGGGTGCTGACGGTACCGGAGCAGGTTCCGGCGCCGCCCTTGTTGGCGATTGCGACGTAGATGAAGGCGCCGATGAAGGCGACGTCGAGGACGATGGCGATGAAGGAGGTGAAGGCGAGTCCCGCAAGGCAACAGAGTAGGAGGAGGCCGACGAGGGTGTAGAGGGTGGCGGCGCCGGAGATGCCCTCGACGGCGCGGATGGAGTTTGATATCGGGAGGGAGTGGTTGTGGAGGGTCGCGAGGAAGTAGGAGAAGATTGCGAGGATGAGGATGGAGCAGCCTAGCTGGACACCACGGATGAACCACTGGAGGAATTTTAATGCGAAGCCCATTGTTGCGACGTGTGTTGAGCTGCTCCCTTTGTGTTTCTTTGATTTCGTTGGCTGATTGTATGTGTTCAGTGTACTCGGAGACTTGTTTGTTTGGTTGACTTTGTTCGGGTTTCCTTTTTGTTGTTCAAGTCACACCCTGGATACCGAAGGTGAGGTGGGATGAGATAGAGTCAAGGTGAACGAATGGGGTAGAGGGAGGTTCGAGACCCTTAAGAATCAAAAGGTTAAATGGAAGGAAAGAAGAAGGAAACAAGGGCTGCCTCCCTGCTCCGTCTGCCGGTAAATGGACTGCCCGATCCCGCTCCTTTGCGTAGATCGTGGCAAGGTACAGCGCTGTTCAAGCTTGTCTTGGGCTGTCTCCGCCCCATCCCCGTTTATTCCTGGAACATGTTCTTTACGTTCTACGGATACACAGGTGGTGTATTCACACCACACCAACACACAATACCCCCAAAGTTTGAAGCGAATTCACCCAATGACGGAGGACAGGCGTCAGGTTCTTGGTCTGGGGCGCTGTTTGCAGCGTTGATGACGGAGGCCGTTGTGGCTGAATGGGGGTTGTGGGCAAGTGGGGCCCGATGATGTCAGGCGTCTTGGAGGGATAGACGTCGCCGTGATTGGACCGGAGCCAGGACGGTTTCTCCACTTTCTCTGTGCCGGAGGCAGGGTTGAAAAAAATACTACTAGTATTTAGTCTAGTATAAGTATACTTAAGTAAGTCTAGTATTAGTACCTAAATCTAGTACTAAGCCTAGTATAAGTAAGTATTAGTATCATATCAAAAAGTATTAGTATACTTAAGTAAGTATTAGTATACTAATTAGTATTCTTATATAACGTAATCATATAGAAAATAGTATAAAAATAAATTATTACGTAATATTTTAATAATAATATTTTATTTCTATTTATTTTTATTTATTTCTGTTTATTTTTATTTATTTTTATTTTATTTTTATTAAATTTAAGTGTAATTACGTAATAATTATAGTACTATCAGTATACTATTAGTATACTAATACTAAGGCTAGTATTGCTTGGTATACTAATACTAAACTAGGCTAGTATTAGTATTACCCAATACTAGACTTATTAGTATTAGTACTGCCCAATACTTACTTAAGTATACTTTTTTCAACCCTGGCCGGAGGGCCGGCACGGCCACGGTGGTGGAGTCGTCTGTGGCTTTGGCGGGGCGAATGACTTTGCGAACCTGGAAGGTGTGGGGATCGGGATCGCTCGGTTTCCCAGGGGTCTTCCCATTTTACCTTTCGCTTTTGATGTGACTGTGACTGGGAGTTTCCACTGCCCCCTAGCTTTCCATGCCAGGGTTGGCTTCACTTTTCATCGGCTCGCACGGGATAGCCCAGAGCCTAGACCCGTACGTTGACGTTGTAAAGGTGGTGTTCATGACTAAAAGCCTGCAGTGTACCAAGAAGTCGTGGAGCCCTGGGATGCTTCATGTTCAAGACGGCTAGAGTTTAAGAACGGCAGAGTTTTCCAGCTTTCCCGGGATCATATCCCTTTGGATGGTTCTCGGAGCAGCTTCTCGGATTTATGGCTGATTTCCCAGCGTCCACTGTAGGTATCCATAGTGGTAGACTGCGAGGGTTGACAATGCCCACATTCTGAGCGTCTCATTTCTGGAATCACGTCTGCTCAACTTGAGACTGCTTTCAACCCCGCTGGATCCGGTTTTGGCCCTCTCTCTGTCTTGGTCTGGCCAGCTCATGCGTATACCTGTAAGACATCCCTTAGTACTGTACGCGTCGCTCTAGTATGTCTCGGTTTAAAGGCCTGGTATGGGCTGTTGAAGATCATTGGCGGGCCGGCACCCAATTGCAAGGGCGGTCCTGCTCATGAGATAATTGATGATCGGCCATGCAACCACGGCACGTCTCTTCTCCGTCGAGTTTCGCGTAAAGTTTGTTCTTCCCGCTGCCAGGTTTTTTGTGGATTTGCACGGTCCTGGTCGTTTCCCCTGGTCATGTCGGGGTTTCCCCAGATCGTGGGAAAGCCTGCCCGCCAGAAATTCAGGATCACTCCTCTGTACAGCTTGGAGATAATCGCTGCTTCGAAGAGATATTAATGACTGCTAATGTTTTATTCACCCTGTGTATAAGAGCGCAGTCGGTGCGGTTCTTACGTCTACCATTTCTTCGCCATTTCGGCGACGGAATGTTGGTCTTTTGGGACTAGGGTTCGATGCTCTCAATCCGGTCACGTTATGTCATTGCCTGCTTTCTCGACGCATTGTCTAACGGGTAGCGCCGACGATAATCATAGCGGCGGCTTTTAAGCTGTCGACGATCGGACGATTTCGACGGGAATTTGTGATGTCAAATCCCAGCCAAGTGCCTCGGCCCGCGGAGAAAATTGCCGGTAGAAAGAAGGATTCCATGATTTCGTTTTGGGCAAGAAGGGTTCGTCCGACAACTAAACCAGGGCTTTTCACTGGATGGCGACGGCCCTCGCATCAAGACAAAACATTACATTCGTCGTCCTTGAGTGTTGCTGGTAAACAATCTCGGGTTGCAAAGAAACCGTAAAATCCCGAGACAAGACGCAGTTTGTGTTTGTGTATTGTCTTGCGGAATTGAATGCCTTCCGACTAGGGGCGCTTCGGATCGTGCGCCTTCCAGGTAGGCTTCCGATGGGGCGTTCGGTGGGCTGCGGGTGGCTGGTCAAAGACTGTCGATAACTCTGCTGTTGCACCTGGCGATTTCCAGCCTTGCTACCTTTAATTCGGAAAACTTTGGCCGTAGGATACCGGCGTTGAGTCATTAGGCGAAGGGCTTGACGGACGGCAACGGCCCCGCTTTCCTGGCTGGCACCGGGGCACCGGCACATGGTTTCCCGTACCGGAGGCCTTGTGTGGGGCCGGTCGTTTGCGTGAGGTCCCTCCCTCATCAATCAGTAGTAGGTAGTGCCTGTCTGGGAATTTCTTGCTGTAATTTCTCTCGGCGATGATTTTGTCCGGCGCTATGCGACATTTCCTGACCGCCTGTCACCTTTGTAGAACCTCTTGGAGGCAACAGCGAACCAGGCCCCACCGGAAGGTGCATCTCAACACGATGTTGGGCCATTCTCCGTATAGGCGGGCGCACAAGGTGGAACATCGGAAAGAAGTCTCTCGAAATCGACCTCGTGGGCTGTCTCTAGCTTGGTGCGACTTGGCAGCTATTCTTGGCCGTTGGATTTTCTTTGTGAAGCCTATAATAGGTTGTTGTCTCGCATGGCCTGGCGTGTTTGGCTTTGTTCAGCCTTGCTACCGTTGGCCGAGCAGTCAGTCGGTAAAGTTTCGGTGTGGGAATGGGATTCTTTGTCTTTTCCTGCCTAGAGAGAATCGCGAACCGAATCACGACGCCGAGCAGGTGGGCAAACCGCGCGCTACCTTCAAGGTAATATGGCGCTCGGGTCGTGGGGAAGGGCTAGCTTGACAGCTTATTTGCCCCTTCCCACATTGCGGCGAAAAACGATAGTACGTTTCCACTAACAGAAGCCACAATTGGCCGCCATGACAACTTCAGCCCTCGCAATCTGGAGGAGTTTTCAAGTACTTGTCCTTGCAAAGCCCGCTCCCAGCCCAAGTGGAGAAACCATGCAGGGCAGACTCCAACATGGCAAGAGCGTCTTGGCAACTGTCGTGATGGGATGACAGCGGGAGATGGGTTCCAGTATTGACGGGACAGGCGAGCAGAAATCGGTCTTTCCCTGACTCGAAGACATCTGGCGCGTTTCCAGAAATTGCGGGTTTTTGGTCCCCTTTGAAAGGCTCCTCATGCTCAGTCCCTGTACTAATGGCTGCTTACTTCTCATGTGCTGCCAACGTCGAAAACAGTAAACATTAGTACGGATAGACACACTCAATTTACCGTCGGAGCTGAATTTGCGAGGTATCGTCAGCCAAACTATCCGTGTCCTGGTTTGTTCTTCCGCATGAACCCCTCTCCGCTACCAGCGAGTCCCCGGAACGAATCCCCGGATTGATAAAGATTCGCGCATGAGCATTACGCAAGCTGCAATATAGACAAGAGACGCATGCGTTCTACAGCGTCAGCTGGAGCGCCATGGTTGACATGGCATCAATAGTTTGGTATCGGCAACGCAGGGCAGGAGCAAGGATGCCACACCAAACAAACGAACTGGAGGAGACGTCAGGCTCGCGGCTTGCCGGCCTCAACGTGCAAGAGTGCTTTGCCTTGCGGACTTGGCCTGCTGAGGCAATGCCGAGAAGGGGGCTTTCTAAACTTCCACCCACCTTCCGAGCATCACCAGGCCAAGACCACCACCCAAAATGTCGGGATGCAATTTACTGCTCGACGCACCATTGGACCATTTCCCTCTCCAGAAAACCATTTGGAGGGTATCTCGAAGACTGGAACCAACCGATTAAGGTTAAGTGAAGTAAGCCGTGCTCAGGGGCAGGGGATCGTCACCCCGGCACCCCTGGTTTTGCGGCTGGCACCGACAGCAGCCACAAAACGCCCCGAACCAATCATGACGGCCGTGTTGTCCAGTTTATCTTGTTCTTTCCAATGGGAGGTTGACACTAAATCGGAAAGGGAAAGAGGGGTCCCAGCACCCTTGGCAATTTTTGCCAAAAATACGAAGAACTCACTCTCAATTTCTCACCCTTACCATCAATCTCACCCTCACTTCAAGGGACTTTCACTAGTAGAGGACTTGCCTCCCATCCACCCAGGCTTCACTCACTCTTCCTACAGGCCAAAGACCAGGGCAAGATCAAGCTGTGCCGCCATTCTCTTTTGGCGCTACTCCGTACACCAAGCAAACACGGAGACTACTGCCCTTGCTGGCGATAGAGCCCCTCCACAACAGCCTAGGCCTGCCCAGAGTGCCTAGATCATCCGTCTCTCGCGGTCAGGTCGCCACGGTCCCGACTGTCAGCTTGTGTATGTTGGCAAACAGTTGTTGCCGTTACTTTTTGTCTAGTCTTCGCGGTTCTGGTGCCGTTTCACACCATGTCTCTCATATCTAACGGCCATGGGCCACTATCTCATCTCTGTTTCCTCTCGCCTCCCTCGCTTCGCCTTCTTCTTCTACATCCTTTCCACTTTCTTTGAGCCATCTATGCCTTCATAGTGCCTTAATCCAAAGGTCAAGCCGTCACTTTACGGACGACCAAGTCACTCACTTGCACTACATTTTGTAATTTGTTTGCCTCGTAGTCGAGGTAGTATACCACCATGAAGGTGAACTCTTCAATACTGTTGAGCCTGCTAGGCTTGGCCTTACAGGCCCAGGCTGATCCGACATGGCCCTCGGACATAGACGAGTTGGAGGAGATCATGTACCAGTCATTCAATTTCGGATCACGACACTTTGCCGACAACGTCTTCCCCTGCGCCAAGGAGGCAACGGGCACCGGTCGCCAAACTGCTGCAGAATGGCTGCGAACCGCTTTTCACGATATGGCACCGGCCAACGCGGGGTCAGGAGTTGGCGGGTTGGATGCATCTATACAGTATGAGCTGTCGAGCACCGGCGAGAATACTGGCCCTGCCTTTTCGACAACTCTGACCTTTATGGGACATTACCTGACCCGCAAAAGCAGCATGTCGGATCTCATCGCTCTTGGAGTCTACACATCCGTCCTGTCGTGCGGCGGTCCTTCGGTTGCAATCCGATCCGGCCGCATCGACGCAACCGTGAAAGGAGCCGCCGGCGTGCCGCAGCCCAACGAAGTCATTCAAGTTTTCAACTCAAAATTTAATCGCATGGGATTCACTCCACAGGAGATGATCCAAGTCACAGCCTGCGGCCATACTATTGGCGGCGTCCACACGGCCGAGAATCCAACTATCGTTCCAGACGGCACAAACACGAACGGCTCCGCGCCCATGGATAGCTCAAACGGTGTCTTTGACAACAGAATTGTGACCGAGTATCTAGATGGCACCACGCGGAACCCACTCGTCATTAAAATGGGCACGGCTCGAGCCAGTAATTCCGATTTCGTCGTCTTCAGCTCCGACAAGAACGCCACCGTGAAGGCCATGACCGGCCTCGCAGTCTTCAAGTCTACCTGCAAGACCGTCTTCGAGAAGATGATCAACACCGTGCCATCTGGTGTTACTCTTGGCGATGCCATCGCACCCTACACCGTCAAACCGTCCCAGCTTCAGCTCTCGCTCACTTCGCCCACCGTCATGACTCTTACAGGCTATATTCGCGTCCGAACTACCGCTATCACAGGCATCTCGAGTCTGACAATCAACTATAAGAATCGAAGTGGCGGCTCCACCTGCGGGACGGGCTCCTGTGTCTTTACAATCACCATCTCGGGCATCTCAAAGGGCTTGGAAGATAGCTTCTCCTGGTATCCCATCAGGCAGGAGATTCCCGTCAGCACGGGAATCTCGTCCTTTACTGTGACGATCAATAAGAGCGATGGCTCAAGCACATTATTCAATAACAACGGCAACGGGTACCCGATCCAGGACGGCATCTTTCTTCAGACGTCCCAGAGCTGCCTGACGCAGAACTCTGGCGATGTTACACTTGTTGCCGCAGTCCGCAATGACCGCACGTCTCTCCCGGTCAAGGCAGAAATCTCTTACAAGACAGCGCGGACAAGCAGTGTGGTGCCTCTGCTGGGTAAGATGACCGTCGACATGGTCAAGGGCGACTGTGTAGGCAGCTACACATTTTACAGCGTCACCACGAACATTCCTGGTGGTGTTAGTTTCGAGTCGACTTTTGACTTCATCAGTGGAGAGGGCGCGTCCGCCATGATTGACCCCTTCAAGAAGGCTGACCCTATCGGTGGGACATGTTCGAGCTGGACGGGAGGGTCTCCTACATGCAGCAGCGTCACAGTGTCATCTTCTACGTCCAGCGCGGCCCCGACTGCCACGATTTCCCACCGACAGACCATGGGCGGCTACAAGCTCGTCTCCTGCTGGACCGAGGCTTCTGGTGGCCGAGCTCTCAACGGTGCCGCCTTCGTGTACGATGGCATGACCCTCGACAGCTGTATGGCAAACTGCACGGGATTCGACTACTGGGGCACTGAGTACGGACGCGAATGTTACTGCGGTAATTCTCTGGCTACGTCCAGCAGCTCTGCGCCCTTGGCCGACTGCAACATGCCATGCTCTGGTGATTCAACTCAATACTGCGGAGCCGGCAATCGCATTGAGCTGTACTCGACCACCGCCACCCGCACCAGCAGCTCTACGGCCGCTCCCACGGCTACTCTCGCACACATAAACACCGTCGGCAAGTACTCGCTCGTCGGCTGCCAGACCGAGGCCGATGGCGGTCGCGCCCTTTCTGCTGCCCAGACTGCTGCGGATGACATGACTCTCGACAAGTGTGCTACTTTCTGCTCCGACTACACATTCTTTGGCACAGAGTATGGACGTGAATGTAAGTATTCAGGGTATCGTGGTGTATGAATGAGAACTAACATGAAGTAGGCTATTGCGGTAACAGCCTGGCAGCAACCAGCAAGACTGCGCCCCTGAGCGAGTGTAACATGAAGTGTGCTGGCAACTCATACCAGTACTGTGGTGACGGCAACCGCTTGGAGCTGTACAAAGTCGGCAGTGCCTCGTCTACTTTGGCGTCGACGGTGGCCACTACGACCTCGAGCAGCTCTTTGTCAACGAGCTCTGCCAGTGTTTTGGTGGCGAGCGGGTCAACGTCTTCAACCCTGGCTTCTGCTTCTGCTACTTCCAGCAGCTCTTCGACCTCATCACAGGTGTCTACTTCAAGTTCAAGCAGTGTCGTGTCTTCCAGTAGTTCCAGTTCTTCTAGCAGCGCCGGATCCTCGAGCAGTGTCACGTCCTCCTCAAGCACGTCATCGAGCATCGCATCGTCCTCTAGCAGCGGCGTCACTTCATCAACAGCCTCGTCCTCTGCCTCCAGCACCATCTCAACCTCCATATCCGCCTCCCCGACGCTGGCTCACAAGCCTAGCATCTCGCCCTACACCCTGGTGGGCTGCTGGACGGAAGGCAACGGCGTCCGCGCTCTGAGCCAAAAGAACTACGCCTCCGGTGACAATATGACGCTCGAGTACTGCGCCTCGTACTGCTCAGACTACAAGTACTTTGGCACAGAATACAGCAGCGAGTGCTACTGCGGCAACACCCTCGCCTCCTCCAGCGCCGCCGCGCCCCTGGCGGACTGCAGCATGACCTGCAGCGGCAACAAGTACGAGTACTGTGGCGGCGGCAACCGCCTGACGCTCTACCAGTCCGACAAACAAGTGACGGGCCCCAGCCAGCCCGCCACGGCCGGCGCCTACGCTTTCCTCGGCTGCCGCACCGAGCCCGCGCAGGGCGGACGCGCTCTGGATGCCAAGGCTACGGCCAGCAGCGACAAGATGACCAACGAGGCGTGCGCGGCGTTCTGCGATGGGTACAGCTACTTTGGCACGGAGTACGGCGGCGAGTGCTACTGCGGTAATGCCCTGCCGACGACGTCGCTTGATGCCCCGTTGGGCGATTGCAGTATGTTGTGTACGGGTTCCAGCACGGAGTACTGTGGTAATGGCAACCGTTTGTCGGTTTATAAGAAGTGAGGGCGGTTTAGTGGTGTGATGAGGTATTCACAGATTATGAGGAAATGGGCATTAGAATCGGAGCATATAACAATGCCGATGCGTTCGGCGTTGACAAGACTGGAGATATGATACCTTTTTGGTCACGGATTTCGGCCATTTACATACAATCATAAAACATCTTACTCCCCTTACTATCAGGTTGAATGAGTCATTTGTAAATACTTGGATTGGAGACGAACCAATTCGCCTTCTCGGCAGCCAAGAAACTTGGCGCCCCCATGCTGTCGGAGTGCAATCCGCACAACTCCTTCAAATAGTCATGACTTGAAAGATTGCACTAGAGGGTCAAATTATGTTGTGGATGAAATATCCGGTTCACCCCTTTCACCGGGCGATCTGCTTCAAGTGACACCTTCTCTCCCAAAGTCACCATCTGTTGAGTTGTTCATAACTTTGCTTGTTTTCATCAGTATCATGGCCCCTTCCCCCTTGTCATGTTCTCAAAGACTGACTTGAATAATGGCTGTCTTTCAGAAGAGCTGCAATTACTGCCTGATGAATAGCTGTTGAGATAATCCCTGCCGCTCAATTTCTGTGATCTCTGCTGCCCATGTCCAGCAGGCAAGCCAGTGATGTTTTCTCTGCCATAGCTGTTTGAACAGGCAGGCATGACCCAAAAGCCAGGTTGTTCCAGCTGTCTTCCAAGCTCTTGAATGGTTTCAGCCCACGGCTCGGTTATCTTTCCAATGCGAATGAAGTTCATCTCGAGTTAGAGGGGTCTTCGGGCCAGTATGTTACCCAGTAGGGTTTCGAGATTTCCCGAAGAAGGCATCACTGCTGGCAACGCATATCTACTGGGAGGTTGGAAACTATGATTAGCGGGTTTTGACTGGATACTTCTGTTGAATATTGAAGGGGTGCAGAAAGGCAAAGGTTCGGTCAGACTGGCATAGGCAAAAGGTCCCGATGTGTCTTTGAAGCAGCACGCTGCTGCCATGTAACTGCAATACCAAAGGACGAAATTTTTACTTATTCCACGACAACCACTCGGTTGTTTTCAGAAATCGGGGTTTTCGCAATACGGAGTAGCCGCAGCCTTGTATACAACAAGAAGACCGGCCGCTCAGGAACGTCTCGCGACTTGTCGCTTTTTGATGAGCTCGCTCTTGAATTTTCCCTCCTTTACAGGCCACCTGTCAGCATCCTGTTTATAGAACTGGGATTCAATACGCAGAGCCTTGTAACTCAGCAAAAGGATACTTGACCGCGAGCTCCTACCAAGTAGCGCCAATATCTTTGGCGAAAGTTTTGCTATTTGTCTCTTGTAGTGAAATGGGAGCGAGCTCCCTATCATATGGATTCTCTTTTAGTGGGCCCCCGATACCACTATTTGGATATTGTGTTCCCTTAATACCTGGAGCTACTATCGCATGCTGCTTCCTCTATAAGGAACACGTAGCTAGACATCTCGAGGCTGACTAAGACTATCCTAGGTAGTTCACTCGCAAATTGGAACCATAACCAAGTTTGTATCTCTGATATATTATAATCCAAATAATCAAGACGAAAATTACTAGGAATAAGAGAAATTAGTTCAAACGTTCTCAAAATTGCTAACGGGGAAAACTGTTCATGATAATTCCTGAGGCGAGGCAAATGTTTCCGTAAGGCCTTGGAGACATCTTAGCCTCGAAACGAAAACACTGATATTGCCTTCAGACTGAAGCGAGAATGATAAATATTACTTGCTGTTGGGTGATATACTAGAGTCTCACATCAATTTTTCATTTTGTAGCAAAGCATGACCCTTTGGTTTGATATGGCAAGTTGATAAACCATTTAAAACGACCGCAACTGAAAGAAGTAGAACACCTAGCAAACAGACATGCTACAATCTCGCGAGAGAAGCCGCATCTCAACTAAACGCATCTAAACGGCTTGAGTTCAGTTGAACCTAAAGGCCCGAGAGGGACAGAGTCTGGGAGCCAACGCGTCGTTGACATTGTCCCTGTTGCCTACTCTCTCGCCGACAAGACAACACGAGACCAGTCAACCACCAAGAAACTCACAGACAAATACAGTGAAAGTTTCCAGAAATGATGAAGATGGAAGAATACTACCTTGACTGCACATAATGATTTGGCCGTACAGAAAAGACGGCAGAAGCGGCCAGGGCAGAGCCGACTTTCATTCCAGGTGATCAAATCTGGTAGAAACCCGCCCTTTTAAACAGGAAATAGAGCATGCGGTTTCTATCCTACGGACGAGGGGAAGAATTGCGGCGGCGCATGAAGTTTAAGGATGGACTAGGAGATGTAATGATATTATTGACAAATACACTGTCATAACTCTAGCCTAACAGAGCCGACCAACGCGGCGGATACTTTCACGACTCATCTATGAAACAGGGTGAAAATCACACAACCAAGATCTGGCAGAAACAAGGTAGTCCAGTGCGCAACACGGAAAGGTCGTTGAAGAGAGCAGCGAGAAAGAGACGACATCCCGCTCGACAGACATCGTCAGGAGACCCCGCGGCTTCACCTTCCACCGCATTGAGCAATTCCCGCGGGAGGTTGAATCTCCCTTATCAAGCGTCACTTTCTTACCGCCGAGAGGAGAGTACATGATGGTAAGAATCGGGGTTCGCATCGCTGCAAGCCGCTGGTGCTTTACGCAACAGGAGCACTTCACTGTCGCGACATTACAGGCGGTTTAAAGATAAGCCGACTTGCCGCATCGTTTTTTGGGCCAAACATCTGTCGATAACACTATCTTCATCGGCCCAAAGGACATTCAGCCAGCGGCATCTGATGCAAGCGTCGTCGTAGGGCATCCCGTAAAGCACGTAACCTGCACCTCGTCGCGTTGACGATTTGATTCGGAGGTGATTTCGATTCAAATTGGAAGCTGAACGCGACGCGCACGGGAACGCCTACGATAGCCGGCATTTCAAAGGACATCTCACGTCACATCACAGCATGAAGCATCTCATCCTCGTCGGGGCGTGCTACGTCGACACAGTCCTCAGGTCAGGCTCTCACCCCGCCCAGTGACCAAGAGAGGGCATCCTTCTCACACTTCTTCCCAAGCGTACCTCACTTCCCAGAAGAGGACCTGAAGCTACGAGCCACGAGCATCCGCGTACGCAGGGGCGGCAACTGCCCCAACACGATGGAAGTCCTCCAGCAACTCCTCCGCGCAGAGCACCTCCCGCATTCGCAGACCGAGCCTCTGACGATGCACCTTGTCTCGCCTCTGCCGGAACGTCAATCTCAGGCGACGGCGCAAATCATAGCCTCGTTCCTACCGGCGCCAGATACTGCCGCCGCCGCCGCCGCCGCCGCCAGTGCCGCGGGTATTACATTTGATCATTGCCTATTCCGCCAAGGCCACCAGGCGCCAGCGAGCAGTTACATCTTCCGCAGCGAGGCGAACGGCAGTCGGACAATTGTGAACCACAATGACCTGCCCGACATGACGACGGACGAGTTCCTCAACGTCGTCGAGGCGTTCCGCGATAAGGGCGGCCGAACGTGGTGGCACTTTGAGGGACGGGTTCCGGAGACGACACTGAGCTGCATTCTAGCTCTTCGGCGGGCCCTGGGCGACGACGCAGTGACGGTCAGCGTCGAGGTCGAGAGGCCGGGCAGGGCGGGGTTGAGAGAGCTCGCTGCTGAGGCGGACGTGGTTTTCTACTCTAAGAGCTGGGCCGAGGTGCGTCACATTCGTTCTCAGACATGGGCGTACGCCAGCCACAGCAGCATTACTGACAGGGCGGTATAGGCCTGCGGGTATACGTCCGCTGATGATTGTCTGAGGAAAGAGTCGCTGTCGTTGCCGCGAACGTGAGTTTCGGTCAAGAGGTGTCTACCGGTCACGCAACACGGTCTTGCTGACTGCAGAATAGGTCGTTGGCTATGGTTACGTGGGGTGCTGAGGGAGCATGGTGCATATCACCCAAGGACCGGCAGCTGGTCAAAAGCCCAGTCGAGAGGCCGGTGAAGCAAGTCGTCGAGTAAGCTTCGCCATCCATGCCGCTACTCACCACTCAACCTTCTTGGCGTGGAATACTAACAAGATTGGGGGGGACAGTTCGGTAGGGGCGGGAGACACCTTCGTTGCGGGCATGCTGTACGGATTGATCTGCCAGGCTGATACTTGGGACGTGACGCACAAGTTGGGCTTCGCGGTTGCACTCGCCACGCTCAAAGTCCAGCGAGAGGGGTTTGGTGGACTGGGAGACGATATTCGTATGGATATGCAAAGGTCGCGCTGACGGTGGGCCATCCGTCAGGCGTTGAAACTGTCGCCGCGGGCACTCCGGGTCGTGGCTCCGTGTCCCCCCGGTGCCGTAGATGGAAGCTTCGGCGGGTGGGACGACTGCCCGCCAATCGTCAGGTATGTCAGGCCAAGAGACCGTATTTTGCCCGCCAGCGGACCGATGGAGCACCCGTCGGCGGTCGCGCCTGTTCCGAAGCTGTGCAAGAGTGAAAGGTTGTAAGACCCTCTATGACTCTGTGGGGCAAGAGGCGGTGTACATGGTGGGCAAGGCTCAAGCGAGGAGGCAACCTATTACGAAGGGGGGGGACTCGGCAGTACACTAATAGTTGGACATCCGCAAAGGCCAGGACGCGTTGTTGGCGTCGCTCGTTGGTGTTAACGGAGGGGTGACAGGCCGGGCCAACATGCATTCATGCGCCGCCGATGCTTCGATGCAGCTTGAAGATGGCGCACCTCACGCGGGGCCTGTGACGGCGAACAAGGCTGCATGTGGCCTGCTGCAGCTGATAGTGTTATGCCGCATGGCCCCCAGACCTAATCGGAGACTACTGCGCAGGCAAAAACGGGGAGAAGTAGAAGATTTGGGCCGTTGCTACGGTACCTCTGTGTATACGTCCTCACATGCCGGCCAGCGAAGTTTGTCGCGAGAATTTCGTCCCCTTTGTATGGATCTACTGCAGCGAGACTGTGTGGGTGACTGAACATACAGATGGACCAAGCGACCTTGTTGGGAAAGGGGCCGGGGGATAGAGAATTGTCACATCTCTCTGGATTCGGTTGCGGAGCCAGAGCCTGGAAATGAGGAAGAGAAGAAAAAAACTCTTCCCACGACGTTGGTCACCTCACGAGAGAGAATGAATGGGCGATTGTTGATACAGCGAGTGGGGACAATAGCCTGTTTGTCGATCTGCGGCGATTCAAGAGCCTTGTTTGTTGTGCTCTTCCTGAAGTTCCTCGAAAGTAGCCAGTGGAGCCTCCTCTATTTCCTCGTGTTTCCATACCACGGTTCTTGAGAATAGATGGGAAAGTGTGGCCGGGTTCGTACGGATGCACAACGCATATGGCCCCGAGTCTCCGTTGTTTGATCCTGACATTGCGGTGCCGAATGGTGCCGTACGAGAGTCAACATCAACGGCGGGGCTGCAAATCTTTGCGGTCGTCACAGTCAACAAATCATGACGTTCCCCTTCTTGCAGGCCCGAAGACTCAAGTGCGTGGGGCGGGGTCGGTCCATCCCATCATCAAGCTAGGCCTGCGCCTGTCTTCATATTTGCTTCTCGGCTACGGTGAAATTCTTCTCAAGCACCCAAGGGTGACGGGCTGCTTCAACTTGTGCGTCGTTCCGGGAATGTTGGCGTTGATACATGGATCGGGGTGCCGAGTAAAACTTCGAGTCTCGCGGGAGATGCAGAGAAATGCTGGCAAGGGTGGAATACAGTCAAGCGTTGTAGTAAAGTTGCTCGCGAGCGAGTCCGCACTGCTTAGACCAGTGGCCCCTGACGGAAGGAGGCGGTTTTGTCTGGAAGTTCGTTCGTTTGACAGCTTTGGGATGAAGTTGAGCGGGCGGTGGGCGGTGCCTGGTGGCAAAACCTTGGATCGTCCAGAATGATGTAGCGATTTCCGCCCACAGACCAATAGTAGCAGGGGCTTTTGCCGACTTTGAGACCACGGGACCAGACACTGTAAGCAGGGACAGGCGTTCTGGCATAGTCAGGCTTCTGCAGCTTCAGGAACAAGCCCGCTGAGCCCGACGGAGCTAAGCAGTCGAAAGCTCCTGTAACCGCATCTGTAAGACCAGGCAGACAGTCTGCAGGTCGCCTTTCTCAGGGGTTGGTTGTGCTGTGTAGGGGGGAAGCTTCGCACCACTGTTCTCATTCTCAAGGGTAGAGTAAAGCAAGCACTGCATGGCAGATTGTCTGACCGAGGGGCCGAAGGGGGCGTCTCTGTAATCGACGTCGGATCTGTGGTCAAGGGCGGGCTTACTTACTGCGGTACAGAATGGTAATACCAAGTAGACCGCCAGGGACATGCGGATACCTGGCGGAAGAAGAAAAGCAAAGCTACTGTATACCTAGACGGATGGAACAAAAAAGCGACACTGGCACACTGGATCATCAGTCGGCCATCCTGGCCGTGATTACTTGCGAATGCTGTGCGACAAGGGCTTGATGACTGGGTAGTGAGTACATACCTACCATGATGGTTTCCAAAAGCTTCATCGACCAAAGGACGCCCGCTTGTGCTTGGTGGTTGTAGTGGTGACAGCGAGCGGCAGAGCGCGGAGGCGCGGGTTGTGTCGCAAAGCTAGTGGCAGCAAATATGAGCGTTGGTCACAGCTAGTTGTATCCGTAACAGCCTCATGTCGACCATGTCCCATGGGACGAAAAGAAACCCAGGCGGGCAGGCGGGGATGAGCGAAGATGTGGGGGCGAAGGACGGTTAGTAAATAATGGGACTGTCCGTCCATGGTGTCTTCAATCTCTGTTGGCGTGCCTGGCACTGGGAAGAAGGGGTGTGAAGTGTCGAATATCGGTAACTCGAGCTTGAACCGGGAAGAAGGGGGGGGGGTGGGGTGGCACCAAGCCAGTTGATGGGGAAATTGAATCGTCAGGGTAGCATTGGACAGCAGTAGTCATGGCGGTGATGGCTGGCTCAATTAGCGGCGGCGGCAACCGGTAAGGGTGAGACTGATCTCGTTAGCGTATGGAAGGGGTGGTGAAGACTGGAAAAGGGCAGACCAAAAGTCTTTCACTGCCTCATCCTCATCGACGTTGCGTGCCCACACCCCTCCTTTTCCCATCCAAGCCATCTCTCCTCCTCAGCCCGCATTTGACTCGCTGAGATCGGCGAGGTCTCTACCTACGTGCGGATAGGCGCAGACGTAGGAAACCAAAAGCACACTACCCGTAGTTTGCCGTAACATCGAGTAGCCGGTACGTGCTGTCTCAGCCTAGAAACACCACATCTGCTGGCTAGACCAAGGTACTGGATACCTTTGACCAGCTGGCGCAGCCTCTACAAATAGATGCAGCCAATGTCTTCAACTTTACAAGCATATCTCATCGTGACTCTCTGCGCCCGGCTCACAGGAGCCGCCTCTCGTGCTATGACGAGTCATGATCTGCATCGCAAACTTGTTGAGCACCCGTATCTTCTGTCTGGTTGCTTTGATCCAGATCGTAAGATCCAGCTGGCCTTGGATGGGTCCTCACCTGCTGAGAATGACTGTCAGTGTCCGGCTTTGAGGCCAGGTGCTCATGGCTTTGCTCTCGCAAATCTCGTGAGCTTGGTTTACTTTCGATGTATCGATGTGCGGAGTACCCAATACCCATAGCCTCGCTCGCGTAGCATATGGTATGCCAACCGTCCGCATGCTTCCTCTGTCCAGGTATCAGAATGCTGAAGCTCCAGTCAATGATTATGGAACTGAACGACGAGTCTTTTTGCAAGAGAACAGAGGACATACCGGAGAGAGTCCGGCAGCCAGATCATCCCCGGTCCCAGCCGCTCCACCGTGAAGAACGCCTTGATTGCCATTACCCGGTCAGACAGCCGCTAAAATCGCAAAGGGTGCTGGGCCCATGGCACTGGTTAAAGAGTGGCACCGGTCGGATACTTTTGTCCATCTCCAAGCCAGTCCCGCTGGGTTACGCTAGGCGACTGACGCTGCCCTTTCCTGTCTGACAAGGGGCTCATCATCTCCGAACCAATCCCTGGCATCTTTCAGCACGTTGAAATCTCTGGGGCCGGGACTAGGGCCGGGGTCCTAGCTCGCTCGATGACAAGCCATGGCCATATCATGGCCCATGTCTGGAATTGTGTGTGCGTGTGTGTGCTGGTTCCCGCATTCGGTCGGACTAGATCTTCATGGGCAGCTGCAATTGCCGCCGCGTGGTGTGGTAGAAGGTAAACGGCACCTTCATACGTACTCCGTACCCGAATTCTTGCTGAGTCGTCCGAGTGAGAGGTCTTCAGTCTCCTTGTGTTGTTAGCTGATGAGCCGTGCTGTACTTCCGCCGAGTGGCCAAGAGGCAAATATAGCTATCCATACTCCCGCGAACCGAACCACTTAAAGCAGCCTGAATACCTACCGGTATCTGGAATTCTGAACCCGAAGAATGCTCAAAGAAGTGGATGGCCGTGGATGGCGCCGTCTCGCCCCGTTGTATCGTCCCGATGGTCGGTGCTTTCTGTCAAGTCCCCCCATCCATGCAAGACGCCCAATCAGTCTTCAGGGGGTTCTCTCGGTGGCCCGCGCGTGAACAGTAGATCATCTGGTGGACCAGGGCTGGTTCGAGGGTTGGCGGGTTCCTAGTCGACAACCTCAAAGCGACCTTGGGAAGCCTGTTATCCCTGCCCTGTTTCATTTTCATCTTTGGCAGACCATAAGACGGACTGTCCACTAGTACGTATACAGCTTGACCCACCAAAGTTAACCCCTGAGATCCCTGACTTCTCAAGCCTGGCTAGCCGGCATGACAGCTTTGCGCATTAAAGTGTTTTTGTCGGTAGGCCCCGGTTTCACCGAGGGCTTGACTGTTCTGCCCTGTCGCCTGTTCATCAAAGAATGCTAAACAAGACACAGTTAGCACACCACCCCTTGAGCACAAACGGCCGAGCGCCGCCCGGGCTTTATTTAGCTCGAGCATGATATTGTCCCCATGGAACCTTGGAAGTCCGAAAGGTCTTGTTGCTAGCAGTAAACACGTCAGTGATTTGCGGCTGTTGTTACTTTGTCGCGGACCCCATAAGTGGTGGTAATCTGAGCTTGATGCCCCGTTTTGTGCAAAATGCGGGTCGTAGTCACCTGGCAGGTTGGCAGGAATTGCTTTGCGCCATCTTCACTGATTGCTTCCAACTCAAGGCTGTATTCATATTTGACGAGAAAGCCCGGTGACTTTTGGAAGAAGAAGCACTCCGCAGGGTACATCGTCCGCCATGCCAGAGATACCCCTGGCCCTGTATCCGTACTCCATACTGTACGTCTTATGTTGGGTTTATACGACTTGAAGCAACGAAGCAGTGTGTATTGAAATGGCTGAGGTCGGCAGTGGAGTTGTAGCATCAAACTTCAGCGCTCAAAGTCAAGATCAGCCAGGCACCAGCTCAGTTGACCGTGCGTGCGTGCGTGCTTTCTTGTCTGGTTCACATCCAGATCGAATACCTGGACGGCCCAGCACCAGGTATCCGTACATATGGATAATGCATTGGACGGGGGTCCAAGACTCGTCAATCGTGCGCGAATGGGGAAACTTGCATGCTGATCATCTGGCGGAAGCAGATTTGGCTTTCGTCTGTCCAGCCACGCCCTTGAATGGCCTGGTGCACGAAACCAAATATGGTCGGACAGACTTTCGCCGACTGACAAGGAGTAGGATCGCTGGCCTTCACTATCCGTATGTAAATGGCCCCGGTACATGATGCGCAGGGAAGGAGAGACGGCTGCTGTCCGAAGGGCACTGAGCCGCTCGAGAAATCGGGAGACGTCTGGCACCAAGGAACCGTATCCGTGTCGACGTCTTAAATCGAGAGGGCTTCAATCAGCCACGCGTCCTTGTGGCGCGGATGGGCACAGTACAAAGCTGACAACCAAAATTCCTAGCGACCCCTAGGATATGGCTGGGATGGCGAGCTTGCCTTATCTTGGTCACCGCTTCGTATTGGTGCATGAGCGAGAACGTGGCAGCGAGGATTTTCATCCTTCGATAAGTCGACAACTGAAAGAAGACCGTGAAAGGGACGAAGCGTGCCAGTATAAGAACGCATGAAAGGGAATGTGGGCTATGAGTAGTGATACCTAGTCAGTATCGAGCCATCGACGGAGGCGCGAGAAACATATGGGCGTAAGCCTGACTCGGTCGAGACTTTTGCAATGTGCACCGGTGATGCGCAATGTTGGACAGTGGATGGTGAGTCGGTGACGAGATACACCGATGCTGGAGGACAACCTCTGTGACAAGTCCAAGTGGCCCACGGATAGTAGCCGTGTGACCCGGCCAGTGTGAATGGCAGGGCTTAATGGCTCAGACTTTGAAAAGGTCTCGCCTGGCTGTGATCACCCTTGAATAACACGGTAGTCTTCTCCATACTGTATTGGCCCCTGAACGTTGGAAGGATAGAGGCGCAGACGTACTGTGTAAGTAGCCACAATAGATAGATGAGTCGAAAGTCTTGGCCAAAGTGGCTTCCAACGACAAGGTGGTAGGCTCAGGGTCTAGGTGAGTGATATATTCCACTGAAGATCATGCTGTCCTAGGCAGGCCGCAGGCGGATGTGCGCAGAGAGTGTTGCATTAGGTTTCAAGGTCTCCAGGGCTCACGGCTTACCCCCTAAGAAGTTTGTGAAGCGAGGGAATCAGTGACCAGCCGGACGTCAGCAGCGGAATACTGGCAGTAGCACCCTGGCGCCCTAGGTATATCCGTACGGATTGAGAGACACGTCTAGGAGCAGTTGGTACTTGGCTGCATTCAAGCTAATTCTGATCAGCCGTCTCCGCACTTATGTCTATCTCAGTGGTGCAGGGATACCGCTTCGGCAAGGCTTGCTGATCTGAAAAGTTGGCTAACACTAGGCTAGCCTGTAGATGGACACATAAGGTAGGGGATATGTGCTCACTGCTCAGTGCTCACTGCTCATAGCGTAAGCCAAGTGACCAGGCATTTGTGAACGCGGGGCTATTCTGTTAGCGGGTTGTTGCACCTACCTGGTATCCGTACGCAGTGGGTGAGGGCGGCACCGTGCCGCAATAAACACCATTGATGAAGAGATCATTGTCTGTACCTCTGCCTGTAAGCTTCACACCATCGCTAGTGAAGCGTCTTTGGCACCGTTTCGAGGAACGTTCAGGGAGAGGGATGGAATATCGCCTCTTCAGGCAGGTGGTCCACGAACCTTGAAGACTACCGAGCCAGGGCGTCAACTTTCGAATGACCGGGGCGCTGTCCAAGTGCCTACCTTACCTGATGTTAGGAACACCAACGAAACGAGCGTTGCTCGCGGCTTCCTACTGTCAGCAAAGGTTGGATGGGCAGCGAGACAGGACGATCAGCGTGCTGTCTCCCAAAGGTCTGTTGCTAATTACGTGGCAGAGAAGCGACGCATACAATGGTCTGGTCATGAGCCAGGACAGGGCCACAGGGGTTGGTGAGTGCTGAGTAGTGCAGACTGTAGAGAGTGTTACCAAGCTCCACAGATGATTCAACCAGGTCTGCAATAGCTCGCCGGATATCGGGAAGCTTCTAGGATGTCAAATGTGCATCGACGAAGCCTAAATTGGATGAAAATTGCAGGCACGCGGCGCGATGCTTTCACACGGCGTGACGGCGTGATCCAGAACGTCGAAATTGAGCATTGCGTCCATTGGCCCAATGATCAACCAATCAAGCGGATGGAACGTTCCCAAGACTCAGCGTCAGCCGAAAGGTTGAAATGGGTGACGTGGTGGTAGCAGGGGTAAGTCTCCTAGGAACACTCGCCGGACGTAAGATGTAAGTACACAGGCGAAGGTGAGGTGTGTGAGGGCGACAAGATCATTGGGCGGCAAACTTTGCGCGACGCTTGATTATGTTGCTGCAAGATACTATCCAAGCATCGTCTCTCCTGTGAGGATTCGTCTGATGAGAGCAGAAAGTCTTCAGCCGGGAAACGGGAGGGATCCGTTGTCGCCAACTGGGAAGGGGTGGAGGGCGTGTTCTGAGAAGTCAGAACTTCGAACTGTTGTGGCATCGACAAGCCTTCGGTCACATACCGTCAATGGCGTTTGGATGAAACGAACATGGAAAGAAAACCAACGATGAAAGCGAGCGAGGCAACAATGAGGTCACGTGCACAGTGTCTCGTGTGCTTGTGTGCGTGTGTGCTTCGCGAGTTCACGCGTCCCATCCCATCCAGACGGCTGTGCTTGGGTGAGTCCAGGGCGGCCAGACCCAGAGTCCCATGCCGTCTTGGTAGCCCGCAAAAGAACGGAATAGGTGCGTATGCAGGCTGCAAGGTGCGGCCTGAGTGCACGCTGCAGCAGTTGCAGCCGCAGGACACGAAGAAGGCGGAGACCCTGAGTCAACCCCGGCCCCCCATCCCGTTCTAAATTCTGATATTCCGATGAGACTTCCTAGCACTCAAACACCCAAGCGCTGTTGGACCAGTCCTGTTGAATGCCTAAAACCCGGCAGGCTTGCACACTCCCCGGTGCTGTTGCCGCTCGATGCGCCTGCTGGAGTCTGGAGAGCGTGTCAGGGATACGTGTTGGCGGAATGCGGCACCCTGACGAAAAACCGAGACTAGAGTGGCACTTCATGTGCATACTTCGTACGGATACATAGCAGGAATCATGAGGGTCCAAACCGGACGCATAGCTATATGCATCTTCGTCAATCACGGCGGAGGAAATGTATACCTCCAGCCTAACTGGGCTGCAAGCGGTCAAGTGGAGAGAAGCGAGTTGATTCGGGGTTGTCAGAGTCGGCGCGACCATGATCGGCATACTTAAGGGACGCATGTTGTGAAAGATACTTGTAACAAATATCATGGCTACGCCTGCCTTGTCAGTCCTCAAGGGTTGCTGATCGAAAATCAAAGATGGTTCCACCAAATGATGATGAGTGTAGTGAGGAGTGTAGCTTAGATGTGCAGACGCCGCTGGCGATCAAGCAAGCACTTGCAATCTTACACTATCAACCACCACCGCTGTGCCAACGTATCCGTAGGGGTGTAGCACTCCAAAGTGCGGCCCAACACACGCCGAGGTGATTGCCTGATGGCTAGGCCGAAGGTGAGACTGGACTGAATCGAAGGGCGCCAGCCGCCAGGCGGACGCCCATGGCTGGAGGGTTTGGCGGCATGCCTGGAAAATTGGCAATGAGCAAGTTGAGCAACAGAATGACTAAATAGACCAGTCCAGGCCACTACTCCTGAAGGGGATCCCCTCGCGTCCGCGGTCTAAGTGGGTTTCCTGCTGGTGAGAGAAATGCGAGAACGTGAAATGGACGCCGGCCCTGTGTCTATACCCACCGCGCCACAGTTCCGTATATCCGTACAAATATACTGTGTTGCGTTGGCCGAGGTGGCCCAGCGGAACAAGAGGACGAAAGCTGACAGCGGCGATGGATTCCACGACAGGAAGGCACAGAGGCGGAGAGGCAAAGAACGATAGGTGAACGTCAGATGTAGTAACGATCGAGGGGAACTCAATGCTGCTGCCGCACGAGATTGGAACAAGGCGAGGGAGCGAATGAGCGGACGTAAGCCAACAAGTCTTGCTGATCCATACCAACGCGGTACCTTGGCCTGGAGTCCCTGTCAGTGCCTCTGCTTGATGGTTGATGCGATTCAGCGCTTGCCGGGCAGTCCAGGGCAGGCTTTGAGAGGAATGGCATCTGCGGAAGCTGATCTCTAACCGCTGGACATTCAAAGCGAGGAGTGACGTGGAAATTGGCCCTGGGGATTCGGGGAGTACCAGGATGGCAGGGCCTCTCCTCTGAATGTATCCACCGCTTTATCGATACCGTGGATACCCTGACCATAATCTCCTCTCCTGGAGTGGACAAGACCCCTCGATCTCGGATCACCTGCGGCCTGTCCACTTCAACCTTCTCGAAGCTGTCTGGGAACAGGGACTGACTGGTGGAAACCCAAGAATCAGAGCGGCTGCCAAAGCCTTGCGTGTAATGTCCGGAAGTTGCCTGGCTTGTCCAGCAGCTGGAGGAGGTGTGAGGCACTTCGTGCTGCGCACCATCCATAGACGAGCAGGCTGTAATCAACCCGTTGGGCCAACCGGACCGCATTTCTCGCACAGCCCGTAATAATGCCCAGCTTGTGCCTGACATCCGGCGCTCTCGTTGTCCCCAAACAACCACGAGCTTGTCGGTAGTTTCTCGGGCCTTTGGAAGACTTTGTGATTTGTTTCCAGATCGCGATGTACGAATAGGGTTGGCACAGCACCTCTGATATTTTGTATATGCAGGCATTCTTGAGTTTGATCTTTGAAGTCTCGGAGCAAAGCTGCCCTCAAGAGTCAGCAATGACGAGTAAAACACCAATGGCTTGGCCCATCAGACCTTGAATGCGCGTCCATGTCATACGTCCAGACATCCTCAGATGGGAGGGAACGACCTGAAGCACAGCCGCAGATGGAGGAGCTTGCTCGCTAGGCCTTCGGGGCGGGGCGTGAGGGGAGATCGGCTGGGGCCCAGTTCTCAACCTCCCAGCGCAGTAGTTGTGGGCTCGAGACACCGCGCCTGATACCACAGGAGACCTAGCCAAGGTGGAACATGAGCTCGCTTCACAGGCCGTCTGCTTGCACAAGGCTCCAAATGCCACCGATATTGACACAGTATTGGCGTCCACACACACCGCAAGGGGCGCAACATCCCCGTGCCCCCCTTCTGAAAGGAAGCCCATACCCCGTAGGAGGTAGGGTAGGCCGGCCTGGGGATGTTGTCGGTGAGATTGGGTACCGGATGTACTGGCGTAGACAGGGGCAGAAGAAGCGCTGAAAGTTGGAACATGGCCTGAAGAAAAAAAAAAAAGATTACCGGCCTCCGTAGTACATAGAGACTGGGTGATGGGGTGCTGAGAAATGTGGTGGTGTATGGGTCCAAACTCCCCAATCGCGGGCTCGCCTCAGATGACAGGCGTCTCCATCCGTGGCATGGGCCATGGTTAGACAAGTGACGGGCATGCAGGTTGTTAGTGAGCGTACGGATACAGTTTGTGGTACGTGGTGGTGCCGAGTTACGCTAGCTAAAGTCTCTCATTGGAACTTGGAGTCGACAAGCTCAAGTCTTGCGGGATGCATCAGTCCACCTGGCACCACCTCAGGCTGAACGATTTTATGCCTGAGGCCACAGGATCCCTGCGTGCCCTTTCCCTCTTTAGCATTGAGTCAACAGCAAAGCAAGTGCCCCCACTGATGGTGTTCGTGTTCTCGGGTGGTATTCCTGCCTGAGATTGTAATTCTTGCCTTCTCCTTTTGGGCGCCATCCTCCTGCACAGGTACCTACCTAAGGTAGGCACCTGCCGCTCCTTCCTGCAGCTGATGTAGAGCTACATCTTGCCGCACCAGATTCTATGCAGCCAGTCCGGTACAGATACCTACCTACGCCGTAGAGGGAATGCCCTTGGCTCAGGTTCAACATCCATGGGCGGCTGTTCGAAGTTCGACGGTGGGTACGTACTGCTTGCTTACGGCTACTTTCCCCAGCCATGGAAGTTCCATCGTCACTCCGTACTGTCCGGAAACTACCTTACCTTGCTGCGGTGCATCTCGGTCATTTTTGATGTGCCTGCCAACCTACCTTACCTTCCGAATACATAGTACCTAGGTAGCTCTACGACGCTGCGTGTACCTAAGTGTATTATCTGAGTGTCGCGTTATAGAGAGCGTGCGGCGACGCAATTAACATGATCATTGTGAGATCTGTCCGAACATGCTATCCTCCTGGCTCTCCTGCGCTGTCGCTTGCAGCAATCGACCAATGACAATAATACACTATCGATGCGTGGATTACCTATGGAGCACTTTGATGCTATCCTCTCACCACAGGCCATGTTGGTTGTATTCCCTCCGTACTTCGTGCGGCGTGCCTAGGCACGGCGGAGAGGGTGGGGGCCGTCAGTAACTGCAGCCGCCTTTTCACTTCTGCTTGGGAGGGGAGGGGCGATTCCGCATCTAGCTTTTTTCTTTTCTTTTTTTTTTTTCTCCTTCCCTCTCCCAAATGCCCAGTCACACAGTCTGCTGCAGCCCACTTTGACTTCACGAAAGTGATGAGTAATTAAGACGCTAGACAATTATGGCAAGTCAGGTCGCAGCACAGAACTTGCAAGTTGCGGTCTCCAATTTGACTCCAACTACTCCGTATGGAGTACGGAGCAAGGAGACAGGGTGACAAAGATTCGTGCCTTCCGCCTGGCCCTGGCCTGTGCCCCTGGATCCTTTTCTGGGATCCTTCTTTTCATCTTTGAGCCTCGTGTCTGGCCGCATGCCATTCCGTTTCTCGCCCTGTCCCGTCTGTCTCTACTCTCCACGGAATACGAAGTACCTTACTGCGCAGTGCGCTGTCAGGATTCAGGAGCAGGCGCTGCCCTTGATTGATCCCGTCGTTGTGGTCCTGGTCCTCTCAAACTTCCGTTTCTGCTGGCCCTTGCTACTGTATCGCCCTACTATAGTGTTCCTACGGATTTACAAGCGGCAGTAGCGATGCTATATCTGTTGCGGAGCGGATAGGATTGGATTGAACTCCTTCTCATATTCCCGGGGGTTGGGGCTTCTTGCCCGGTAAGGGGGGTTGTGTGCAAGGTTTCCACTACCTCGGCATCCATCTATGTCTCACTAAACATCAAGTATTGACTACCTTGTCGCGCATTCATCCCGTCTCTCTTTCCTGACGAGGTACCGGACCTTCGCAATCTTCCCTTTTCTCCTTCCATCTTTTCAACCTGCGCTACGGGGTGAGGTACACAGTACTGCCACCACTGCCATGAACCGCTCCTCGCCAGCTTGGCGTTTCTTACCTCAAGTGTCATCCCCTCATCTTCCTTGTGCCCTCTTCGCCTTTCCTCATTTTGCTCCTTTGCATTCTATGGATACTGTGCTCTGTCCACACAAGACACCATGCCCATGCCTGTGGAATTTGGACCTTCGGCACCCTACAGCTTCTGCCACCCATACCACGCCCTGGGGGGACAGCTGACTCTTGTTTGAGGCCAGGGCATGAAGGAGTGGCCAAGCTCGGAAAGAAAAGGCGGATGGCTGCGTACCGATATACTTTCGTCCGTAACGCAGTTGGCAGCTAAGCGATCGGTACACAGTACTTTCTTGCCAAGCTGGCTGAGTGATGCCGTCCATCCATCCTCCATTCATCGACCAACTAACTGCCTTTGTTCGTTGTTCCTCGACCGCTGGCTGTGTGAGCGTCTTTCACATCCTTTGCGTCGACATCCATGATCCATATCGGAGGTTTTGCAATCCCACGTTCCAATCCGCCGCCAATTTGCCCGCTCGGGAGTCGGACTGTCGCTGCCATCACACTTTTTGCCCGCACCGGCTTGCCAAAACCAAGAAACAGTCCATGCTTGCCTCCCTGACCTACACAGTAGACATGATCATGGATGGAACCTGAAGTGGAGGAACCATGATGGCTTGTCACCTCGACATCTCATTGGCTGAAGCTTGAAGCCCCCGCGATGCCCGCGATGCGGATCTATCGACAGACCTGTCTACGGATACGCAACATTTTTTTCTTCCTCTCTCATGACCGATGGCACCCACGTTTACGACTCAAGCCTATGCTTGCATGACCGGGTCATCAAGATAATCTCGGCCGGACCACTTGAGACTGACGAGCGTGAACAAAGTCCGCCGCCTGCGTCTCCGGATAGCATTTAAAAAAATAAAAAAATAAAAAAAATAAAAATTAACTAATGCCCACTCACCCACCACTCACTGCAACAACACGACCCATGGCTTTCGGGCTGCCACCACTCTATTCCTGTCCAGGACATGCGCATCCACCATCTCCGGTTGATTCATACTCCTCGTCAGATTCAGCTCCCACCGCACAAGAATTAAGCGGGTGCATCCCAAAGCCACATTCAGTGTACTCCAAACGTACGGATCCCTCACCAAGCAAGTCTGAGCGAAACAATGAGGCTGCACAGTAGCCCATGGGCTGGCTGTCCTACCTGGCGTACGGAGTATTGCCAATTTGGCTGTCCCCTTGGAATGAGATGACCTGTGACAACTTCTGTCGACTCGGCCTCCTGGCCTTTGACTTGTTCTCCCGCAGTTGTATCAACACCTACCTACGCAGTAGGCTAGGTGTCCGTACGGGTACAAACTGCGACTCCATTCCGTCTGTGGTTGACCCTTGGAAGGAAGGCCAAGAAGGCGACACGTTACTTACGACACCCACACCTAAATTCCAAAGCCGCAACTCACACACACGCTGCGCGTGCGTTCGATTAGGTGCCTAACAAAATCCGTACCGCCTCTCGCCGCTGTCTCCGCAAACCATCCTCCAGAGTCCAGGGCCAGGGGGTGTGTGAGCAGAACTGCAAACCAACACTGTCGGTTGAGCGAGATCTGTGATCCGCTCCCATCCGTCCCACCTACCATCCTTTTGGAAAGCGGCTTGTCAGTCGACGCTCCCACACCCCCTTGGCACACGCCCCATTTGACCACAAGGATGGCTGCAAACAATCAACGTTCCGTTTCGTACCTTGAGCTGTCGCTCAACAGGGCTTGAAATTGTCCATGTATGGACTCCGCATGCACGTCCTCCTACCGGTAGACTATTGCACGCGCATACGTACGATCTCTCACGGCCAATGCCGATGCCCAGCAAGGAACTACAGGTCTTCTCTTACGGATACATGGTAGTCTGGTCTGGTCGACGCCAAGAGCGTGGTCTGGTCGGCAGGCGTGAGTCAAACAAACACCACGGATTCGATATGGAACCTACCTCACCATCTGAACTGGGTACCATCAAGCGCAGAGCGGGGTTTCGCTACTTGAGGTCTATTCGTATACTGCGTAGGGCATCGGGGAAGCGATAGAAGCATACATCGCATCATAGCCTGCAAAGTTTCTGCCGATAGCCAACCTGGCAGCCGGCGTACTTTCTTGAATGAGTACGTACTGCCCGACCAGGGGATCCCTCATGCGGAGCCATCTCCGTGCTTCTCTCAAAGTTCTTCTGCGCCCTGAGACCAAGACCCCGATGGAGATCGTGGGCTTTCAGAAGTCTGTGCTTTCCGCATCTTGTTTTTCTTTGCCTTGGATCTTTCTGGACGGAGTATTGACCGTACGATGCTTGGAAAGTTTTTCGCTACGCTTTATTAAACACAACGACTCAACGATGAGTCCTAGTGCAGTGCGGACAGGCTCCAAGGAACAGGTGAATATTTGTCTCATATCCACGATGTTGCCAGTCATCAGCCGTCTCGGTATCAGAAGCGCATGCCGTAGTGGAGATGCAAGTTCCTCCTTTCCAAATTGGCAGGCAGGAGGATCTCTCGGTCACACACACATACACACTCATACACACACTCACACACACACGCACCACGGTATGCGTACGGACATTGTGTCTTCAATCATCAATGGCAGGCAGCCAGGTGGGTGGCACTTTCTCGGAAACCACCAAAACATGCAAAGGCAAGCCGCAAGATGCACATCCCCATCTTCACGTACCAGCGTCGACGTGCTAGGGGCCTAGGGGGAAGGGGAGGCTTGAGGCTTGGAGCCTTGGAGGGATGACGGTCATGGATGGACTGATGGTCCCAGGAGCAGGTGTCTCTCCCCTTGGGTTCCATAGATCCCCGACGGGCTAGCACTGCAACTCCCCTTCTCATCCGACCCGTCAGTTCAAACTAGGCGTGCCGGGGTGTTTCCATTCTCGATGGCGGCATATGACTGGTCGGACGGTGACGGGACTTCAGCAACTCAATGCAATAAGGCCACCCTCAGGGTCGAGGAAACGAGACCTGCCGCGGCGCCGCGCGTGGTTTCCCTTGGACCCCTTCTAAACTTTTGGGTCCCTGGACAGGCAGACGGCGCACTCTTCTCTGGTGGCACTAGTGTACGGATAGAGCTAGGTGGTGCTGGCGGTACTTTACACCCGTGCCTCAGAACAGCAACCTGGAAAGCATCCGTACCGCAGCCCAGTGGTGTTGCACGAGACGCAAGCAGGGGTAGCATCTCTCTCAGAGTCCCAGACTCCGACCTGGCGGCGTGAGCGCCTGGGCCGAGCGGTTCTTTCTGGGGCCAAAGACATTCCATCCATCTTCTCTTTGGTTTCCTTGCGTCCTTGACCGCCCGCGAGGGTCCGCCCCCCCCCCCTTTCCGTGGACCATGATCCATTTCTGGGGGTGCCACTGGAAGTGCTTGGGTACATGAAGTGCTAGACTTTCTTTCTCCTGTCCAGTCTTGAGTCTTCCCTCCCAAGACCCAGCCATTTGCCCAGAATCAGAATCAGAACCAGATGCCCTGTCCTGGAACCCCCCCCCCCCGGCCTGTGCCCGCACACCCGTTGACCAGGACGATACCTTGCGTGCCGTTGTCCCACAGGCACTTTGTCTTGGTCGTACATCTTCGAACCTTGCATCCCGCCATGGCACTGCAGTCACAGTCGGTTTGGCATGGCGCGGTGCGAGGTGAAGGGAACGTAGATAGTACGTACTTCGTTCTCAAGGGCTGTCCAAGTCCCATGTCAGGTGCGTTCTGTTACCCAAACAATGGAGACACGACACTCAGTCACTCCTTCAGTCCTTCGGCGGTCCTTCACTCCTCACTCACACGGCGCCGACCAAGTCCTAAGTCCCGAGGTAGCCAGCACACAGCGTCCAGTTGGATTGGCACCGCAACCTGGTTCGCTCCACTCTCCATTCGTCCACCCACCGCCGACGCTCCCTCCCTAGCACAGTAATCCCATCGATCCATCTATCCATCCAACCATCCATCCCTCCTCCAGAGTCTAGAGTCTGGTGTGTGTGTGTGTGTGTGTGTGTGTGTGTGTCCACTCGTGCCCGTTTACTACTTCGTACACACGCTACGGTGTGCCAGAGAGGCCAGGGCCACACAATCTAAGCCAGAGCACCAGGGCAGCGAGGCCAGCGAGGCGAGGCAATCAACCACTCATCCACTTCCGCACCCACATCCACACCCACCGCTGCTTTGCCCACACGCACACCAGCGCTATCGACAAGTCCGTCCCATGCTTCCCAGACTCCCAGTGCCTCCCTCCTCTTCCTCTCCTCTCCTCCCCTCCCCCCCGTACGTGCCCCCTCGGCGGTCGTGGAGTACCTGCTGTAAGAGGTACCTCGAGCCCCAAGGGGAGTCAGCCGCCTCGTCTGCTTCGACCCCGAAATGCACGACGCTCCGTGGTGAGATCCATGCTCAACCCATATGACGCAGCCCGCTGGCCGCCCCCCCTTACCATCTAGTGTACCTAGAATCCCAGACATCTTCTTTCGTTCCCATACTATGCAGTCCACACTCACCTAAGTTACGGAGCACACACCCATACCGGGACCCCATACGCTCACACGAAGAGACACAGAAACAGTACGTACCCCCCCTGGCCAGCCACGCCTGGGACGCCTGCCGCCTGCGCTGGCTGCGCGGATACCTCCCATCAACATCCCATCCTCCACCCATGCACGCAACCCGCGTTCGCTGCCTCTTGGTACGAAGTACACACATACACACACACACACACACACACACACACACATACACACACATGCCAAACCGTTCATGGTCTGAATTACTTGTTGGCCCACTTCGCACCCTTGGACGACTTGCTCCTCTACGGATACTGGAGCTAAGGTTTGATTTTATCCTTCAAGACCGATCTAGTATCACCCATGTCCTTTCTCGCTACTGTAATCCCTTGGGCCTTTTGGGACCAAGACCTCTTGTCCATACATAGCCTGGGCTGAGTCCGTCCTTTCCATATCACGTATATCATCATCATCTACCGCATCTCCTTCGACTGTGGACTCTTAATTAAGAAACAAACATCCCGCAACCTCTCCCACCTTCATCATCTCTATTCACCACAACACAATACTTGTCCGGCACCTACTACACATACACACAAACATACACATACGCACACATCAATCAAGATGATGCCCACACTTATGGGAGGCGTCCTCCCCGGGCCTGTTCGCACACCCTATCACACCGACATCTTTCTGGACGACTTGTCGAGACAAATGGCTCTCTCCCAGGCGTCACGGAGGCTATCTCGAGGCTCCAACGGACAACGCAACGCAGGAGCCATGCGTGTAGCCAAGCCTACCAGCGCCAGCAACAGCCCAAGGTCAGCAGCAGCCATGCAGGCAAGGAGGAGGACTGTGGTCAACGAGGGAAATCTGGCGAGGCGGAGGCAGCAGCCCATGGACCAAGTCCCGATGCCCGACTATGGATCTCAGTCACGACCCAGTCGTCCCCTTAGCTGGCACCCTTCGACCTTACAACAACAGAAGATGGCCGTCCCTCAGAGCATGGCACAGTACCCATTCCCTCCTGTCACGTCGGCGTACGATACGGACAGCTATCACGTATACCAGCAATTCCCGCCAACACCGGCAGCCTACTCGTGCAATACCTCACCTGTTGCCTCATTCTCTCCTCTATCACTCCCTTTTGGAGGATATGATGGATCCAACTATCTGCCTGTCGAAGGCTGGAACGTACCTCACCAAGCCCCGCCGGCCTATGTCTCCTCAGACAACACTGGCTACACTGAGCCATTCCCATCTCTTCCAACTACGCTCCCGGATCTTACGCCGTCTTCCACCTCGACACAATGGAACTCTCACCACATGCACGGCTTCACTAGCACTTCCCCGCCCACCCCCGAAACGCTGCCGCAGGCCCAGCAGCCCCAACCTATTGTGCCGAATGAGGACACTATCCCTTATCAACCCCTTGACGAGCCCGAGGAAGAGGGAGAGATCCTCGTGGGCATGGGACTCTATGACGCCCCCGACAAGTACGATCAGGACCCGCAACTCGACACATCTCGCTCTGCCATGTCCTCGCTGCTGGGCGCCTCTTTCCGCCCTCTGGAGGGTACGGGCAAGGGCCTGAAGCTTGAGGAGTCGTGGCAGCCTCCCGAGAGCGATGACGAGGATGAGGATGAGCAGGACGACGCCGATGGCGAAGACTCGGATTAATGACACGAACAAGAAAAAAAGGACAACTCTTACACACATTACAACACCAGCGCAAGCGTTTGATGATTTTACGACGAAAACCTGTAGACTATGTATGATATCAAGAAGATGTCCCATCAAAAAATCGGGCTTGGGGTATTTTTGGGGGCTATGGAGCATCAGTACATCTGTTCCCTCATGTCGAAGAAGGGAGGAAGGTGAAGGAAAAGGCAAAATACCCAGAGATAGAAGCATGGGCCAAATCTGTGGCCCAGGCGTCGCAAAAGGCAAAGGCCCATGAAAGCGCCTAGAAAGCGCCTAGATAGAAACAATCAAAACGCATGAAGCGAAAAACAAATATTTGCCTGTCCCTTTGCCCTTCCACGTTAAGCAATCAATGATACCAGCCGCCACGCGGTTGATCATCACAACCTACAACACTTGCACCAACACGACAGAGACGCCGGATGGAATGGAATTTGGAAGTGCAATCGTCAACGCGGACACTAAAAATAAGCGAAAAAGAGGCTCCCGAACGGCACCCCTGTCGAGGCATGGCATGAGCTGCATGTGGGTCCATGTCTCCCCTGTCACCTTTCGTCAGCCGCCCAATCATCTCAGAGAAGATGCTCCCCACCCCCGCCGTTCTGGCCAGCCCTGCCAGGTCAAAACACCCCGCCCGTGGCCCCTAGAAATTTTCTTTGGTGACCTCACCGTAGCCCAGCTGCACACCCAGCCACCTCCCTCCCTCTCCAATTCCCGTCCCCCCTCCTCTCCTTTCCCACCGTACTGTGCGAGATAATCCGTACGAATATCTATCCGTACCGAGCGTGCACCTCCATCTCTGTGCTGCCCATCGCTGTTTGTGTGTGTGTGTATGTGTGTGGCGGGTGAGTGAGCGAGCGAACCTTCCATCAGAGAGTTCACAGACTCCAATGATGAGGGGTTGAGGGGGAACCGGCCGCCGTTATCGGATCGAACTTGGCACCTTCGGTTTTTTACCCCACCATGGATGCTTTGGAAATTTTCCTCGCCCGTCGAGTCACGAATCGCGAATTACGACATTGAGAGAAAATAATTGGGCTCCAGTTCGGCTTCTCTCCCGTCATTCTCGAGTCCAAGTAGGGTGGGTTCCCTTTCTGAATTACCCCTCCTCCTCCGTTCGCTGCTGCCGCTGCTGCTGTTGTTTATTGGAACCTGGATTGACTCACACAGAACAACCAAAAAAGTTGCACCACGATACCATCATCACCCGGAAGAAATTAGTTGAATTTCAAGATGGCATCCCAGTAAGCCTGACACTCCCGTCGAATGCTCAACTCTCAAGACACTTGCAGTCGCTAATGGATTGATAATAATAGGAGCGTTTTGATGCTCGGCGCGGGCTTCGTGACCCGGCCGACGCTTGACATCCTCAGCGATGCCGGTATCCCCGTCACCGTTGGTACGAAGCTCCCCATCCCACCATCAACACCTCCTCCCATTCCTCCCTACCCGCCCGTACCAGATACCAAAGCACCCGATATCTACCACCAAACTCAGAATCACCGAAAACTAATTCTCAATTCCTCAACACGCAGCCTGCAGAACCCTCGAGTCCGCCAAGAAGCTGTCCGAGGGCGTCAAGCACGCCACCCCCATCTCTCTCGATGTCAACGACGACAAGGCCCTCGACGCCGAGGTGGCCAAGCACGACGTTGTCATCAGCTTGATCCCCTACACCTTCCACGCGACCGTCATCAAGTCGGCCATCCGCCAGAAGAAGCACGTCGTCACTACCAGCTATGTCTCGCCCGCCATGATGGAGCTAGACCAGGCCGCCAAGGACGCCGGCATCACCGTCATGAACGAGATCGGACTGGACCCCGGTATCGACCACCTGTACGCCGTCAAGACCATTGAGGAGGTTCACCGCGAGGGCGGCAAGATCCTCTCCTTCCTCTCCTACTGCGGTGGTCTCCCCGCCCCCGAGGCCTCTGACAACCCGCTCGGCTACAAGTTCTCGTGGTCCTCCCGCGGCGTGCTGCTCGCCCTCCGCAACGCGGCCAAGTACTACAAGGACGGCCAGGTCGTCGACGTCTCCTCCAAGGACCTCATGGCCACCGCCAAGCCCTACTTCATCTACCCCGGCTACGCCTTCGTCGCCTACCCCAACCGCGACTCTACCCCTTACAAGGAGCGCTACAACATCCCCGAGGCCCAGACCATTGTCCGCGGCACCCTCCGCTACCAGGGCTTCCCTCAGTTCATCAAGGTCCTCGTCGACATTGGCTTCCTCGAGGATGCCGCCCAGGAGACGCTCGCCAGCCCCATTGCGTGGAAGGACGCCACCAAGGCCGTCGTCGGCGCTGCCTCGTCGAGCGAGAGCGACCTTGAGGCCGCCATCGTCGGCAAGGCTCACTTCGAGTCCCCCGAGGACAAGCAGCGCATTCTCAGCGGCCTGCGGTGGATCGGCGTCTTCTCGGACGAGAAGATCACCCCCCGCGGCAACCCGCTCGACACGCTCTGCGCGACGCTGGAGAAGAAGATGCAGTTCGAGGAGGGCGAGCGCGACATGGTGATGCTGCAGCACAAGTTTGAGATTGAGCACAAGGACGGCTCGCGCGAGACGCGGACGTCGACGCTCGCCGAGTACGGCGAGCCCAAGGGCTACTCGGCCATGGCCAAGCTCGTCGGCGTGCCCTGCGGTGTCGCCGTCCAGCAGGTGCTCAACGGCACCATTTCCGAGCGCGGCGTTCTGGCGCCCATGAACTCCAAGATCAACGACCCCATCATGAAGGAGCTCAAGGACAAGTACGGCATCTACCTCATTGAGAAGACCCTGTCTTAGAGAGATCTTGTGAGTTGGGATAGTGTTTGTTTGTCTACCTACCGGGTTCAGCTGTCAATGCACAGGAATGGGGGGAAAAAGCATGCGCAGTTGGACTTTGATGAGAACATGGTAAAAAGTTTAGACATTGTTCATCGGGAAGAATAGAAACGCTTTGACGTGTCCATGATGTTTGTTGGGTTTGATTCACTCCTCACCTTTCCCACGTTGTTGCCTACTCTTGAGTGAAGCTAGGAGAGGAGTATTCGTAAGTGCTGTACCATGCAGCCTTCGGTGGATCGAGTGAGTCCGTGGGAATGCTCAGGTTGGCCGGTCCGGCTTGTGATGATGGGCCAAAGGACCGGACACGGCGGCAACTCATCTCAACTTTTCGTTGTGAGAGAAAGTGGATGTCCACACGAAACGCCATGGCCAGACAACATAGGAGAGTGACATATCAAGATGAGAGTGTTCACTTCGTCTGATGTCCCATGAGGGCACCCTGTAAAGACGATGACAAGTCCGAATAACCGCGTGGAATGGAACGGTGCTTTTTGCCCCTGATTTGCGTTTCTGGCTGGTGTGAGTGAAGTAAATTGAAGTGAGGTGAGGTGAGATAAGTGCTACTTGTTGCAGGTGGTGGCGCTGCGTGTCCCAGACTGATGGATTATTCTACAAAGGTAAGTAGGTAGCTTAGGGCGTGTGAGTGTAAGTAAGTGTGAGTCCAGTGTGTGAGAGTGACGGTCAGTGGATGAGTTTGTGGAATGTGGTTGGCGGTGAGTGTGTAATGTGCGATCTGAAGATCGGGCGGCCGCTATTCGATACTAATCGGGGAATTTTAACACTTTTTGCGGTTCCCCCGTCCCAAAAATCATCTTTTTTCGACCTCATGTCTTTTTCCCTCCCATCCTATCCTCCTCCCATTTCCCCCCAACAAAGTCTTGAAACCCAAGCCCGCTATCAGACTGGACCCGGCTAGAAGGCATTCAAATAAGAGCCGAAATCAGACGGGTTCCATTCGGTTATCCCGGGTGTTTGTCTGGGAAAACGAGCGAATCCAGTCGTTCTGAGCCGCAAACCCGCAAGAAAGCTTCAGCGTAACGCAAAAGCCGCGAGCGCCCCCTCGCGACACGCCAGGAAACGAAACCAAAGCGAACGACTTCTTGCTCAGAGGGGATACACACTCACGGCCTGAAACATTGCAAGCCATCAGCTTTTCTGAGGACCACTAGAGTTCTAGACAGACGGGGGGTCGGGAGCAAAGGCCGCAGACAACGAAACCTTTGGGGGGGGAAAGGACAAACGGAACGCAACGCGCGAGTCGAACTTGGCTTTGGGCTCCTTGAGAAAAGGGCAGGCAAGCAAGCATAGCACGTCTGCATAGCAGCAGCAGCGGCAGCCCGGTCAAGGAAAGCTGGACGAGGGCGGATCTGAATACACCGTAGGTTCATCACGCACCACCAAGCCAGCACACATTGGGTACGGCAAGTCTCTCCGTCCAGACTCTCACACATACAAACAGACACAAGCGCAGAGAGACAGCCAGACACACCAAAACGCACACCCACTCACACACTCTCGCAGTTAAACACCACACACCCGGCACATTACACACCCCCAGCAAATGGTGCAGTACATCCTGACGCCGTGGCGCGATCGCCGCGAGCTGCTCAAGGTTCGCCAGCAGTTCTATCCCGCTGCCCCAGCGTCTGCATCAGCACCAGCATCAACAGCACCAACATCATCCACACCCGCCGCCCAAGCTAGCGGTACGGCAGCAACAGCAGCGTCCGCGGCCGCCGCATCCCAGGCCCCAACAAGGTCTTGGATACGAGGAACGGCTGCACAAGCACAAGCACAAGCACAAGCACAAGCACAAGCACAAGCACAAGCACAAGCACAAGCACAAGCACCAGTACCAGCACCAGCACCAACGCCGACGCCATCGTCAAGTTCATCAGCACCAGCACCAGCAGCACCACCAACAAGTACCAACACCAACAAGACAACCCCAAGCAGCGACCAGCACCATGCCGTCGCGAGGGTGTCCATGTGGATGCAGCGCGGCAACTGCCCGCACATGGTCGAGTCCACGGCCCTGCTGACGGCCGCCATCCTCAGCGACGCCGAGAGCAAGGGCGGCGCTGGCACCTATGCTGTCCGGGCTGCCTACGCCGCTGCCTTCAGTCGGTACGTCTACGGTCCCCCAGAGTTCCCTCTCTTCTCCCTCTCCTCTGTCTCTCATATGTCACTTGTCTCTTTCTGTTGTCCTCCATCATCTCAAGGGCCAACAGGGCTGTTTGTTAGTTCCAGGTTCAAGGTGCGGAGTGCCAGTTGAGAGAAAGGAAAGTCTAGTTGGGGCGTTTTACGTTCCGTCTTCCGCCCGCCTCCTCATCCTTCTTTCTGCCCTTGAAGTCTGTCTCTTGCGAGTGGCTTGAAACAATCTCAATCCTCCAGGGATCTGGGCCGCCTCTTCTCTTTTGTCACCTCTACATTTGGATTTCGGCGCATTTCACATCTCACATCCTTATTTGACTTTTCTGTCATTTTCACCCATCCTTCATCCAACGCACACACGCCCCCCTCTTTCCCACTCAGGCGCCCTTCGTAGCCCACTCAACTCTCACTACCCTACCCGAATCAGGTCCCGTCTGAAGGGCCACCAAAAATCGCCTGATCTGCGCGACTGCTGGAAGCCACATTCACTCAGACAGGCTCTCACTTACACGCACGCCGCGCCGACCAGCACGCCCACGCCTCCCTCTTCCCCCTTCAAGAATCCCAGCAAGCCGGCGTGGTTTTGCATATGGGCGTCTCACCTTGTTCGGGAAGCGTCAGCGGGTGCAGTGCACTTGGGAGCTTTGGTCTGACGGACGTTCCTGGCATCGGGGGAAGCTTGGCTCGATTTGCTTGAGGCTTGGTAAACCTCCCATGGGCCGTCGCCGACATCCAGCATGCCAGAGCTCGTTTCTCACCCTGTAGTCAATGGGCGGTGGTTCATGAACCTAGTATGGGGGTGAGGGCTTCCAAGTGTCTTGCCCAGATCATTCATCGCTTGAGCCTCCGGCCTCCGAGAGCCCTGCCTTTCCGACTCGGGTACACAGTGCACCCCTTGATTGATCAAATCTATCATCGTCACCGTCTGCCGATCGTATGTGTTGCTTACACTTCTCTTTCCGTCTAGGTTCGTGACCGGGCTCTTGGACGGTCACCAGGATAAGCAACGCAAGCTGAGCATGTACTCAGTGGCAAAGACTATTGGCCTGCCGGCGACCTTTGTCGAGCTGCGGCACCAGGCGACGCATGAGACGCTGCCGTCCCTCGCGAAGCTGCGTTCCGCCGCGCGCAAAGCGCTGGTTTGGATCTGGGAATATTACTGGCAGCACCTGGGGCCTAACGAGGTCGTGAGCCAGGCCCCTGAAAGGACGGGTCCCTTGGCCGCCACCACTGCCGTCGTCTCTGCAGCCCCTGTGCGCCGCGAAGTCGTGGTCGCATTTCTGGAGGAGCAGGATGCCGGGAGGAGGGCGGAGATGAGGAAATGGATTGATGGGCTGGACGAGGGTCGGTTGTTGGCGACGCTGGAGAAAATTGTCCAGGCCCCGCCGAGTGAGGCCGTCATGCTTGCGGCTCAGCAGCTTTCCGAGGACATTACGCGCAAGGGACAAGCAGATGGGCAGGGCGAGATGGAGGAGGATGCGGCTTCAGAGAGCGTTGGCACCGGATGGGCCAAGTTTGAGGGGACTTGGAAGCCGCGACCTATTGGCGTCGCGTAAATCGTCAAGCCCGGCCGCGGATGTTGTCCTGAGATATCAAAACGCAATAATACCATCACCACATGCCATATGTGAGAAAACTGCTCTTGCTTGATATCCTGTATGGAGATATCGCTGATGAGGTGGTAGTTGTAGCGAGTATGCAACATCACGTGGGGTATGACGATACAATTGGATGCGGGTCGTCTGTCGTCCCCCCTCGCGGATTTGTAATAACGTCACCGTGACTTGCCGAGGAGCTCCCGACGCAACACAACCGCAGCGTAACAGGAAACAGCTCTCTACACTCACAATTGCCTTTCATGAATACCCTCATCGCAAGGAGACCACTACTGAGACAGAAACTCGCGACCGTTACAGCTGCAGTGAGTTTTTCCTTTGCTGTTTGCCCATTCCCATTCCGGGTTGATTGGCTATTCTGTGAGAAATTGGAAGCTTACACAAAGGGGTTATAGCTCACGCTCACCAACGCCATGCATATTCAGTCGATCCCCATGTGTACGTTCCCCCCCAATTCCTCTGATGCTCTCTTTTCCTGAATGAGAATGAGGGTGAGAGTGGGGAGATGGAGTGAATGTTCCATCATGCTGTTATGAGATTTTTAACGTGTCTTCAGGGGTGGGCAGTAGTAACAACTACGCCTACCTAGTCAAGGACGACAAGACCAACGATGCCGTCATCATTGACCCGGCCAACCCGTCCGAGTGAGTATTTTCCCCCTTTATTCACGACTCTGAGAGAAAGAGGAAGGGCATCTTGGATTGCGGTTGCGTTGCGTATCGAGCTTAAGCTGACGAATTTCTCTAGAGTGACACCCGTATTGCAAAAGGCTATCAAGAGCGGCGAGATTAACCTCACCGCCATCGTCAACACGCACCAGTGAGTCTCTCTCGTCCTTGGGAAACTAGAATGACAGGGCAAATGCCGTCGAGACCTGGTGCGCGTATCTGACATCTCTGGTAGTCACTGGGACCACGCGGGCGGAAACAAGAAGCTGGTACGTCTCGTATCCTACCCCCCCTGCTTTTCCTCTCAACCCGCACTCACAACAAGAAAAATAGCAAGGCGAATTGGGTCTGGATAAGCTCCCCATCATCGGCGGCAAGGACTGCGAGGGCGTGACGCGTATGCCGGGCCACGGCGAGTCGTTCAAGATTGGCGAGGGCATCGCGGTCAAGGCGCTGCACACGCCTTGCCACACGCAGGACAGCATCTGCTGGTTCATGCAGGATGGGGACCAAAAGGTCGTGTTTACGGGCGATACGCTCTTCATCAGCGGTGGGTTCTTCGTCTCCTTCTTCCCTTTCACTTCAACTTTTGCTCTTCGAACGCAGCTTCTCCTACCCGCTTGGACTGCGATGGGGCTTGTGTTCATGCCATGAGCGAGAAGATGCTTTTTGCAACGGAGAGATTCCCAGCTGAGGTAGTAGGGGCGTGGCTACGAAAGATTGTCTTGCTGACTTTCCTTCCTTGCGTCCCAATAGGTTGCGGCAAGTTCTTCGAGGGCAACGCCGAGGAGATGCACAGCGCGCTGAACAAGACGCTGGCCTCTCTTCCCGACGACACGGTCGTGTTTGTGAGTCTCCACCTTCCCGTTAATTCAACCTAGGAAGAGGATGAAGCTGGGGAGAAGGGGAAGGGAATGGTTGCTGACAGAGAGAAAAAAAAAAAAAAGCCCGGACACGAGTACACCAAATCCAACGTCAAGTTCGCTGCGTCTGTGCTGCAGAACGAGGCGATCCAGAAGCTGCAGGCGTTCGCGGAGAATAACAAGGAGACGCAGGGCAAGTTTACGATCGGAGACGAAAAGGTACGTTATTCCTGGGGTTTCCCCCCTTCTTTTTTGCAACGGTTGGAGTGGGAGAAGGGTGGGAGCTTGGAATTGGGAATAATAAGCTGACGACCGCTTGAAAAAAACAGAAACACAACGTCTTTATGCGCGTCGAGGTGAGTTTTTCAAAGGCCCTTTGCCCTATGGAGCTTCGCGGGCAACTTTCGCCTTGGAGAGACACAGACACTGACGCCGGGGATGTTATGATAGGACCCCGAGATTCAGAGAGTGACTGGGGAGAGCGAGCCCGTTTCCGTTATGAATAAGTTGCGCGAGATGAAGAACAACTTCAAGTGAGTAAGTGGGCCAGGTTTTTTCTCTTTCCACCCTCTCGTTCAGTTCTTTCCGATGGTACCGGCCTGCTTGGATGCCGCCGTTGGGCTCAGGGGTGGCAGTCAAGACATGAGCAGAGCTGACGAGTAGACAGTCCACCTCCTGATTCCAAGATTTGACGTGATGGGGCTGCTTAGATAGGGGCCGTGGAGTTTAGGCCAGAGAGCATTTTTGCAAAAGTTTCAAGTAGACAGTATGCGAGGGCAGGCTCTTGACCGTGTGATCAAAAGAACAGCAATCACGTCTTTCTACTTCTCAGACCAAAAAGTACCAAAGTCATCAACATGAAATCGTCACGACACGAGTATGTCTCCCACAGGTCCTAAACGCGACAACCAAAAGTGATTGAAGCGAGAGTGTAAGCCGGGGAAGGGGCGGTACGTCCTGCGACGCGCCCCCGTTTGTTTAATCTTGCTTCACTGTCCACACGTGCTCGCTCTGGGTAAGAAAGCGGCAAGCTCTAGCATTTTTTAGAAGCTGTGTCATGTCACGATTTGGTTTCTTTCTGAGGTTCGTCTCAATGTTTTGAAGACGCTGGCTCTTGTCCCGTCCCGCTGGGAACGAGGAAAGGAAACCACGAAGAGGGGTGCCTTGTTTGGCGTGTTGCGATGCCTTGCGAATGAGGCAACAGCATGTTGCAGTTGGAAACTCCCCGAGTAGAAAGCACCGCGTTTGGAAGAGGGCATGAGTAGCCCGTAGGAGTGTAGTCCATCCATGGAGTTTGTCATGGAGAATGGAGGATCCCAGGTTGCTGGGCGCAGTTCCGGCGCGGAGGCCGTGGAGCTTTTAGTATGAGGCACACTTCCTCTAGGCAGCTTTGACCCGTAGAGTGTGGAGGCGGTTTTGAAAGATCCGTAAACTCGTATCTTCTTCGACCACGTTGCGTAGGTCTTGAGGATCTTTGTGAGAATGGTCCAGGTGATCGGCGATGGAAGTGAAGCAGAGAGCGAGCGAAGCTTGTGCGTAGGGTCCAGTTTAGGACATGCTTGTCGTCGATCTCTCTGCTCAATCGCAAGGCGCTAGGGCTGGTTTGGGAGGTCTCATGGTTGAGGTAGTCGATGCTTCTCACAATGAGTGAGGGTCGTGAGGTTGTGATGGTTAAGAAATGAGAGTAATCGTAACTTGCGAAACCTTTTTATGTTGATTTTTTTTTTTGCAACGGCGGGGCGGGCTATCGTGCGAACGAAACTTTGTGCACATGGCTTGGACACTGTACAAGCGCGACTCCACAGCCCATTAACGCGTCCCCGACGCTCTTTCGTCCCGGCGCATCCATCGTCATTGACCTCCAGCTCTCAGTACCTGCCTCACCCGTGCTTGCGACGACCACATTCCAAATCCCACCACCCCTCCTACAGCCCATCCAAATCCCACAACACAACCTCAGCATCTCAAATCCATCCAACAGATTCAAAATGGTAAGCCACCACCCTCTGTCTTCGCAATTCTCAACCACCCAAACTAACACCCAATCCCAAGCCCGCAAAACGCAAACCACCGACCTCAAAACCCTCCACCTCGACAACAGACGTCCCCCGCCCCCGCGCCTCCAAACTCGCAAAAGAACACAACATCTCCGCCCACGAAGAGCGCGAGATCCGCGAAGCCTTCTCTCTATTCGCCGAACCCCTCAAAGGCTACTCCAAAGAAGGCGTCATCCCAACCTCGGACGTCCGCTCCTGCCTCGTCGCCCTCGGCATCCCGCCCTCCTCCCGCGACGAGCAGGCCGAGTTCGTCGAGATCTTAGACCCCGAGGGCGAAGGCTTCGTGGCGTATGAGCCGTTTTTCGCCGTGTGCGCGTTGAAGTATCATCAGAGGGAGGAACGGGGTGGAGGGGAGGCCAGGAGGAGGGAGGTGGAGGAGGCGTTCGGGCTTTTCACGGGGGCCGGTGCTGGGGCTGGAGGTTCTTCGGCGTCGGCTTCTGCTGGGCAGAGGGATGTCATAACGATTGCGGATCTCAAGAGGGTTGCTGCCGTGCTTAGAGAGGACGTCAAGGACGAGGTGCTGCGGGATATGATCCTTGAGGCCAACGGGGGCGCGGGCGTAGGCAAGGGAGTAAGGAGGGACGAGTTTGAGGAGGTCATGCGCCGGGCTGGAGTTTGGCGATGATTGCGTGCACGCGGTCGACCTACCTCACTGACTGGTTGGACGATAAGAGGCTTCGTGGCCTTTGCGGTGGGCTTTGGTCCTGCATTATACCCTATTATGCTGGCGTTTGGGAGGCACGGCGATCGCATTTCCCTTCTTTGTTTGTTTTGGGCGCGTTTATAGCATCTATGGGCTACTTCTATCTCGATAGTTGGAACTTCGACTTCACGGCTTCAAGCTTCACAATCTACACGAGCAACTGCAACATGCTGCAGTATCTGGAACACTTTGGTAAGTACTGGTGGTAATGATGATTCTATCTGATCTCAGTGCAGCCCATCTGGCATCCGTGGGGCGTGATATCTTCATCACCCCCGCGAGTTGTATATCCATGCTAATAAAAAAAAGAGGACAACAAGAAAACGCCCATGAGATATGCTTATTCCGGCCTTGTTCCTTGCGTGTTGGTGCGTTGCCAATTACCCTGGCATGAGATTGAGTACGGACTTAACCTGACGTGTCCAACAAAACAGAACCCATATAAATTCCCATCCCAGTATGTTTGGTGAGATTAAGCCGTAGTAAGGTTCCTCCTCACTGCTGCGTCTGTCACTGAATGGGAGTTGCCTTTTGTGCAGAGAAGAGAAAGGGCTGGGGAGAGGAAATCATGCCGAGGCCACGCTGCTTGGCCTCAGAACCGCCTCCCAACCCCTAGCAAGGGCTTAAAAGGGGGCAGAATGCGGAGGGTTGCGGCCAGCCTTCTAAGCCGGCGCACCTCCGGCCGCAGCCTTGGCCTTATCAGCGGCCGCCTTTTGTGAGTCAATAACGACCTGGAGCTCGGGGGGCGCCTTGAAGCCGGCATGATCCTGGTGACGCTTGTAGAAGTAGTTATCGGCCTTGGGGCGCAGCTCGGCGGGGAGCTCTTCGAGCACGCATTCCAGGATAGCATCGACGGATTTTTGCTTGGAGCCGTCGCGGTGCCAGATGGAGATGAGGTGGGAGTTGAAGCGAACGGACAGACCGACGCCGCAAATCTGGTCGCCTGTAGGAAGTCAAGGATTAGCCAACCTGCGCATGTGGTGAAGGAGATGCAAGAGACGGGAGAGACAGGGCGACATACTGTCATCCAGTACACTCTGCAGCTTCTCGCCAATGGCAAGAAGCTGAACGCGAGTCCACACATCGGGGCCAATGTTCTTGGGCACGCGGAAGGTCCATGCGCCGCCGTTGATGTTGCGGCGGTCTTCCCAGATAGGCTTGAAGCCTTGCTTGAAGAGGTATATGGACTCGCGCATCTTGATCTGGTCAACAGGTGTGTTGTTGTTGTACTTCCAAAAGTCCTGGACGGATTCTATCTGCGCGCCAAGCTGTTCCAGCTGCACCTTGTACTCGTCATCGTTGCCCGACTTTTGCTGGTCCTTTGCTTGTCTGAAGTGAGGACTGGGAGTTAGTCTCGAAAGCTTCAGGGGTGGTGGGGGTGGGGGTTGTGTAGGAACTGGGACATGCGCCTGAGGACAGACACTGTGGTTATTCCAGGAGGAGCACCCACTTATCAAAGTAAACGTTCCAGTAGTGTTGTGTCGGCAGAGGGCGCATGGCCTTGAGGAAGTTGCGCTTCGCATCGTCACGTTGGTCGGCTGGGGAGCTGACACTGGGCGAGTTGGGGTCGGTTGTGCTCTGGGAGAGCCCCGACAGGCCGCGGGTGAAGAGGGCAGGTCTGGCGGCCATGGCGTGTGAGGTGGTTGGGAGGGCGGTGGAAAGGGGGTATCGAGGAGTAAATGCAAAGAAATGGCAACGGCAGGTGAAGTCGCAGCAGCAAGAAGAGGACGGAAAGAGGTGTCGAGTGTCGAGTCGTGAGGTAAGTGTCCGGATGAAGGTGAAGTTGAGGTCGTATGTTGCGTCGCTGCCCGCTGGACCTGGTCGGGGATCGGGGGTCGGGTAGGCGTGACCGAGAGAGGCACCTTAAAGAGGGACGGCCGACGGGACACAGTGACAAGTTACACTGCCAAACTGAAGTGCCCTTGCTTTTTTGGGTCGCTGGTCGTTGGTTGGCTCGGTGGAGTGCGGCGGTGCCTAATGTAGCAACGAGGGGCAGAAGTGGGCAGGCCGTTGACGGGACGGGGGACGGGGCACGCTTAAGTGCCTGAGGGCCGGCGTCGTCAGTTGCTGTGTGCTGGTTGGTGACTTGGCTTGTGTGTGTGTGTGTGTGGCAACGTGGTTGTTGGCCTGGTAGGAGAAGACGTGGAGAGGCTTGGGCTTGTTTGGAAATCGCCAATGAAAGGACCGGTTTGGTGGGTTTCTTGGGCTTGTCTGGGGGAGTACAGATACAGATACAGGCTGTTCGTACGTATCTGTAGTCTATAAGGAGTATCCGTATTGGCAGATCAGACAGCGAGATGGCGCGGGGAGGGGAGATTTGATTGTCAGGAACAGATGCCCTTGTCTTGCAGCTTGCTTTGACGCCGGTGGCGTGTTCCTCCCAAGTTACCTAGTGCCAGGGATCCAACAGAGGGACACAGGTGGACCAGAAGATACCTGTTGGAAAGAACAAGGTGTGACGACTGACGACAGCAGCTGAAAATCGGGTTCCTTGCAACTCTGAATGACTCGGCGGTTGTATTCAGGGAGTTGGTGACAAAGAATCGTAAAGATACAACAGGACGACGACCGAGGGAGAGGCGGTAGAGAGAAAGGGAAGGAGGAGATCCAGAGACGAGGTCGCGGCGAGGTAGGGGTATTAAACAAGAAGCTGTCCATCCCATTTCATCCCATCTCTCGTCACTGCGATACCCAAGATACCTCGATGGTGCTCCTCTTCCTTGTAGTTCAGAGCATGGAGTGCAGATACATTTTGCGCAAGGTACCTACATCACAGGGGGTATCAGAAACCTAGGGCCGCAACACATGACGACACTCCAGGCGGTCCCAAAAGGCAGGGTATATTTGCTGAAGGCGGGATAATTAGAGGGTGGAAGTCTGGGAGATCTGTCTGGAGAGAGTGGGCAGGGAGCTTCGAAATCCGGTCAAAAGGTCACTCCAGGGCTCAGATCTGAGGTCTGAAGCGCAGTAGGACAGGGCACCTTGGTCTTGTGGACAATGGCATATGAGCGCCGAGAGAACGAGTGAGAAGTGAGCAGGCTCCAGACTCACCTTCTCGGAAGACTCGTCAGAGTCTCGACGGGGAAAGGGGAAATGCAGACGGGACGGTACACGAACCGTCCGAGTGCACAATGTCCAACCTGACTGTACGGGTACGTACAGGATACATATGTACTCTGCAAGGTACAGGCGAATGAAGACGTCTCGGACGCGATTCCTGCTCCTGCTTCCGCTCCTGCTGCCCATGTGGTGGTGGAGGTGGTGGTGGTGGAGGAAGGAAGGAACCTGCCGCTGCACACATGAGGCACACAGGCGAAACGGCAACGGCGTCTTCCATCCTGAAGTGAGGTCCTGCCGTAGCCTGTAAGCAGGTAGGTACGGACCCAAGGTGGCATTCCGCGGCAGCCGTCACGGCCGTCCGTCCCGATCTGACTGTGGTGTCTGGAGACGCTGGAACCGACTGGCACTAGCAACTTGGCAAACTCAGAGCCGACGAGTGACTTGAACGGTTGGGACGGTATCACAGTAGACGATCCAGAGGAGAAGAGAAGAAACCCTAGAGACGGTACCTAGAACTTTGGTGGGAACATCTTACCGCCCTGAAACATCCAGCCGCCGGCGCGGCCAGTGATAAGTCGCGGCGAGGAGGGTGGGCAAGGGGAGCAAAGACCGGATGTTCAGGTTCACGTTCGAGAAGGAAGGTTATTACCCACGTTACTCCGTACCATGCGGATACAGCTGTTCTTTTCGGTTCGGCGGTTCCTGAGGATGGTGTAAATGAGCAGGGTCGCCGCCTGGCAGGGGGTTTCCAGCTTCCAGGAACAGGGACCAGGCACGAGGCATGTGCCGCCATGGGAATGCAAGCCATGGGAATGCAAGGTACCTTACACGCAGATGTCGCTGGAAACCGCAACTTATGCAACCTCCCAGCGAGTTTCCAAGGTGTCGAAGAGGAGCTGATCCGAGCAAGGCAAGATGCCTTCTCAGTGCTTCCCTACCTTGATAAGCACTTGCCTGTCAATGAGTGCCCGGTCGAGAGCATCTTGTAGATGGAAGGAACTGCGACAATCACTGTGGAAGAGGGCACATTCTTCCGCATACCTCAGTCCCCATGCACCTTATCCAGCTATGACCCTTAACATCCCATCCAACGTCTGAGCTGCTCAACATCATCAAACGGAGCGGAGAATGAGATGCACCCACAAGATCAATTGACTCTCGGAAACTTCGTCATAGTCACACTAATGCACGCTCTCTAACCACTCGCACACATCGAAGCTCGAGAGTCGGGTTCGACGCCTAGCTCAACCAACTGCCCGTTCACTCAACCTTTTTTCGCGCTCTTCGCCCTTTTGGCAATCCTCTAGAAATCACTCGCATATCGAACAGGAACGAACCCCTTGACGCCAAAAAGGAAGAAAAACTTGAGATGGATCTCGGGAACGGTATATCGCAGAAAGCTCCGACATTGAATATCTGAGACGGGTTGGTTCCAACGAATGCATCCGCGGAAAGCACGGCAAATAGGACCGTATGGCTATGAACCGCCGCCATAGACAGACCACAATTTGACTAGCAAACCAACTACTCACCATCTTTCGTGACGATCAAAACGTCCTACGGCAAGTCAACAGATCGCAACCTGCTTCGGGCAGCCTCCCCGGAGAAGAAAACCAAAAACCCAAACGGCGTTTGCACCCGAACTATAGTCAGGAATAAACATCAAGCTTCATCCAATGCCCATTTCAACAGCCCAGATATGTAAGTCTGAAAAAGAGGAGGCAAAAAGCCAATCTCCATAACAAATTGAGCGCATTATGGAATTCGCGATTGCGAAAGCCTCTTGAATTGGCACACCTAAATGAAAGCCATTTACCTAGATGTCCATACAACTCTCTAAGACCCCGTCGCACATTCGCTTCCTAGGGCTGGCAAGCTTGACACTCAACACGGACATAGACACACGTCAAAGTTTCGACGGCCAACGGCTTCCGGAGCACGTTGCCCGCCGTCGAAAGAACCAAACCGCTGTCTCGAAACTCCCCCTGATAAAGTAGTTCACCGGCTTGCTTCGCCGTCGTCTCTTCCGGATGCTTCATCCCTGCCTTGTCTCTCTACACTCCCGTCACCAACAACTAACCCTGTCTAACCCTAACAACGACATCCCTCTTTAGCTCTCGACATTCGGCGTATTCCCCATACGCAGTGTTCCTAATGGGACTCATTGATCGTGAATGTCTAGAGATTGCGCAAGCGGCACGCAGCGGCCCCCGACGGCCCTCCCGCGCCTTGCTGCTTGCACCTTGACTTACGAAGCACCGCCAGAACGGATCCCCTGTTTGAGATCAATGGCAACAAGTAAAGAACACCCGCCCACTTTCCATGAGATCTGACAGGCCGGATCGTGTTCCTGCGGGTTTCAGTCGTGACGTGTCCCGACAGAAGAAACAACCATTTACCCGCACTGCGGTATCATCACTTATTCACTACCCAGTACGAGAGTCTTGATGTGCCGTATACTATGTGTTGACTGCAAACTATGGATTCTCTCTCTTTCTCTCCCAAACAAAGTAAACCCCGAAGAAGAAGAAGGACTCCCAAAACACCATGCTTACCATTGTCGTCTTGGCGCTTCGTAACAATCAATAGCCGAGCTCTTTCGTCCACAACTCATTCATCGAATCCCCCCTAGACCTACAACTCTAAAAGTTCATCTTGCTTGCCGCAGGCGGTGCCTCGCCGACCCAGCGCTCTTTGTCGTCTCCAATCTTCCTCCGGAACATGCCTAGATCGCTCAGCAGACTGCGCATGTACTCCTGCATGTCACTGGCATTATCCTCCATAACGTCCGAGTCGTACGCTGTGTCGTCCGAGTCGTCGTACAATGACTCGGCGTCCTCGCCATTTTCCTCCTTGCCCTCGAGATCCGCTGACTTGGCTCTCTGAGCCTCATCCTCCGCTTCCTCAGCCTCCGGCGGCTTGATCGTGACGGCCGGGATCGGGTTTTTGAGACTCTCGAGCGCGAGCTTGAGATGCAGCCGCAAGGCCTCGTTCTCCGTCTGCAGGCTACGAATTTTGCCCTCGGCGACGAGACTGCGCTCCTCCATCATGCGCTGCATCGTAGCCACGTGGTTCTGGTACTCTTCGAGCTTCTCCTCCTGGTCCTTGGTATCCTTCTCCCGCCGGCGCGATTCCGACACAGACAGCTGAAGGGCTCGGATCTCGTCCGCCATAGCTGCGATTTGGGCATCGCGCTCCGCTGACGAGATCTGGTCTTGGTTGACAACCGCGCGCGTGCGGATGCGCTTGGCTTGGTCTGCGTAGCGAAGCGTCGAGAGAGTCTCCTCGTAATCCGACGGCGCGATGCAAGCAATCATTGCCGTTTTGCTGTTGCCTCCCAGCGAATCCTTCAACAGCCACGTGAGAATTGAGTCTCGATACGGAACGACGTCCTTGCTGCGCTTTCTCGAACCCGCCTTGGCATCGGCAAGCGCTCCTATCACTCGGCCGAGGGTTGTTAGCGACTTGTTGATGTTGCTGCCTTCGCGGAGCCGCTGGCCTGTTGCCTCGGTTGCCTTGGCACGTTCGCTGCCAGCCAGATCGACCAGGCGGATACGGGAACTTCGCTCCGTCGTCTCGTCCGTTTCCATGTCATGGTGGATCTGCTTGAGCATGATTGTGAATACCGCGTGACTGCGACTACTCGTGTCGTTCATTCTGGTGCTGGCCACGGTTCTCGACCTGTCTCCCATCGTCATGTATCGCAAAATCTCGTTCAGATTGCGGACAGGAACCTCGGTCAGATCCTTGACGTACGGTCCTTCCGTTGGCGACTCCCTGATTTTGAGATAGTACGGCGGCTGGTTGGCCACAACTGGAACAAGCAGGTCCCGGACGTGCTCATTGTAGACCTCAAAGTATGACACCCTAACGTTGTAGGAAATATTGGGTGTCTCGTTCTGCGCAGATTCGATTCGCTCGAAGAGATCCTCGCACGTTCGAGGAATCAAGCCCGGCTGGTCTGGCGTTCCCATCATTGTATAACTCTTTCCGGAACCTGTTTGACCGTAGGCGAAGATGCATGTGTGGTAGCCCTCAAAGTTGTGGTCGAGGAACTCCTCGCCCAGACTGTTGTAGACGTCTTCCTGGTGGGCATAATACTTGTCGCTGAGATCATGACTCCAGAAAGAATTGTCGAATGTAAAATTCTTTTCTTCGATAACCTTTCTCGTCTTTGCTTTCGCGTTCGCGGGGTCGCTGTCGTTGGGCACGAGAAGCGTCGTTTGCTGGGTGATGGGGTCCATCTCCACTAGGCACTCGGCACCACGCTCGATTTCTGATTTTCTTTGGTCAGTCTCCTTCTTCTTCTACGCCGTCCTAGAAAGCCTCCAACATACCTCTGGGCAGAAACGCCCGCACTCGGACAACGACACGAACATTGCCTCCCCCGTCCATTCTGACCGGTCCATCGTGCGACCGCAGAGACGGGGTTGAAGCAGACGAGTAGAGAGCCGGCATCTCATAAACCGCTGGCGGTAGCAGTCGATGATCGAGAGACAATCCACAAAGGGTCTGCTTCAATTCTTCAAAAATTGCGTGGTATCGTTGCCGTTGCGAAGCCCACATCCCAACTCGAGGCGGTCGGGCTTGTTTACTCGGTTGCCCAATTAGGAGGAAAGCTGGTGGGGCCGAGTTGCCGGGGCAGTGACGCCACACTAGCTATGCGGTGTGTTGTTCGCCTGGGGTAGGAACGCAGGGGTGTTGCAAGTACGTATCTTGAAAAGCGTCGTCGATTTGCTTTTTGTTGGCAAATAAAATGAGGGAAAGGAGAATCAGATCCAATTCAGCAAGTGATCGTTTTAATCGTCTTTGCTAGACGAAGGACCGCCTATTCACAGAGATGCGCAAAAAGGCGTCGGTGCCGGTGTGTTGTGAAAGAATCAGATGACAGACACTCGTGCTCCGTTCGTGTAAACAAATCGCCCTGCAAACAAAAGTCTAGTGTATGTTCGGCACCTCTTTGACGGCGTCAACGCCCAACCTATACCAAACGCCACGAAGTCTAGTGTATTCTATCACTACCAACGCAAACCAAGTTACGGCCGTCTAAGCCCCTTGCCCAGAAGCTCTGAGCCCACCTCTACGATGATCATCTCATTTGGGAATTGCTTCTTCTTGGCCAGAATCGTGTCCTCCGCATCCATCGCCCTCAGCAAATCCGAGACTTCACTGTCACTTGGTGTGCAGTAGATCAAGTTACCCAGTGCAAGAAGCATGCCCTGCAGTGCCTCTGGCGAAGACTCCTCCTGTCCAATGGCTTCTAACACAGATGCAGCCAGCTCTACCGCGTCCCCGTCTGGCAATACGTCTCCAAACTTCTCACGTCTGGCTTTGTTGCTGAAAAGTGCCAAATTGAACATGAGGGACGAAGCGGAAACACGAACATTGTTGTGGCTGTCGTCTAAGAAACTCGAAGATATTAGTTGGATGACGGGTGCTCTCAACGTCTCGTTCCGAAGTATTTCCTCTGGGAATAGAGGCGTAGAGAAGAAGTTGCACGCCATTTGCAGGGTAACCAAACGCAAGGCGTATGGGCAGTCACTGTGTGAGTTGACGAGTCTAAGGATTGCCAAAACAGCCGTGTGCCCCTTCTCCTCAGCAAAGTAGCCGCTAAACCTTGCGTCCACGAGCGCACATCTAAACAAGTCGACGATGGTGAAGAGAACCTCAACGTGCAACGTCTGCACTGATCTTTGCAAAAATCCCGAGAATTCGCCTAGGTTCGGGAGGACCGCGGCCGCGGCGCCCTGCTTATCGCGGGCCTCAATGAATTGCTTGGTTGCCTGCACGGCTGGCTCATCTGCTGCCGAACCCATCTTGCCCAGAAGTTTGGCCAGTGGCGGTACTTTTGAGAACAATACCGGCTTTGCGTTCGGGTTGGAAAAGCTGGGTAGTTTGAGGGACTCATGAGGGTGCCGAGGCCAAGTCATCTGTAGCAGTAGCTGGACGTTCCCCCGAAGAGCAGCAGGATCAGCGCCTGCCCACTCATTCTCCTTTTCTCCGTGCAGATAGGTGATGAATGTCGGAGTTGCTCGAGGATAGTTCTTTCCGGGAAGCGGCGTCAATTGGGCCACGTCTACTTTGATGAATGTCGCTTTGCTACCTGCCTCTGCGGACACCTCATCAAATATGGGTGAGATGGCCCTGCAAGGTGGGCATGTAGCGGAGGTGAAGAGAACCACAGCGCAAGACTTTCTCGCAGATTCAAGGGCTGCGTCTAGCTCCTGTGAGCTACTCACAATCCTGATGTTTGATTGGGGTTTTGTGGATTGTGCTGCGGATCCATATCCTGGAGGAGTTGAGTTATTCTGGATACCAAGGATCGAACCGTTTTGTCTGTTGGAGTTTATAACTTGGTTCAGTTGAGGCATGAGCATCCTGCCCATTGGAGAGCTTAGTACGGCATCTGGCATCTTGATGATATGCTCTGGGATGCCTTTCCCAAGCAGGAACTGAGAAAATGAGTCTGAGAAGTTGTTGCAGTTGTGTCTCCAGAGATCGTAGGCCTGGTGAAATGTTAGTCTTTGTTAATTCAAACATATGTTGAGCCCACCTCGGCTGTAAATATTGGTCTTAATGAGTCTAGGAACTCTTCGATGACCTCCATGGGTAGTTCTGTCTTTCCAAGGAAAATACGCTCCATAGGCTGGCCCAGATGAGATGTACCCGGAGTGATGTCAACGATGCCACCATCGTAGACGTACTCTCGTCCGTTGAGTTGGATGGATGTGTGATAGATCGCATCGAGATGAAATCCAAGCATACCCTGGGACATTTGCCGTGCAAGCCCGCGGGATAGATCGTACGTTAAGAGATGCACGTCCATCTTGAGAGGCTTCGCTCGGTCTAGTCCGGGATCTGGCTTCCTTACTGGGAGGTAATGCAGTTCAGTCGAAATGTGGGAAGTTTGTATCTTTGTTGACTGGTGGAAAGTGAGATTGAATCTGGGTTTGGCGGAGGGTTGTATCTGGAATTTCTTAGTTCTTTCTCTAGGGAACATTCATATGTATCGTTACGCCGGAGGCAACAAGACGTAGTCGTAATAGTCGCTAGACGAGAAGCTTCCAGGGTCCGGTCACAGTGTCAGATCCGATGAAGGCAACGCCTCACGTGGCTTGAGATCTAGGTACTGAGTTATCGATAAGATGCCCATCCAGATCACCTCAGGCGCTAGGTAAGGTACCTAGTACACTCGATACGTAATCTTAGGTAAGCTCAAATGCCAGCTGTGCCTTGACCACAAGCAGATCACCTCAGGAATGATCAGAACATGCCCGGCAAATGGGCCCTACCTTAATGCCTGGGTGAGGTGCCGCGTGAAAGAGCGACTGCGCAATTTAGGGGGCGTAGCAGGGAGTCAGTGGCCCCGCCCCCTAATCATGGAGCCGGCCATTAAGGTGAACGCGACAGGAGGATGGCCTCCAGGTTCAACATTTCAGTGGACTCGCGTTGTCCCCGCTGGCGCACCTATGCACCCAAGATTAGCAAACTGCCAGCTCGAGACAGGGATGTCTGGATTTTGATGACCTCTCAGAAAAGAGAAAATCTGCAATTGCCATCGAACCCCCTTCGAGACCAACCTAACCTAACTGTACCTTGCATCTCCTCACCCCCCTTGGACGACGTCTCCTTACATATACGACTTCTGCACTTTTCTTCGTGTCCAGTGCCACCATCCCATCTCGTCCGCTCCTTTTCTTCGGCCATCCGCACCTTTTTCTGTTTCCTCGAGTCGCCCCGTGCTGCTCCCTTTGGTAATCGGCCCTCGGTTCAGCCCAGTCCACTCCTTTGTCCCATCTCGACGCCGCTGTACCTCGAATGCGTTACTCTGTGTTCCCCTAAGCACCAACGACAAGCGACCAATGCGAAGAACATCTGTGTCGCTGCCGACGAAGCAACCCGCGCGAGATCCACACGAAAAGCCTGGTCGATTTGCACCCGCTCAACGGAATACTGGCCTGTTCGCGGCGTTCAGAGATATGTCTCAAGCACAGAAGACGAGGTGGATGAGGACGGGCGCCATCGCCTTCTTCGTCGTCTTTCTCTTCTGGTATCTGTCTCCTAGAGGCGTCAACGTCTATAATGGAGGAGGTAAGCGATGGCCTAGTGAAGCTCATTAGATCAACGTGAAACTAATACATCCACAACAGTATCGAAAGGCGGTGCTGGTGGCCAGGTCCCTGCCGATGCCTCGTACGGCACCGACAAGTGCACCCAATCCAGCTCCAAGTCTAAGCCCATCGTCCAGTACGTCCTGATGATCGACGCCGGCAGCACTGGATCCAGAATCCACGTCTACAAGTTCAACAACTGCGGGGCCACCCCCGAGCTGGAGCACGAGGAGTTCAAGATGACGGAGAAGTCAGTTGGTGGTCTCAGCAAGTATAAGGACGACCCCGAGGCCGCTGCCGCTTCTCTCGACGCTCTGATGGACGTTGCCATGACCAACGTTCCCGACAAGCTCAAGTCCTGCAGTCCTGTCGCGGTGAAAGCGACCGCTGGACTTCGCATGGTCGGAGCTGAGAACGCCGAAAAGATCCTTGCTGCTGTGCGCAACCGCCTCGAGACCAAGTACCCCTTCCCCGTCGTTGCCAAGGAAGATAACGGAGTTGCCATCATGGACGGCGCCGACGAAGGTGTCTACGCTTGGATCACCACCAACTACCTCCTCGGCAAGATTGGCGGCCCTGACAAGAGCCCCACCGCCGCTGTCTTCGATCTTGGCGGTGGCTCGACCCAGATTGTCTTTGAGCCCACCTTCAAGGGAGCTGCGGACGGAGGCATGCCGGAGAAGCTCGCCGAGGGCGACCACAAGTACGACCTTGCCTTTGGCGGACAAAAGTTCGAGCTCTACCAGCACTCCCATCTGGGATACGGCTTGATGAGCGCTCGCAAGGCCGTGCACAAGCAGCTGATTGAGGAGATCTTCGAGAGCAAGAAGTCCGACGACAGCTGGGTCAAGCAGCCCATCATCCACCCCTGCATTGCCCCCGGCATGGTTAGAGAGGTTGAGGTTGAGCTCGACGAGAAGCACCCCCTCGGCAAGACTGTGACCTTCAACATGACCGGCCCCTCCCAGGCCGCTCCCGCTCAGTGCCGCAACCTCGCCGAGAAGATTCTGAAGAAGGAAGAGAGCTGCAAGCTTGCGCCCTGCTCTTTCAACGGTGTCCACCAGCCCTCATTGGCCAAGACCTTTGGCCGCGAGGACGTCTACATCTTCTCCTACTTCTACGACCGTACTAAGCCTCTCGGCATGCCTGACTCCTTCACCCTGCGTGAGATGCACGACCTTGCCAACTCTGTTTGCGGCGGTGAGAAGTCTTGGGATCTATTCGCCAGCATTCCCGGTGCCATGAAGGAGCTGCAGGACCGCCCTGAGCACTGCCTCGACCTCAACTTCATGATGGCTCTTCTCCACACCGGCTATGAAATGCCCATTGACCGTGAGGTCAAGATTGCCAAGAAGATCAAGGGTAACGAATTGGGCTGGTGCCTCGGTGCTAGGTAAGATTTGATCCATCGCGAAGAAACTTTACAGAAGCTAACATACCACAGCTTGCCTCTCCTTTCCCCCGGATCCGGCTGGAAGTGCAGAGTCAACCAGGTCAACTAAACAAGTGACCTATCTGGCACCGAGATTGCGCAAGCCTCCCCTGGCATTGGCTGGCTTGTAGTATTATAGATTTTTAATTCCACGACAGAAATGGGAATGTTCGATTACGAATAAGTGTATTTGAGACCAACGAACGTTACAAGGTAGATGCAGGAAACGCATCAGTACACGGATCGACGGCGGGCGTTCCATGTCTCGAATGGTTTCCCATGGGTATCAAGGATAAAGACTCGTCAAGACGTAGCTATTGATTAGAATCAGCCACACTCGCTGGACAAATAGTCAGATTTGCCTTCAAAGCGGTGCCGCCACCATATTTATCACGTCTTCGATTACGTCCTCGGCGCCCACGCCTTCAAGAATGGATTCGATGGCTTCCTGCTGGCTGCCCCACTGCATGCTCCTTTCCTGTTTTGCGTGCACGATCCGGATCCGATGCAGGTAGACTTTCCTAACTGCCAAGTGAACGAGAGCCGGCGTCACAAAGTCCAGGCTGTGCAAGGGGGCAAGGCATCTCAGCAGCTGGTCGAGATGCTTCGTGGCAATTGGCTCGATGCCGCCGGCAACGGCGCGGTGCATCCTCAAATACGTGACAATGTTCATTTGATAGCGTAGCACGTCCACGTTGACCTGGACTTCTCGGCTTAGCTTAGCCAAAGATGCAATGTCCTACCAAATGTTAGCCCTCCAAAAGACCGAACGCCACGACCAAGTTCACTTACACCTTCACTTAAAAGGGGATCCTCGCTGACCGCCATCGCCTCCTCGTTGATGCTCTTCTTCACTACGCTTTCGGTGCTGGCAGTCTCGGCATCGTCGGCTTTGTCGTACGCTTCATCCAGGTTGGCAAAGCCATCGTCTGGATCGTGCCAGTGGGCGATGAAGAAGTAGTCGTTTAAGTGCAGCGTAACGTGAGCCTGGCCTCCGCTCTCGGCAGCCAACGCAGCGACAAAAAGGAACTGCTTGGGAGCGGTCTGGACGGAAGTACGAGTGAAGATGCGGCGGGTGCGCAGGAGCTCGAGGACCTGAATCTGCACGGCCTTGGGTGCGCGGTCCAGGTTCCGGGCGAGGATGACGCTGGCGATGGAAGTACCGGCTGCGCCGCCGGGGCCGGTTGGGCTGTAGGCGTTGACGGCGGTCAGGGGCGAAATTCCGGCGCGGGAGTAGAAGTAGGAGTCGTTGCGCGTGCGAAGGGGCGAGCCTGATCTGGTTGCTGTAGGCGACTGCGCTATGAGGATGGAGGATGCAAAGTCCTCCAAGGTGGTTTGCGGAGAGCAGTCCACGATGGCACACGTCAGACCAAAGGTCTTGGTCGCGATCTGCGGCAGGTTAGTGATATGAACTGCGGGACTACAGTAAGAGATAAACTTACAAGCTGGAGCTCCTCGATGAGCTCATTGAGGGCGACGGGCGGAGTACTGACGATGCAGTGTTCTCGGTTGACCAGGCACAAGAAGGCGGCGAGCTCAAGGTCGCTCAGGCCGTGGACCTTGGTCAAGAGATCTTCTTCATCCGCCATGAGGATCGGGTGAGATGTGTGTCCAAGGTCCCATCAGCGCATGTTGGGCTACAGACGTAGTCTCGTGTGTTGTTCGTCCACAGCATACATGTGATGTGCGACTAGGTTGAAGCAGAGGTGGGAGAGGACTTGGTCCTTGCAGGAGTTTAGAGCAACAAGGTAATAAGGTAGTGAGGGCGTGAGGGCATGCTCTTGCTGAGCTCAGTTCGCCTAGACCGTTGTTGAGTTGAGACGGAGCATTATGTGTGGCTGGGGAGACGCCTTGAATTCAGCGGGCAAGGTACAGTGCATTGAGCAGTTCATTCCCACAGCGCCCACAGCGCCCACAGCGCCTGAGTCGTTACGTCAGCCACAATGACAACAGAAGCAACGCACCTGACGATACTGCGCAGGTAGACACTCAGAGCCCTTCCTGGTTGGTCCCAGCACTGGAGGCAGCTCTTTGATAGGCTGAAACCTGGAAATGTGACGGGAGCTCTCAGTACCGCCTGGTTCCCTGTCAACCTCCACCATGACTTTCCGTCCATCGATCTACTGCGTATCGACCTGCACTTGACACCAACCAACCACCCCTGACCGCAAGACACCGGTCCGTTTTCGATCACCTTGACGTCCGAACCGATAAGAAACCCAACCCGCGACCGAAACTTTCGTAACACTACGTAGAACGACCGACTGTTGACGCCGACACTTTTGACCATCCCAAACTCTACATACTCCTCCAACGAGGCAATCGATTCAAAATGTCATCGAGAAAGAAGGTCCTTCTCAAGGTGGGCTCTTCCCTCCCAGCGCTGCAGCATCCAGTGGCGCGGCATAATTGACGAGGATGTTTTCGTGCAGGTCATTATCCTTGGCGATAGCGGTGTCGGAAAGACGAGTCTGATGAACCAATATGTGAGTTTCCATGGATCAAGCAACATCCGGAGGAGACTGGTGACGCTGACGTGAATGTTTCGCCCAGGTCAATAAGAAGTTCAGTGCAAGCTACAAGGCCACAATCGGCGCCGACTTCCTGACGCGCGAGGTTCTCGTCGACGACCGACAGGTGACGATGCAGGTGGGATGAGACCGACACAACGACTGATCCACGACCTGGACATGTGCTGACGAATGAACGACAGCTTTGGGATACGGCAGGACAGGAGCGCTTCCAGTCTCTGGGCGTCGCCTTCTACCGTGGTGCCGACTGCTGCGTGCTCGTATACGATGTCAACAACTCCAAGAGTTTCGATGCTCTGGACAGCTGGAGGGACGAGTTCTTGATCCAGGCTTCGCCTCGGGACCCGGACAACTTCCCATTCGTTAGTGGCTGGTCAACGCTGGACTGTGCCAATCGAGGCTGACATGCGACCAGGTCGTTCTCGGAAACAAGATTGACGTTGAGGAGAGCAAGAGAGTGGTGAGTGCGCAACAGTGGTTGTTCTCCGTATAGTTGGCTAACGGGATTATAGATTTCGACCAAGCGCGCCATGACATTCTGCCAATCCAAGGGCGGCATTCCCTACTTCGAGACCAGCGCAAAGGAGGCCATCAACGTCGAGCAGGCTTTCGAAGGTTGGTGCAACATTGTTCATGAGCGCCCGTAACAACGAGTACTGACAACATCAACTAGTTATCGCGCGGAACGCCCTGGCCCAGGAGGAGTCCGAGGAGTTCAGCGGTGACTACCAGGACGTCATCAACATCCCCATCGAAAACCCCCGGGACGGATGTTCTTGCTAAGCTGCTGTTGGGTAAGCAGTTGGTTGATGTTGAGCGAGTTGAGGACTAGGGCGGCACACAGAATTAGGACCCTGTCCAACTCGCATTATGTTTAGTCCAAGGGCCTTTCCACATATCCATTTTTGGCCTTGGCTTGATGTTGCATATCCTGCACTGGTGCGAAAGGTGTTTAGAGGTTATTATTGGAATTTGATCAAGGGTTTATTCGCCTGGTTCCCACAACCATTCGCTTTCTGTATCGTGGATGACTTATCACTTATCACACTTGCAATCACCTGCATGCTTGAGTAATGGTTTCTGGGCAAGAGGATCCGCAACCGGCGAATGGGGGTGCCTCTTCACAACATTCCATCTCAACTGACAAGCGCGGGGCACCGGAGGACAGCGGTCTACTCCATCATGTATTCATCACCAGTCCGAGCTGACGGATCATTCTTGCCGTCCGTCATCAGACTCCGCTTAGGAGAATGGATCCGAGGCTACACTAAAGCCCCAAGGCTGGAAACCGGCACTAAGTCCGGCCTGGCAACCAGTGCTCTCTGTAAGCTTCATGCGTGGCGTAATGCTTGGCTTTGTCCAGCGGCGGCAGCCTAGAAGAAGAGGAGGTTGCATCTTATGCTCCAGGTACCTTAGGATTTAGCAAGTACATTACAGCAAACAGACTTACCTCACCTGCTCACTTTCCTTAGCCACCTGCCTTACTGAGGGAGGCTGAGACTTGAAGCTGTGGCACGCGATCGACCCACCACTATTGGTTGCCGGTACTTGGGACGAATACAGGGGGTGTTTTCGCCCGTGCCATTGAAACTCAACCTTGAAGAAACACCCTTAATTAACACATTGACACGAATCCCTTGAAAGCAAACGCTCCAGCGACGAAAAAAATAACGGACGACGCGTTCGCATCAGAGAAAGCTCGCCAGGCTTCCTCGAGTGTTCGCTTTGTTGAGGTTCTTTTTGCTGGTCTCCAGTGAATCGCTCCATAATCGTCATCGCCTTCAACCGACGGCCCGAGAAGCAGTTGGCATACGGCATATCCGTGCCGCGCTGCACATGCGCCGAGTCGAGCGACGGGACATTCGGCCACCGTCCGCCCCCCTCTGAACGCGATTGCTCCGTGACGACTTTCCGAGAGTTCGCCCTACTGTTCGCCGTCCCTGCGGTCAAATGCCTACATCGTCGACAGCGGCCCTGGATCACCTTAAGGCGGACAGCCCTCCCTGAATCCGCAACTCCTCCTAGATACCTACCTACCTACATCTCCCTCTCGACGATACGACGCGCGACGAAAGATTGCGAAATCACCCCCAACGAACATGGCACCGAGCGAGCCCATGCTGCCCGTCGCGTTGGCACCACCAGATCATGACCGTCCTCCGAGGAGGTCATTCTCGAGCACCGACAGGTTGAGCGCCTCGGTTGCGTCTACAAATAGGTCGAGATCGACGGTGCGGTCTTCTGGGTGGCAGGCGAAGATGGGACTGGGCGGCGTTGCGAGGCGGACGCTAGGCATTTCGCTGCTGCTTGTGACGGTGCTGCTGTGGACGATATCCAACTTTTTGGCATCTGTGAGTTTTTGACAGTGTTGCTTTCGTTGGCGTGGACTGGGGCAGGCTGACGATGAGGGGATCACAGTACATTTTTTCAGATCATTCCTACGACAAGCCATTTTTTGTGGTGTATATGAATACGTCGGTGTTTGCGGTGTCTCTGATACCCATGTTGGTGAGGTTCCTGATGCAGCACGGCGTCGAGGGTCTACGACGCGAGGCCATGGTGGTCTGGAACGAGCAGAGGTACGGCAAGGACCTCAAGATAGCCGAAGACGAGGAAGACACGGTGGCGGGGGAGCGCCTGCTGGTCGACGACGAGCCGAGCCTGGAGATGGAAGGGTTCGAGACGACGACGAGGGTGGAGCGGCTCACGTTCCGGGAGACGGCCGTCATCAGCCTCGAATTCTGCATGCTGTGGTTTTTCGCAAACTACTTTGCGTCGGCGTGCCTCGAGTACACGAGCGTCGGCAGCGTGACGATCCTCAACTCGACGAGCAGCGTGTGGACGCTCGTCTTCTGCGCCGTGATGGGAGTCGAGGGGTTCACGGCACGCAAGCTGATTGGCGTGCTGGCGTCGCTGACGGGTATCGTGCTGATATCGACGGTGGACCTGTCCGGGTCGAGTGACGAGAACCGCGGGTCATTCCCGCACAAGACGACGGGGCAGATTGCGATTGGGGATCTGATGGCGTTTGTGAGCGCCATCATTTACGGACTCTACGTGACTGTGATGAAGAGGCGGGTAGGCAACGAGGATCGGGTGAATATGCCGCTCTTCTTTGGACTCGTTGGACTCTTTAACTTGGTGTTCCTCTGGCCCGTTTTCTTCATCTTGCATTTCACGGGGATGGAACCAGTAAGTCACGTCACGCCCCTTTTCCTCTATGGACTTTCAGAGTGTCTAATCAAAGCTGCCACAGTTCTCGTTCCCTCCTACGGCCAAAATCTGGGCCATTGTCATTGGCAACTCGCTGTCGTCCTTCATCAGCGACATGTCATGGGCGTACGCCATGTTGCTCACGACGCCGCTGGTCGTGACAGTCGGTCTGTCTCTCACGATCCCGCTGTCGCTCATTGGCGAGATGATTCAGTACTCGCAGTACTCCAGCTGGGTGTACTGGGTTGGCGCGGCTGTGGTGCTCATCTCGTTCCTCTTCATCAATAACGAGAGCCACGAGGACGAGTCGAGCGACAAGAGCCCCGAGGCAGGATCCCGGGGCGTCTCGCAATTATGAAGAGGATGTTTCTGTTGACACAAAGTCGTAATTCGAGAGCAGACAGAGGCGCGGGGGATTAGACGTGTTGCATGGGCCATGGCGTTTAAGACACGGTGTACGGGTGCTTCCATTGTTGGATCCCATCTGGAGCGCTGTTGAGTCTGAGCTGTTTGCTCAGTCTCTTCATTAATACAATCAACTTACATCATATTGTGCCACTTAACGCATGTGAGACCCATCCCTCGAAATACCTACTTGTTGCTTGTTGAAGGTCATGACGGCAACGTAAGGGTACGGCTCGGCGTCATTTTCACACGGCACGCATGGGAAGGAATTACCTGTTGACGAAACCCGTCTTCGCGTACCAAGGCGGATGACTCGGAAGAGCTGTCAGGTGAAAAGAGGTGGTCCCGGGTGAAAACACTGATGCAGCTGCGGTGGAGACATCGAATCGCATGAGGTGAACCATGGAGTTTTTTTCTGGTTACTGGCTGGTCGGTCGGTCGGTAAAAGGTTGAGCGCGCCGAGGTCAAGGTGCAGCTGTGGTGTGACTTTGGAAGGACTGGGAAGGTCGGTCGAGCATGACAAGACGGGATTTTGCAGAATTCGATGGCGGATTTGAGTAAAATGCGATGCACCAGGGTTTTTTTTTTCTTCTCATGTGTCTTCCTTGATTTTGAGAGGGGAGAGGGAGGGGGGGATCTGCAGACGCATGGAGACAGCCGCGCAATCGGATTCGCCGCTTGGCAGTTGAAGTCTCCAGAATTATTTTGAGCTGTGTGACTGTGTGATCCTTGGTTCGTTTCCCCCTGCTCTTTTGTTGATAGAGTTGCGGGAAATTGGGAAAGTTTGCTGTGATTTTGATTTGGCATCTTTGGCATGTGCGGTATCACGGAAGACTGGGACTCTTGGGTAGCATTGAGATTGAGAGGTGAGCAGAAAATATCGGAAAGCATTTCAGTGTGCAAGGGAGAGTCTTAGGGACTCCATGTGACTGCATTGAAAACAAACCTGATGCGCAAAGAAGTGCAGAATAATTGGCGCCAATTGGAAGGAGGTATACTCCGTGCTCGTGACAATATGATGAGGAACCTACCTTTGAAGGGATTAGAGGTGATGGTGGTGGACAGGTACAGAGAGGAGGGATCACCTGTTGGCGCCGCGGGCAGCAAGACTGAAAGGCACTTGACATCGTGGGGTCCTGCCAGAGTTGATGGCCCGCAGGAAAGCCGATCGCCGGGGCGCTTCCTCCTGCAGATAGTGCAGTCGCTATTCAGTACTCACTGATCTGATTTATTGTACATGGCCGTAATGGAGGAGCTTACACGAGCTAAAGGGTCCAAGAGTGCATAATCCGTGTCTCGTTAGTCTTGCCGTCTCCTTGCCCTGCTATTCCCGCCTTCCAGGTTTTCGGAGACCGAGACATAAGACATTGGACTCATGGAGATGAGAAACGCATCGGGCATGAATATGAAGAACCCATCTGTATCTGCAAAGCGTCAACGTCAAGAAACAAGGAAATGGCAAGCCACAGTGGACTGCTTCACTTCGCAAAATGTCGGGCATGCAGCGACGCAGGCAGCGTAGCAATGGGAAAATGTTTGATTCGAATCCAGCCCGATGGATAAAAGTGGCTCCTACAGGGCCAGACCGCGAATGATCAAAAGCCATAGGACCCAAAGACCCCTGACCCCTGGCTGGATGGATATCCTCCACAAACCTCGCCCCCCGCCGGGCCCCCTCTTCGCCCTCGTTTGTTTGCTTGCTCGCTCCACGGGAGGGACTCGAACCGCATTTCCATTCCCTTCTCTTAAGGGTTTCCCATGCAACAGAAAGGCGAAATTTGCCATACCGTGGCGGGGGGTTCACACCGAAATTCTACAGATATTCCTCTGGTCTGTGTGCTGATATGACTCAAGGGCTATGTAAGCTGCTCAGGCACAACTTCTACATGTCTACGAGACCTTGACGCGATGCGACAAAGCGTAGAGAGATCACATCAATTTTGGGAATAGTTCCCGCGAGGCAACAGATAACTCCGATCTCCATCTCAGACATCTTCTCTTTCTTTCACTTTGTTACCTGCGCCTGCGGAGTACACTCGGTACCAAACTCGAGCTAACACCCGATGCGATCTTGGACGTAACCCAGTCGACTCTCAAGATTCCATGCTTGAAGGTGCGCACTAATAGCTTCCCGAGCTTCTCTCGTCCACATCGTCTCTCCGAGACTAGCTTCTTCCAACCCCGTTTGCCGGGCCCTGCTCCTGTCCCTGGCTCTTTTGGATCTTAAACTTTTCTGTCTCTTCAATACCTTGCTTGCTTTCCCAGCTTGCATGCCAATCAAAGTGGAATCTCTCCAGACAACACTAGTAGTCCCATCCCTCTGGGGACCTACCCATACTCTCGACCGCAAGTAAGAAACAGAAAAACCCAAGCTCCCGGGAAAAAGTCACTCCTCCTTCTGAAGAGCAAGCACATCGCATGGTGGCCCGGGCGACCGACCACTTTCATCAGAGCCAGAGAGAGATACCGGTAAGGTATCCGTAGCTCCAGCGAGAAAGAAAGCTCTGACGCTGCCGCCTTCTTCTCCATATTGTCGGTACCCTTCCGTCTTTGCCACCCGCTACTTTTATTAGCCGTTGCTACCTACCCAAAGCGCAACTGCCAGTGGTTCAGCCTCTCCCAGGGAAAGAAAAGAGAGAGACACACTCCCCAACTCGATCACTGGTCTTGACAACCTACTGAGGATCGACGCTACCGCTTCCGTTTGTGGTTTTCGTCCATTCTGTCCCCTTCCCAAGGTCCTTCTACTTTATCTTGCATTACGCCTTGAATTCGCCGAGGAGGCGTCGAGGAGGAGCAGCAGACAACAAGTCTTCTAGGACTACTGGTTTCCTACACCTCTGTCTCTGCTCCCATTTACCTTACTACCGGTACACCTTGATTCTCGACTATCAACTGCATCACCTCGGAACCTGTGTCACCCCAAGCATCCATTATCTTTTACCATTATTCACCTCTCCCAATACGGTGTGCCCGGTTCCTATACAAATACACCATCTACGCCACGCCCCTATTTCGTATCCCCCACGTTTCCTAGAAGCCATCAGCCGCACCTCTCCGTCACGGGAGGCTTGACAAGCAAACGGCGCCGCCCCGACGCCCGTGACGATGACCTCACCAGCCGCAACGCCGGCCGAAGATACACAACGTCCCTTGGCCGAGTCCATCGCCGCCGCGACCCGATCTGCCCATGCAAAACTTAACAAGATTATCATTGCTCGCCTGCCCTTGGCGATCCCGCCCCGCGCGGCAGATCCCTCACTCTACGCTTCCGGCCTTCTTCACATCACGCCCATCTACGACACCTTCGAGTCACTATGGAAGACCATTGCAGGATCACCACAGCTTCATACACCTAGCGAGACTGCTGATCACTGTAACTTAAACCAAGCTGACCTTACACCGGCCTCGAACGCTGAATCAAACCTACGACACCAACCTGCTCTATGCGAGAGAACTCGCTCGATATTAACGTCGCTGTACCTGCCTGGACTCATGCGTTCTGATCGTCTGCGAGCCGACATTGGTTCCATCACCGGATGGTCACCCGATGTTGTAAATGAGCAACTGGCAGCCATCTCTCAGTCAGGGCGACTTGCCGAGTTTACAAGGCACGTTAGACGCACCATCGAGAAGAAGCCTCACGTCCTTATGGCGTACTCGTACATCTTGTTCATGGCCCTCTTTGCCGGTGGGCGTTTTATCAGAGCCACCCTCGAGTCTGCGGGTTCAGAATTTTGGGAGCAGACGCCGTCACCCATTCCACCCTCAGAGATACCCTGTCAAGAACGTACAAGAGCATCAGACATGGCTATTCATACTACAACACCAGTCGACATGGCACGGGGTGACGGCCGCGGGAAGATGGAAGTCGGCGCAAAACACATGCGTCATTCTCTACCCCTGAGCTTCTTCCACTTTGCGACGCCACTGGACGGTGAGGACCTCAAAAAGGAGTTTAAGAAACGGCTGGCGGAATCCGAGTATCTCCTGACACCCCGCGAGAGGCACGATATCATCCAAGAGGCCGTCTGTATCTTTGACAATATGCTATTCCTCGTTGGCCAGCTGGACAATGTATGCGACACGGACTTGGAGCAGGGTTCTTCCGTCTTGGAATCATGGGCATCATTGGCACCAAGCGGTCGTCTACGCGACAGTGTAGCCATTGCCCGAGACAGGAAGAGGGAAAAGACGGCCTCGAAGAGTTCTGAGGACAGCGAAAAATCTGATTCGTGGCTCTCAAGGCATACAAAGCAGAAGGCATGTGAGGCTCCAAAGTCGCATGCTCTTAGCGACTTGGAAAAACAGCCCCCGGCATGCTGCCCGGCCTCCAAGTCTATGAGATTCGAGCCCAAGCTTGCGGTGCCAAACAGAAAGGGCAAGGGGCAGGCGTTCTCGACAGACGGCGCGGCTAATGCAGCGTCACCTGTAGGAGGCGTGACGTCTAGGCAGGGGCAGCTATCACGCTCTGCCACGTCCTTGATATCTAACATTATCATCGTGGCAGGCTTAGCTGCGATTGTCAGTATACTCTTTCTAGCAAAGAAGACGGTAACAAAGGGCGTGTGATAAAAAGGGAGCGAGAGAAGGCATTGTGACAGAATAGCATGACGACCTCGGCGTTTCGGAGCGTTTTTTGAATCAGGATACCTACCGCATGGGATAGATATACGATACCCCCCTATTGCATTTTCAGGTGTTTTGACTCCTTGTTTTTCCTACGGCATAGCATAGCAGTAGATGGTCTGCAACGGACTTTCAAGACTTTCAAAGGTTAGATAGATGGCTGCCAGACAGCGTATTCCGAACCAAGTCTCCCTCACAGTGGCACGCATGTTTCCCAGTGAACTCAGTGTTGCCTTCTGACATGTCTCATTATGTATAAGGGACTTCCCATCCCGTGAGTGCTATGGTATCTAGAAACCCCCAATCCTGTCCAGTTCAGTGTAATGCAAAGCGATGCGTTGCCACACTATGCTAATCCTCATGCCAAGCCAATCCGAACTCAATCCCCCCGTCTTTTTACTCTTGCCCTCTCATGTTGTAACCCGTCCAAATCAATGCTTTCAAGAAAAAAAAACTCCCAACGCGCCCCGATCCAGATGACTCCTCTCCGCGCATATACAAACCGCACAAAAACGGCCAGACAATGGAGTCGGCCTATCAAACTCTCGTCATGAAGAATCAACAACTCATAACCCTTTGATCGTCTAGAAAACCCCAATCCAGACGCATGCTTTCCCTCTCACCCTTATTTTCTTTTTGCTTTGTTTTTGTTGGGTTTCCGGATCAACACTCAGAGTGCGAGTCGCAGTCCTCGTCCCAGTCGTCCGCGACGTCGGCCCAACCGGCCATATGCCGGTTACCGCCGAATTCGCCTCCGGTGCGCAGGTCCCGCGCGTCGTGACCCTCACCACGGCCGCCGTCGTCGTTGCCCTCTTGCCAGTGGCGCACCATGTAGTCGTCCGAAATGGTCACGAGCTTACCCTCGTTCGACCAGCTAAGGCCCGTCACTTCGCGCCGGTGGCCACGGATGAGGGGCGTGCCGTTGCGAATGATGGGCACCTGGGCTCCGCCAGCGTTGACAGACTTTGCATGGGATGAAGACATGGTTGCGCTTGACGAAGTGGTCATGGTTTCCGTTGCCGGAAGATGGCTCTGCGTGTCCCAGTACTCCCGCATGGCGCGCTCATCGGTGGGAAAGACGACCGCGCACTTATCCGTGCTACCGACGGCGAGAAGCTCGTTGCCGGAAGCCGATATAGGGCGAAGAGCTCCGCGCACGTAGAAGCTCTTAACGTGGAAAAGGTCGTGCTTGAAGCCGTACAAGGGGGCCAAACCCTGCACAGCGGAACCGGCCCTTTGGCGCGGAGGTCGAACGGAGAGTTCGGGGGCATGGCCGAGCATTAGGTGCGAGGTCGAGTATGCGTAGACGGTACTGTCTTTGCACACTGCGTACAGGCGGGCCGCGTCACTGCTCAAGGCGAGAGAAGTAAGGCCGTAGGGCCGCCAGCGATGGGTTGCCGGTTCGGCGGTCACGGCTAGGGGGACGGCCTCTTTGTTGCGCGGGGTTAT